TTAATTATGCGATATAGAAAAGAGGATCGTGTGCAGGAGAAGTAAGAATGAAACAAAAATATTGAAAATTTTCGACAAAGAGAATGCATTTCTTTTTATCGCTATACATGAGTGATCAGGAACGGGTATCTTTTTGTGTTATAAAGGTCAAACGCCAGTGAACTGATTCCATTAGACCTTGGCTCTAAACCAATCACAGTTCTCTGTCAGATGGGGGATTTTGGATGCGGTGATGGAGGATGGACGCCGGTCATCAAAATCGACGGCAACAAGGTGCAATAAAAAGAAAGGAAAAGAAGCTTTGAGTGAATAGGGTTTAATTATAAGTAACACAGAAACTAAATGATCTTGCAAGAATACTCTTACCACTGACATCCATATGCATTTTTAACTCACTATTGTTTCATCCTGATTTGAACTTCACAAGAAAATGTTATTTGGTTGTCCTTCATCCTCTAATCCGGTAGTTATTCAAAACACTATCATTTTTTCTATAAACGTTTCCATTTCTCTAAACCTCCTGTAAATCGGCTTACCTTGCAATCTGACTGGAAAAATAAGGCTGTCCCTTAAAGCAAAGGGATCTCTTATCGACTATTGACTAAAGTGAGATTTTCTTGCACGTTAGTGCGAGAAGGAATTTCGTAGGTGTCAAAGCCGCAAGAGAACCTCGACTTCATTCTACTCTTTATTCCTACGTTCTTTATTTTCTCCCGGCCTAGCCTAAACGTTTTGAGACGAAAAAAACTTAAGAACCTTCTAGCCGTGAAGAATGAAACATATTTCCATTTTTGATAGGCAACGTTTCAGTACGACTCTGGCTACTGGAGTGATAAAAACGAATACAACATCCCCGGCGGGAGGACTGGGTTTGACTCACGAGAGACCAAGTTACCGACCTATTGGAAAACACCTTTCTCCAAGATCTGTCTCGGTATGAAGATAAGTGGACAGCTCAGGTTTATTGTCATTAACAAGCAGGCCAACTCTCTGCACTCACTGATCGCTGATGGGATATGGCGCGCTACTTCACTGGGTCGTAACGAGTGGAAGAAGTTGATTGGTGCGCAGGGCTCTTTGCAACTGAACTGTAACAAGGAGGGCTTCAATGCTGTAGGTACTGCAAGTCATCATTCTAAAGCAAGAATTGGTTATATAGCTAACCAGGAAAACGATTGTGGCTCTTGTGACTCCAGAATTGGGTTTGGTACCGGAGGACATCCTGATAACTCCAATACGTGTGGAAACGCAGCAGCAGTTTCCCCTGATAATGGTGACAGAAACATCAAAGCTATGGGATATATTTTGGTGCAGTAAACTCTTTGAATTCATGCAAGGTTTTACAATAGTTAACAAGCTGATGAAATTATGAGATCCTCGCAGCTAAGAACACTACTGAAACGAGTAGTTGTAAATAGGACCTGAAAAAAATTCAGGCCCGTACGGGATTTGAACCCATGACCTCTGCGATACCGGTGCAGCGCTCTACCAATTGAGCTAACAAGCCAACTGGGAGCTGGTCAATGAATTGGGTACAAATAAACATCCGAGTGAATGAAGATTTTAGATATATGAAAATTTCACATATTTGCACTGCGGTGGAGAGATGAAATTAGGAGATCCTCGCAGCTAAGAACACTACTGAAACGAGTAGTTGTAAATAGGACCTGAAAAAAATTCAGGCCCGTACGGGATTTGAACCCATGACCTCTGCGATACCGGTGCAGCGCTCTACCAATTGAGTTAACAAGCCAACTGGGAGCTGGTCAATGAATTAATTATAAGTAACACAGAAACTAAATGATCTTGCAAGAATACTCTTACCACTGACATCCATATGCATTTTTAACTCACTATTAGTTAACAAGCTCTCTCGGAATCAGGAATTTCCGGAATTGTAGTGTGCAGAGGGCACCTTACCATTTTTCCGCCCCCCCCCCCCCCTCTTTCCTAAATGCCAAAAGCTGTATACAAGCTTACTATTCATGGAATAAACTATTTGCTGTCAGTTTTCCTCTCCACACTCGTCAAGTGCTCGGAAGAGAGGAGATAAGACGGTAAGAGACTGGGACGAGACAGTGCAGTATTAACACAACAATACTGCGACGTTTGTGCCGCGGCTCGCGGGAATTAGTTTACAGAACAGTGAGTACGAAGGATCTGTTCAGGTTATGTATTCAGCTTGAAAGCTACTGATTTCTCTCTCCGATTATGTCACATCTTAAAACCAGTTACGTGATTAGCGGTGTAAAATGCTGGGGAGGCATGTCTTGTGGTGTATGGATCAAGCTCTCGCGGAAAGCAAACAAATGACAAACAAACAGAGAAAAAGGAATGGGGGAATTTTAGCTTTTACACCCTAACATCAATTTGCATGTTTTCTATGCAGTTCTCCGTACACTTACCTAGGTGCTGACAACGAGAATTTGTTAAACAATCAAGAGCTTATTTAGTTGATGACCATTTCCTCTATTCTTGTGACCTTAATGCTTAATTCAGGGGTGTTATTGTAAGGAGAAATTAGATTTCAGTCACTACTAGGGGTCAAAAGGTTAAATCTTTGTTTCTGAACTGGAAGAGGTGGGATCGTAGCGACGATTTCGAATCGCGCGTCCAATAACTACTCTTTCAGTCTCTCGTGGTTGGATATTTATTTCAATTAATGGTGTTACATTGCACTTCTCTTTTGTAATCGCGTAATAAAATTTTGCTTTATTGACTGATGTTAAGTGTCTGAGCGCTGATTAGTTCATCATCAGAGGTTTGACCATAACTGTCAACATCCGTGACGCGATGAGTGGAATAGTAACAGTTCCCCCTTTGGGATATTTCCTCTCGTATATTGGGAAACTCGTACGTGCGTGACAACCCCCATGAATGATCCTTTCTCCGGTTGCTTTAAAATCCGATGGCAAAATAGTGTGACGATTGTGACGGGAGTCAATGGCGACATAAACGATCACTGGAATATTCACGTAAAAACTGATGGTTTTCTCATCGTTTGGCCCCCGAAGATGCGTCAGTCCGTGATACCTCGGAGGGATATCCTCCATCCTATAGCAATCTCGGTTGGTGCTAAACTTTTCCCCTTCCCGAACCATGCTTATTTCTCGAGGAGTACCGGGGAAAGTCACTTTCAGTTCAGCATAGGGACGCACATCGAATGCGTTATCCCTAAGGAAGATCCCGGTCATTCGGCTGGAGCTGAAGTGAACGGTCACTAAACCAGGTCCGTGTGTCCTACGACTCCGGTATATTGGGAACTTAACCGGCCCGGGATTGTGGCAACCCCCCAGCATGACTAAGTCACTGGTTTTTTCGTATTCGTCTCCATGGATGTATGGATACCGAGAATCAGTGGCGAGGTAGATTATAATTGGAACGTTGACTTTAAAAGTTATGATCCCAACTTTATCGTTCGGCCCTCGAACGTGAGTCATACCTTGGTACAAAGGCGGAACATCTTCGTACTCGTAGCAAGGTCTGTTGGTGGCATACCTTTCTCCATGTCGCACCATGGAGATTTCAAGTGATCCGTAATCTGTGACAGCCAGATCGTCCATAGTGGAGGATCCTTCGATCGTGAGGAGAACAATCCAACAACTTACAACCCATGAAGTTGCCATCTTGAATTCAAACAGTTAGTGTTCGTTGAGCGAAAGCAGCAGCTATTTATCTACGAATCACGGATCTTTGATATTGGTTTCATCAGCAAATGTGCTGAAACGCGCTTAAAGATCATATTCCAGGAGAAGACGGAAGTCACGACCACTGAGACATGATCACGTGACTTTGGTACTTTTAGGAGATAATTGTTGTATAAAGTGTCTAAAATAGCACTTCTAAACGTCTATCAAATTTACCATACTAACGCTGTTCATATATCGTTAATCAAATCCAACAAAAAGGAGCCCACACCTGAAACAAAGCTTAATGGAATTGTGAAACATTTCAGTGCAAAGTTGGCCGCTGTTTACACTAAGCATTCTTACATAGCAAACTTAGCTTCTTTTCAGTTCATATTTTGTTGAACATCAGGTTAGCCGTTTTCTTTTGTCTATTTCTACTTCCTTTTGTCTGATCGACAGAAGACAATCACCTGTCCAAATATCAGTATTATAAATCTCCACAAATATTTTTGTCATTACTTTTTCTCTCTTGACATGACGCGAAATACGGAAAAAACGAGGACAAAAAACCGCAGTCAGGATTTATCATTTCGTAATCCAATTAACAAAGATTTGGCCGGAACCACTCATGCCTCTGATCGCACGTTCAGAACTCTGCTGGGGTCACTCACCTGGATATGGACGTGACTCCGGGTGAAGTTGCCATGGAGCGAAATGACATGCCGGTTAGGGTTTAGGGTTAACCCATAATCGAGGCAGAGTTCGGTTGTAAACAACGGCAGAATGACAAAATCAGATAGAGGTTTTCAGGATCATGTCAAGTACTTGGCAGTTATGCTTTATGAAAAGCGGGAACTTTTTCTGAATCAAATTTGTTTTACCAAAGGAGAGGCTGAATTACTGCATGCCATGATATATGATATATGAGGTCACCCACGCTTAGGCTAGGCAGTCGAGCCAAAGAACACCACTGACAGGCCCGTGGGCTCAGAGGGGGAATGCATGCGTTTGCCCTCCTATGAGATTTTTACAGGACCATGAATCCTTTCATTTTACACGACCTTAGGGCGGGAACGATTCACGGTTCTGATCTCTCCAAGGTTTTACCTAAGACAAAATTAAACGAGACATTATATGCTTTTGCTAATTTACCGTTCGTAGTGATATTTGTGTTTTTTTCTTACCAGCACAATCAAATTCGGGGATGGTAAGGCAGATAAATCTAAAAATTTCTGAAATAGTGGACATATGTTAATTACTATTGAGCACACTCGCTGAACTCCGCCTTTCTGAGTCCTCTTCCACATTTAAATTTTCTTTTAACTAGAGCCCGCAGTTTCCTTGTCTGCGGTGAACATCCGGGACTTCATAGTTGAAAAATCCAAGATGGAGGAAATAGGAATTACTATCCAAAGTCAGGTCTGTTGTTCAATGATTTTCGCCATAAACTCGTTAGATTTTCAACGAAAGGGTTTCAAAATGGGACGTAAAATAATTCTTGCTAGTACGTGAGAGATTTTAAGTCCTTTTTGAATCGTTTCTTCCATTACAGGGTCATGTCTTTTTGTCTACCAATTCCTGTCAGTGAGAGAGAATTTTTGCTTTGTCACGTTGAAAAGAAGGTTAAAAACTGTTTGAAATATTTGGAAAAAGCGATACAACTTCCTGCTTAAAAAGAAAATTTCGTTTCCAGTTAGATCAAAGTTGTAGATTTACCAGCATCAAAACGGATGAACATTGTAACAAAATTCATGGCCTAATTGGTTCCATGCTTGTCATGACCACGTTGTATTTTATTATCAAGTTTCTCTTCATTTCGCCCAGTTTATTGGTCTTACTTGTCACTGTTTGGAGAGGCCAGAAGCCTTTATTTTCTACCTCAATTCCTCTGGCTATTTTGAAACACATTGAAATGTTGATTTGAATCGAACGCAAACAGTCGACGCTCATTTAAAATAGATGATAATTCATGTGAATTTTATGGAAGAGTTTAAAGTGTTAAAGCCGTGATAGCAGCGTAGAAGTTGAAAAGAACATACAATATTGTTGGAAGATCAGTAATTACAACACAAAATACTTGACTCTTTTTTGAAAAAAAGGACACCTTTCCAGTTGGGAAACAACAAGTGCTATGAGGCCTTTAAGGGTGATTGCCATTTACTTGATTGACATTTGCAGTGTTTTACTTCAAAAAAAGGATATCACATGAATTTGGGCTCATTCAGTGTCTATCATAGGCCTGTTGTAAACCTCAATTGAGCAAAGTAATTACTGCTAGTTGAAAAAATAATTCAATATTGTGGAGAACATATATAAGTCTTGTATTGTCAAACTACTTGCACTTTTATCAAAACAGCTGTATACAGTAAATTAGTCTAATCACGCATTTTAAAATTGAAATGAAAATCAGCTGAGACATTATCATGGCAATTCATCATAGAGCAACTTTACTAGGCACTTTGAATAAATTTTTTGAAGCTAACACATCATACTCTAACAGTAGTATGCAAGTTCCCCCTGCTATTCTTTGTACGTTTTCTAAGGTACTTACACAGAAAATTTGTCTTACAATCAAGAGCTTCTTGAATCTATGATCTTTTAGAGCTTCTTGAGCTCATAATCATTTTCTTTCCTCTCATGAATGTATTTTTTGATTCAGGGGTAATACTGTTGGGTGAATTTAGAAGCTTGTTACAACCAGGGATTGAAGGGTTAATGCATTTCCATTTGTTGCATTGTGCAGGTTATCCAACTTGCTTGTGTTTTAACTTCTTAATTAGGATTCAAGCCGACCCACAACTGCAGCGAGCAGTTCCTTGTCCACTGTAGATCCCAACGTAGATGATCTTTATGCAAAGTACAAGAAGCTTCAAAAGCAGCTGGAGTTTTTAAAAGTCCAGGAAGAATACATCAAAGATGAACAGAAAAATCTCAAAAAGGAGCTGCTACATGCACAAGAGGAAGTGAAACGCATCCAATCTGTTCCTCTGGTTATTGGTCAGTTTTTGGAGGCTGTAGATCAAAACACTGGAATTGTTGGCTCAACAACAGGTTGGAAACTATATAAATCTTTAATTTCACATATAACAAAGGAGAAAAAAGAGCATTTGAGAGTTATGCCAATGGTGAATGAAGGGAAATTAACATTACATGTCCTTATCAAATCCAATTACCGTAATTTCCGGTCGTTTACCTGCACGGCCGATTACCCGCACCAGCCGATTATTGCATACGGCGAAAAAAAAAGTCAACAGATTACCCGCACTGGTGGATAACCCGCACGTTATGTTATTCGACTTTTTGGTGGCAAAAAACGTGACATTAAGGTGATACATTTCAGTCTTTTAAAAGTTGTCTGATCCAACTTTCGAAAACTTGAAAGTGCCTTTGTCGAGTTTAAAGGTCAAAGAAATTCAGACGTGTGCACAATTCTTTGTCAACATTAGCATGTACTTTATTGATAAGATTATACAGTAAAAACACTAGTGGCCCATTACGGTAAATGTGATACTGATATTAAGAGGGAAATGTGACTGTGATATAACTTGCGTACTGGTATTAAGATTTAAAAGTTGAGAGCTATTCAATAGCCCTTTAGTCACTATAGCCAATTGGTGATGATTTTTTGTACTCTTTTGAAAAATCAGAGTTGTTATTAGATAATACAATGGTGTATGATCTGAACTAAGTAGGCAGCTGAATTAAATTATACTTTCTTAGCAAGCATGGTATGCTCTTCTAGGGAGGTCTGAGGGCATCCTGCCCTGCAAGAATCTGTAATTTGAATTCTCTGAGATGTGATTTCTAACATTCTGGGACATATACATCATGTATGAGTAACTTTTTTTGGCCACACACTGTTTTTTTAAAACCAGTTCAAAACTACTGGTACTTATCTTCTGTCTCTGACCACAATTTACAAAGAAGCTAGCACTAAATGATCAAACAGGCTGCAGGTTTCCTCTGCCTACTGGCTTCTTATGACAAACCAGCTAAAACAGTAAAAATCTTCAAGTTTGTAAAAGATTAAGACTTCAAAAATATTTGGCAAAAGTTGCTAACTTAAATGCATGTCAGCATGTTTTAACTGTTTTTAATTTGTTAGGGTCAAACTACTACATTCGCATACTCAGTACCATAGACCGGGAACTTTTGAAACCAAGTGCATCTGTTGCCCTTCATAAGCACTCCAATGCACTTGTTGACGTCCTTCCTCCTGAGGCTGATAGCAGTATAGCAATGTTAACTGCTGATGAGAAGCCAAATGTAGCCTACGCAGACATTGGTGGAATGGATATACAAAAGCAAGAAATGCGAGAAGCTGTTGAGCTCCCTCTTACACATTTTGAGCTCTACAAACAAATCGGTATTGATCCACCACGAGGGGTTCTAATGTATGGTCCTCCAGGATGTGGCAAGACCATGTTAGCAAAGGCAGTTGCTCATCATACAACAGCAGCCTTCATTCGTGTTGTGGGGTCAGAATTTGTCCAAAAATATCTTGGTGAAGGACCCAGGATGGTTCGTGATGTGTTTCGCCTGGCTAAAGAAAATGCACCAGCAATAATTTTTATAGATGAGATTGATGCAATTGCCACTAAGCGATTTGATGCACAAACAGGAGGTAAGAGAGAGATTGTTTCTTTGTGCTTTCTTTGCATTGTGAAAGGATGTGGGAGAAACAGTGGCCAAGTGATTAATAGGCGCTGGGTTAATCCCTGGCTAGATCATTGTGTTTTGTACCTGAACAGGGCACTTAAACTCTCACAGTGTTCCCTTCCACACCAAAAGTATTATTGGGTATTGGTAAACTGTGAAGGAAACCTTGCCAAAATGCTCTGAAGATACCTGTTATGGATGAACTTTTCATTCAGGGAGAGTAGACATTCTCCTAATCACTTCATGCTGCAGAAACTAAGAATTAGTGAGTGCAGTTATGGGACACTTGATCTCTAAGACTTTAAACCCTGTCATAATCAAACATCAATATGCTTATTTTCCATACTGTTTCTTGTATATTTCATGTAGTACTGACAAGGAGAGTTTGTGAAACAATTAAGAGCTTCCTTAGTTAGGAATCTTTCCTTTTTTTCTCATGACCTCTTTCCTTTTTTTTCTCATGACCATAATCACCACTTTGGGTGTGTGTGCTTTACATGCATGCATTCATGAAAAGTCTTGTAATCAAACTTGTATTTCTTTTGTCAATTGTGGTGAAGTACCACTCAAATCTGAGCTAGCTCTCTTTTTTAGCATCTCTCAATGTACCCTGTCAAATTTTGTACAATCTAACTAAAGAACATAATTTTTTGTATAATTATTGATTGTGATCACAACATTTTTAAATAGATTTTCCAAAGTCTTGTGTATACTTTATAACTGGCAGATTGAATGGGGACATGTGTATCAGACGTTGAATTGAATTTTGTCATATCTTTTTCCAGCTGATAGAGAAGTACAAAGAATATTGCTTGAGCTGCTGAATCAGATGGATGGCTTTGACCAGAATGTAAATGTTAAGGTATGAAAGGAGGCCACATACTCTGTGTACCATAATATCAGTACATAATATGTAACAAACTGGTTAGATTTTGTCAGTGACTAACTTTAAAATTAACCTACCATGCATCTTTTGGAGTAATGCAGCATTTTCTTGAAGAAATGTCATAGCAGGAGATTAATGTAAAGAAAAAATATTACATTTGTCTTGTTTGAATGAAAAACAGCCAAGGCCATTGAAATTTAGCGAGAGACAATTCTACAATCTCTGATGCTAAATGAACACCCACTAGTGTTGGTAAACATTTGAAGTTTTCCTTTACTAGCATGCTGATCAGTTGAGTAGGTGGAGGATTGGATTAAGGCCTTGAGCCACTGTATTTCATTATTTATTACATAGAGCTTTCATCAAGCTGTGGCATTATCAGGGAAGGAAAGCTCAGTATAAAGAAAAACAATACAGTTGCTCAAGGCCTTGATTGAATTGTCTATTAACCCACTAGTGTGTGACAACTTGTGTTATCCAGTCTGTTTGTTACAGTAGAATGTTACAACTGACTAGTATGTGATGACTTTCAGAAAATTTGTTCTGTGTTTTAATAGTGTCACAATGCTGAAGTTTGTTTTCATATATTTTATAAAGTTTCTTTAAACTATAATTTCTGTTCAAGTTTATACCACATTTTCTTTGTTTAAACAATACTGATATTTTGCCTCTTTTAATCTAATTGTATTAATGAGTAATCTGGAAATGTCTGGGTTTTTTTTGGAATAGGTTATCATGGCCACAAATCGTCATGACACTCTTGACCCTGCATTGTTACGTCCTGGTCGACTGGATCGTAAGATTGAATTCCCCCTGCCAGACAGAAGACAAAAACGTCTCATCTTCTCCACAATAACAGCTAAGATGAACCTGTCAGAAGAAGTAGATTTAGAGGATTGTATCCTTTTGTGATTCCATATTGTCTGTGTATTATAAAATTAATTAACCTTTTAGAAAAAAGCAAAATTGATATTTTTTTAAGGAAACTGTTGAAATAGAAAACACACACACCTTGACTTGCTTATTATAATAGATGTTGCAAGACCAGACAAAATTAGTGGAGCGGATATCAATGCCATTTGTCAAGAGGTATGTTTCTTTTTTTAACATGCAGAGTACTAGTACTCCTCATACAGGTGTGGTTTTAAGTACTTCTGTTGTTAAAACATTAAATTGCTCTCATGATCATTCAATTCCAATTTTATCCTGGGACAAAATACACCATGGTGATTATCCTGTCTCAGTTTTAAAAAATGTGTATTATTTTATGTAAGCATCTGCTTTTTGTTTTATTATACACCTGTATCAGTTAATGATTGAGTCAAGCTGCATTGAGCAATTTGGGTTGGACAAGACACTCAGAAGTTTGATTTTGCAATGTGTGAACCCAGCTAAAATTGTTTGCTGCTGCACATGGTTTTGAACTTGATGATTGAAATTGGCTGACACTTGCACAAAGACAAGACCCTCAATTCATAAGCATAGCTGAACATACCAGCCAGAGGTGTTATCTGTCACTTTGTTTTAAATTACAGTGATTGTTGAATTAATGAGGAAGTGAGTGAATAACTGCTAGAAGGGGAGAAATATTTATGAATGAGATCTGGGAGGTGTAAGGGAGTTAAAAGATAAACAGTGTTTTCTAGAAAAAATGTGTTTCTTTTTTTCCATAGGCTGGCATGCAGGCAGTACGAGAAAATCGCTATGTTATCCTAGCTAAAGATTTTGAGAAGGGCTACAAAAACAACGTGAAGAAAGATGAAACAGAACATGAGTTTTATAAGTAATGTTATCTGACTGTGTACCAAAGACTGAATGGGGATACTTCCTGCTGTGAATAAATACTGGTCGCTTGTGTATGCTGATGACCTTTTCTGTAGATGTTAAAAATACAATAAATGGCTTTTGCATATTAGCTGACAGGCTCACTTTCAGCTGTTTTGGGAGTTAATTAATTCACATCTAGGGATACTTGCTTACAGAATGGTGGTGGCTATGCCAGGGAACCCAGCTGAGAAGAACAATGCCTTTCCAATTTTTACTTTCCAGTTGTATGGGCATCCACAATTTCCCTGCAAGCTAGGGTCCATTTCACATTCACTTCACACTGCTGCTAAACATGATGAAAAGAATACAGAGTCCTGCCTCATGCAAATTTCTCGAGTTTGAATAAACCCTCGCATTAACAAAAAATTCCATTGCATTTGGTGTTACAAAATATTTTATTTACTGACATTTTTAAATCTGCCTTTTAATAATTTACACCCGTAAGGTTGATGTGCCACAATTTCTGTGACAGGATGGTGAAATTAACAAACTTTTTCTAAGTGGTCTTGTTCCTAGCTCAAAAATTCTAGCTGACCTTCAGCTTTCAAAAGCCAGGCAAATTAAAATTAATTGTTATGCTGTCAATACAAGCCAGTAAAATTATGGCTACATGTGAACCTCTTGAATAATTTCGTTATGGTTGAAAGGTTATAAATGAAGACAGAAAAATATTGAAATATAAACAGCCAATCATTTGTCAAAGCTCTTCACTCATACCCGTGCCTCACGAGTGATCTCGTAAGGAGGACTGGAACTTAGGGTAGGAACGCCTGGGAAATTTTGGATTTTCTACGAAGATCTATGCATTCCTGCCTGTGGAATTTGTTTCTTGGCAATGTTATGCTTTGTGTGAGACCATACGGCTTATTCGAGTAACTGTTCCCAGAGGTGAGCTCATTTTACTTGTTTTTAACAATTTTCAATCGTGTGACTGTTCGATGTTAGGCGTCGTACTCACCTCTCAACTTAGCTAATTTCCATTGATGTACGTAGCTAACTAACTCGAGGTTACTTCGATTATGAGGAGAATTGTGCACCAAAAGAAGGCTTGTGATCGTTGATACTAGTAATTTAATTATCTTTTCCTTCCTATTCAATTTATTTGGCTGAAATTGGAGAGAATTCGTTTCGATATAACTACACAAATCAAATTTCAATATGTCAACTATCAGGTTTTCTATGCTATTTCTACATTTTTAACCTTTGAATCAATGTTTTTTCAAGTGGTCATCTATTATCCATGATAGAAAATGCTTCACAGGCTTCTTTTAAGGAAACATGGCACAGAATTAAACGAATTTTTATTTGCATCTTTTATTCAAAAGTCAAACGTTACTGTGAAGATATTGATTGAAAGGTTTCAGAACCGGCAACCTTCAACATCCCTCTGTTGACCAATAGATCCTACCGTGGGGTTAAACAATTTTCATTTGTTTCCACGAGGGAGTTAGAAATGATGAGGGCAGCTGCCTTTGATAAATTGTAGAATCTTATCTTAGGATTTACATATTATTTAGCATCAGCTAACCAACAGGTTTAAAGACTGGGCAGTCTGAGGGGATTGTGAAAAAAAAAAAAAAAAAAGAATCGTTTTTCCCAGAGAAGTAAGAACCTTATGGGTCTGATGTCTTGGGTAGAAAATCCTAGTGATCATCTTCTATCTTCCTTAGGTTGGAATTTTAATTTGTGAAGTATTATTTTCAACAGTAGATCAATTGTTTATTTATTTTTTGCTTTAAGTTTGTCCCACATTAGCTGTAAAGCCAGACATAGACACTTGAAAACAAACTTTACATGTACACAATAATAAGAAGTTTAAGAGAAAAATTGTTCACCATAGCCAGTATAAAACAATACAACAAGATGGGATTTACATGTACCACACTGTGGAAAAGACAGAAACTTGAAATCCTTGCTTTTGCCGAACTGCATTTTTCATGGAACAAAGCATCGTATACCCCATTCACACCACTAAAACATATCTTGTAAACCAAGTTTAACCACTGAAATAAAAATTACAAACTGAAGAACTGAAAAACTGAGTTTTCCATTGTCTTTCCAATGTGCTAGATTTAAAGTTGACAGACATTTGTTTAGGCAGCTTTTATAAGGAAAACAACTTTCAACTGTGTTAAACAAAACAGCTTTAAGAAATGTTTAAGCTTTGGTGTGAATGGGATATCAGACTATTACTAGTCCACCTCGGCTGAGATACCAGTCTAGAGCTATCACAGGGTTACCTCTTCCAATTTCCCCAGAAGCTGGCTTTTATCTCTTTTTACTCCTGGGTTGGGATTTAATTATCTTGTTCAAGAATACAACTCAAGGGCAATCCAGGATTTTTGTTGAAAGGAGGGTGCACTTCTAAGAAATGATCTAACTGAGGGATGACATAAACAAACTGCTTCAGACTAAGCAATAACATAATGTTAAGTGCTTGAAATACATGGCAAAACGATACAATAGAAAGACCAATTTTTAATAAAGTGGAACATGCACCCAATGAGCAATACTCTGTCAAGACATTCAGTTATATTAGAGATCTGTCTGTCTGTCATCTCATGAGGAGGGGGGGGAGGGAGAGGGGGTGTACAACACAATGACCTAGTCAAGGGCTTAAACCCAGATCCCTCTTTCCAAAATTCATTGTGCTGACTGCTAAGCCACTATGTCTTCCACACCATTGAAGGTTAACATTAAAACAATGCCCACTTTTCCTCTAGAAATTGTCCTAAGACAATAGAGCCCAACTGTAGTCCCCTAAAAAACACTTCACCTGCCACCTGTTGAGAGATTTTATTGCATCAAGATTAAACCCCCTAGCCAATACATAATCTATTTTAAGCACTTGTTTTATAATGAGTCAGGGAGAGGTTACATGTCAATCACTTACAGGATTGAAAATATCAACTAAATTCTTTGCTTTGGCTTTCAAATTCAGTGATGCAATTTTAATGTAATTTCTGCTGCTGCTCTTTAGTTTTTGTCACTGATTCACCCTTAGAGGGCCTTCTTCTTTTAGCATCAAAAATACCATGGCCATGTACTTGATGAAAGCCTTGTAAGGAAACAGTCATAATTTGTCCCCAGGGAGGGGCTGGAGGATTTTGGTTGTTTCACTATAAAATTTACCTATCCCCCCTTAAGGCTCTGTAGTATTCTTATGATCCCCCTCATTAACAGTCAATGTTCCATAACTTCTCCCCCCCCCCCCTTCATGCTCTGTTGGCTATGTCACCGATACCCCCTCCATTTCCTCTGAAAAACTTGTGATCCCCAAAAAAAGAAAATTCTCCACCCCTCCCCCCAGGCAATAAATGATGACAGGTCCTTAACCCTTTAAACCCTAAGAGTGACCAGCATCCAAATTCTCCTTACAGTAATACTGCTGAATCATTCATTAATATCACGAGAATAAAGGAAATGATCGCCAACCTAAGATGCTTTGATTGTAAAACAAATTCTCCTTGTCCAGACGTAAGGAAATGTATAGAGAAGAGTATGGAGAATATAGATACTGATGTTAGGGTGTAAAGGTTAACTCAACTGGAAAAGCAACGCCTTTGACTGTATCACTATTCTTTGCTAATAGGACCTTCAACGTTTTCCTTCTTGAATTTCTCATACTACACGATATTGCTGTAAATAAATCATTGTTAGATTAAATCTCTTTTCCAACTCTTCACGGTATTTTGCCATGGTGAGGTCCTGGAAAGAACTATTACACTCGTCATAATTACATTCTCCGTAACGGAACACGTGACCAACGCTTGTTTCCACGTTGCGGGTAATGTAAAACGTTTCTGACGGGTTAGAAATTGCATTTAATTCTAAAGAAAAAACATTTTTAGGGGATACAATACACCTTGCTGATTCCTCCGTCGGGGCTTTAGTCCTAGCGGCATAACGCTGCGTGTAGAGAAGAATGTGCGGTCTTTTCTCCTCAAATTTTGATGTATCGAAAGTGAATCCTTGAAAGCAGAGTCCAGCGGTGTCTTCGTCACTTTCAGTTTCAAAGATTTCAAGAGTTCTTTTACTTTGAAGCGGAACGATAAATTCCTCCAGTTTGTTAAAGGCCACATATTTAAACCGGTCAATGTTTCTATACAGACAGTCATTCAGAGCAACGGTTTGTCCATCATCTTGAATATTCGAAGCAATGTTCTGTGGCAGGGCCCACGGGTTCAGAGTTACAGCCCCTATTTCTTGGTAATATTGGAGAACTCGGAGGGTTTTATCAGAAAGATTCGCATCATAAAACACGAAATGTGACACTCCTAATATCTCTGAGAGTTCAAGAAATTCAACAAGTCTTCCAGCGGATATTTCACCGCTTATTGGCGGAATACAAAGTCCGTAAGTTTCCGTATCTACTGCTTGATCTTCGGAGACATGTAAGGGAATTTGTTTGGTGTTCTCGTCTGTTTGACGGAAGGACTCGGGTTCCATGGAAACATTCACCGAACACAACGTGTAGCTATCTATTTCGTCCGGCAGATCACATGATGACAGATACCCTTGAAAAGTAAATCCATCGTTCGTGCCGAGTTCCTCAATTTCGACTACACTGGTAAAATACTCTTCTGTTCTCAAGTCCAGAAAGTGGCAGTACATTTGAGGAGACTCACTGTACGACGGAAAAATTGAAATCATTCGAATGAATGTCTGATCTTTAAATCTGTAGTCAAGAAAAGCCGAGTAAATTACAGATCCTTGAACAATCTCGTAAAACTGTAGCTTTTCCTCACGAATTCTTGAGCACCGTTCGGGACGCGATTTTTGAAGAGGAAAAAAGTTATCAGCTGCTGAAACTCCCATAAAGTCCTTTTCCTCTGCTGAATAAGATTCTTTTATGAAAGAAGATTGTGTGGTTTCCATCTTGAGTTGTGTTTTTTCTTGTAGTCCTTGTATTTTTGTGCTTACCATCTGTGGGCCAAAGCTGCCGGGCAAAACGAGAAAAGATGATAATATTACCACCCCAACAACTGCAAATATGCACGCTTTTTTTAAGAGCCTCTTGGTCTGTCTTCGAGACATTTTTTGTCAAAAAGGCATTTGAATGTAAACAGACGAGACAACACCGTCTGGGCACCTTTGCGTTTGTGAGCCTTCAGTTTGTAGGGGACGAGAATTAAAGACCGAAATCTTTCAGCAACTGACGTAAACAGCGCCAAGTTTCTTCTGCAGTGTCTTCAAACGTATGAGTTTTGCTTTGAAGTGGAATCAATTTACACTTCGTTTTAGTCAATTTAAAGACCAAGAGGTTAATTACTTTCTCGCTCAATCCACAAAATCGTCTTTTTAACTTCAAATAGATCCGAAATTGGTTCAAAGTTGCCAATTAGTCGCATATTATTGACTTGTGTTCCTTTCAGAACAAAACCCTTTGGTCAAATCGAAAAAAATAATCTTAATTTCGTCCGTTCAAATCGAAGGTCATCGATCACTAACCACACATGGAAGAAAATGGATATCTTTGTGGCATTCCGACCATAATTGTCTGATATTTCATCAAAGAAACACATTGTTTTAATTATCTGCTAAGAGCTTTTCCTATTAATCCGGTAATCCAGATCTTTTCCGAGAGCATTAAAATGAAGTTTATTGAAATATTTAAGCAAAAACTTTTCTCTCTTTGACCAAAAATGGAATCTCATCTTTAACATCGTCATTTTGTTTTATGGCTTTGATAATATCAGAGAAATGTTAGCATGCAATCTGCGCAGAATATTTGGGAACGCCTTTTAATCTGATAATTTTCATGGCGTCATGGCGAACGAGTAACTGATAAATCCACTGTGAGGTAGCAACCTGAAATACTTCTGCGTTTCCCATCATATTTCTTACAGAAAAAAAATAAAAATAAGAAAAGAAAAAGTTGTAAAACTCTAATTACCCTATCTGAAATGGAGTGAAAAAAAAAGCAGATCGTAAAAGACAGAATTTTCGATTGACTATCGTAATCCGGGATTGCATTAGCTTTGCCTTACTTCGCTGTGATTGGTCGAGAAAACTTGTTCCTTCCCTAACCAATCATACACAAAACTTAAAACTATCGCGACCTGATCTCTCATGTTTTCCCACGTTTCAATCAGTATGGTCGTTGTTACTTTGAGCTCTCATTGGCATCATGTCAGTGATATTTTATTTTCTTGGGATTGACTGTTGTTATTGGTTTGGTTTACCGAAACACAGTAGAAATGCGCTCGTAACGCTTATTTATGACATGTTCTCCTTTCTATCTAGATTTGATCAAGTGAAAATAAAGACCATGAGAAAAATCATAATCTTTGCTTTCGTTTATGGTAAGTTGAATCCTGCATATCTTAGGACATTAAACTGACAGGACCAATTTTACAGTAGTTCAGTTTGCAGAGGTTTTCCTGTGTTATGCGCTAGTTGCATGTTTTCCTGTGCTTTGTGCAAGTTGCATGCTTTGTTGCGCTTACCACTGGTTGAATGTTTTCCTGAGTTTTGCGCTGGTTGCATGTTTTTCTGCCTGTGATCAAAGTTTGATGCATTTATCATGTCTTACCAGCAGTGCTCTTATTGGCAAATTTTGGAACGACAGCGACAAGTGATGACAACGGCCACTCACATTGTTCTGCTGAAGGAAAGTGTACTCTGGACGAAGATGGTGAGTTAACATAACCTCGCAATGGAAAAGCTATGTCGCGCTGTGATCCCTTTTAGACCAAAAATAGGCGATTATCGTTACTTGTTAGCACGTCTGACCCAAACAATGTACATCAAAGGGGCGGAGACCGATATCAATTTTTATGAATTTCGGACAAATTGCACCCTTCATTCATTTGGTTCCGCTCCGCCCTCGCCAAATAATTCTTCTTCTTATACAACGTTGATAGGAGAAAGTGTATAGCTTAGGAATTTCAATCAAATCAGAAAAATAAGAATGAAAGATTTTTAAAATGATAATCTCGTTAGAATCAACTGCCTCGTGTACTTTTGTCGCTTATATCATTGTAGCAAGTACTTTACAGCGATGAAAGCAGTTTTTTTTTGTTGTTGATACCAAATTGCAGACCATGGTAAATGCACCACAAACTCTATTTCAATTGCAAAACTGGCCACTATAGATCTTAAAACTCCTTTCACGAGCGTCGCCTGCAAGAAGTTGCGGAGAAGATGTTTTTAACATTTTTTGCCTGTTATTGTCTTCAGCCCATCTTCATGAAGCATCAGCTGAACACGAGCAGACATCGCGTTACCTCAGAGACTCGGCTCCTTTAATACCCGAAGGCAAGGAGCCCATCTTGATATGGTGGACAAATGATCTCTTTCCGCATGACCGCCAACAAAAGAACCACCATATTGTTTGTGAGAAAGGCTCGTGCATCACCTCGATCGACCGCGGGCTCCAAAACGACCCCGCCACGCGCGGCTTCATCTTTTACGGCACAGACCTCCGCGCGGATGACTTGCCACTCCCGCGCAGACCCTGGGACGAGTGGGCGATTTTCCACGAGGAGTCGCCAAAAAATAACTGGATGTTGACATACGAGGACGCCCTAGTGTAAGTATGACGGGAATGGGATTGTTATCAGTGTTCTTGTAGAGGGCTGAAATCTTGAAAATTTAGAGAGATTTGTCCACCACTGTTTAAGACCAGGAGAACTTTCGAAAATATAAACAAAGTCGAGGAAAAATTGTTTGAAGTTTATAGTTTTATCCAGCGTGTAGTGAGTGGCTAACTCTAGTGTCTGAGATTTATTTTAGAACTGCACGCGCCTGTTCATTGTGACTTTTGTTTGATATTTTTAGTCTTTTTAATCACACTGCCACATTTCGCCGTGAGTCTGATTATCCACTTTCCACTCACTACATCAAAGATCTGAATGACTGGACGGATACGCCCGCGGTACCCATCCAAGAGAAAAACAGGTCAGTAATTTTTTAATACTTCTACCCCAATCTCTTTTCTCATATTTGTTTTCACCTGAGATTGCCGAGACGTAAAAATTCAGGTTGCTGTCCTTAGTTAGTAGGGTTAACGACATTGATAGTCAGTTTACGCTACATAACCGTAATAAGTTGTGGTTGTCATGCCTTCGGTGACTAGATTCATAAACATTAAACCATCGTTTTTTGATACGTATTTCAGAAAACCTTATCTCTCTCTCTCTTTCCTAGGTTACAAAAAGAGAAGGGTCTTGCGCCTATTGTCTACGTGCAAAGTGACTGCCACACACCGTCAGACCGCGAGAGATACATCAAAGAACTGATGAAGCATATTGATATTGACTCCTACGGCCGTTGCCTGAATAACCGTAAAATGCCCGCGGAGATTGACGGCTTCTTGAAGCTTCATGATCCAGCTTATTATGAGTTTCTTGCTCAGTATAAATTCAACGTCGCGTTCGAGAATGCAATTTGCAACGATTATATGACAGAGAAGCTGTTCCGACCGTTTCAAGTTGGCGCGGTGCCCATAGTCATGGGATCGCCTGTGGCAAAAGATTGGATGCCAAACGAGCGATCGGGGATTTTTGTGAGCGACTTTAGTGATCCAAAAGAACTTGCAGAGTTCTTAAAACATCTTAATTCGAACGATGCTGAGTACGCGAAGTTCTTAGAGTACAAGGATCCAAAGCGAATCACAAACGAGTTTCTACACAAATCTTTGAGAGAAAGACCGTGGCGTGTGTTGGGGGAATGGGACAAAGTAAACTTCGGTCATCGTATGTACGCTGGGTTTGAATGTCACGTGTGCGACCGTGTTATTGAACGGCAAGAGGCACTGCGCGCTCATCAAAAAGATCCAAACCGAAATCCACCGCCTCCCCCTCGGTTTGCTAATAAGGAACACCTCGAGTGTCCCGAGCCAACGATTTCCATAGCAACTACAGAGAGGGTTAATAAGAGTGTGAACTTCTGGGAAGGGTTGTATGAAGCGCGGGCACTTAAGCAAATGGTTTTAGCTGGAGAGACGAATAGCACAAAATTTATATCAAAATACCTGAAAAGACGAACAGACAAATACGACAAATGGATTGAATGATAATCCTTCTTTCAACTTAATTACAGTTAGGATTTCTTTGATAGCATGTTTATTATAAGTTGGATAGAAATAAATAAATAAATACAAGCAAGAAAAGCAAGCAGAATTTCAGTTTCTGCACATTACTTTCGTTCCCTTCGAAGATACTTCGTTGCTCCGTGTCGACTCTCACTTCGACGGGAGTGATGTGCCCATCTCTAATCATTACTGAAAGGGTTCAAACAAAATATAATACTATTCTTTACAACTTTCCTGAATGTCACAACACCCAAGACTTTACATAAGTTTAATTGGTCTAATGTAAAATATACATGCACTCTCTCTCCGTCACACTACGAAAATTTACTTGGAACAAGTACAAACACGAGGACGTATGAGGGAACACCATCTAACAACCGGAATAATAACGAGGATCGAAATGAACCAATAACAGCATTCCAACGTGCTACAAATAGCGACACCTAAACAATCGACCTCATCGCCTGATAGTAGTCGAAACGTCACGATCTATATCAAAAGTGACTCTATCGTGAGACAAACGAACAAAGTTCATCTCCTATCTTACACCACGATGAACAATAAGCACATATTTTATTACAAAGTACAAACACCTTCAGTTGTTATAAGAGCCTTTTTCATTACTTTTTATCATTAGCAAAATACTATTTATACCACAAAAAAGTTCCCCAAAGCGTGTGATTTTGACGAGTTTATTTTCAAATTGGAACAAAAATTAAACAGAGAATCGTCTTAGCTTAAACGTACTGCGTTTTGGAAACAAACTTAACGAGGAAGTTTGCCGCAGATTTATCTTTGTAAATCTTTTTAGTTCACTATATCTCTAAGTAAGGTTATGATGAAACATTCTAATCGCATATTTGGCGACTAATTTTCGGGATTTGGTCGCCAAAGGGAAAAATTTAGTGGCATTGGCGCCTGTATTAGGCGCAATTTCACGCCCTGGAATCAACCCATCTTTGCAAGCTTCTCTTTGGAAAATGCTGATCCGTGAGAATCAATGAATATTTAAATAGAAATGGAAGAGAAAAATGCTATCATTGAGCTACGTGTTTCATGAATAAAAAGCAGTAACTTTTCCAGTGACATGTATTTTTATGAAAATCCTTCCGTAAATAACTTCGGTGAAATGCATTTGTTAAAAACAATTAAGCGTGGACAAAATTTTGGCGAGAACATTTATCCACTAAATAGTCACTCCCTGATGAAATCAAGCAATTTAATTCTTCAACGAATTCGTTACTTCTAATATCCTCAATTCAATTGACTATTGAATACTTCCATAAAAACTAGGTTTCCATTTCGTCATACCCCCGCCAGGCAACGAGATAAGGTGGAAGGACGCAGAAAACAGTTTCTGTACTTTGATGAATAATTCTAAAATACTCACAGGTCAATCGTATTCAACACTGTTTTCAACGTTAATACATGTACGTCCCAATATGCGACATAAAATCCAAACTGAAATTGTTGCTTCTCATACATCGAAATCGACGGAGAGTCCATTACAACCAAAGAATATCTTTCAAATTACAACTTTTTTATGAGAAATGTCTCTAATGCAACCAATTTCAAATTAGTAACACGGAAAATAGATGGAAAAGCGAATGATACCTGAAATAATAGAAATAATGGGGTAGAAATGACGCGTTTCCTGATCCCAGAGTTGCTGAATAAGATTCTTAAATTTCCTGCAGTTCGTAAGCTCTTTCCACGTGCAAAACTGATGGAGCATGTGAATATTGATATCCAAGATCATTTGTAATTTAAATGAAATTCCCGACTTTGAAATGCGAACCGAAGATCATCGATAATTTCTTCGGTAACATTCGCTCAATTGTACGACGAATTATGGGTGCGTACGTACGTGCGTACGTATGCACGTTCGTGCGTACGTATGCATGTACGTACATGCATTGTTTTTAGAGATCCGTTGTTACTTATGCTTTACTTAGTTTACTTATTCTTGACTTATTTGACGCCGGTTACTTACTTTGCAGTAAAGCAGTGACACGAGGAGTTAACAAGGGAGCCAAAGAAGACTTTCGTGCCGCCATGGAGAGAGAGTCAGTGGCAGTGATGAAAGCTTTGAACCACTTCTCAAAGTACAGAGGCGGCGACTCGTAGAGACCTATGCGTGGGAAGGTTCACGCTGGGAAAGCCCAATACGCATACTCATATGTGCGTACATGCGTGACAGCACAAGTGAGACGCACACTCATGCGCACAAAGAGGATCAGAAGCAAGCGGTGGATCAGAAGCAAGCGGTAAACTGCGGTACCGCGACTCATGCGACTCGCGACGGTATCGCGACTCGTAGACCTATGTATGGAAAGGCTCACGCTGGGAAAAAAAATCATACGCGCACTCATATGTGCAATACATGTGCACATGCGTACGTGCGTACATGCGTGCTTGCGTACGTACGTACGCATATACGCACGTACGCATGTGCGCATGAACGCATGAGTACGCATATGATGTTTTCCCACGTGAGCCTTCCCACGCAGGTCTCTACGAGTCGCCGCGATACCGTCACGCGTCGCGGTACCGTGGTTTGCCGCATGTACGTACGCACGTGGCATGTACCCATGTGCGCATGTGCGCATGTACACACATATGAGTACGCGTATGATGTTTTCCCAGCGTGAGCCTTCCCACGCATAGGTGTCTGCGAGTCGCGATATCGCAGTTTACCGCTTGCTTCTGACCCATTTAAAAAACGAACCTCTTTGTGCGTCTCACTTGTGCTGCCACGACCGCACACAATTATGGGTCAAAACAGAATAAACAAATTTTTTTGACAAAATTGGCGTCGATTTTGCATCTTTTCCGCCACTTGCGCTGATTCAGGGTGTCAGAATGTGAAGAAAAGTTCAATCGAAATCGAAAAAAATCTGGGTAGAAGCCCAGCATACGTACGTGTGTACATGTACATACGTACATACTTTACTTGGTATAGTAGGTAAAGGCAGCCAGGGGCTGATGTGGACCTAATGTCTACGGAATTCAGCTAAAACTACCTAAGTGTACTATTATTAAATCGGATCAACATTACATACTAAAAATATTAAAAATCTTGATTCTTAAAGGCCTACGGACTAAACTTCGGACTATTCAGCTAAAGCTATCCAGGTGTTCTATTATAAAATTTGTTCAAAATAACAATACTGAAGATATTTACAATCTTGATTCTTATGGGATTAAAATTACAATGCTAAAAATATTTAAGGGAGAGGGAACGTTTGCGAGAGGTAAGGGTAAGTTGCCAAGCTACTGAGCCTCTGTATCTTAAGGAATTTCTGCCAATGTCCAGGTTGTATTTGGGTAGAACAAAGTGATTACTATTTCTGAAGTTACAGTGTGGATTGGCAATACTAAAGAGGTTTGCTATTTTATCTGGGGTAATATTCCTATTTACTTTGCACATTAAGATGAGAAGCTTCTTTTTATATTGGTTTGATAATGACTCCCATCCAGTACTTTCTGAACCAAGCTAAAGAATTCAACCATCTTTTACCGTCTTCAAAGTACAAGGACAGGGAGGGGGAGTTCCATAGGCAATTGTCACTGCCCTCTGATGTAAAACTCCTATCCACGCCCTTTAAGTTAGAAGTGCATATATATAATACTTGAACGACACAGAATACATCTTAGATTTATTCTCTAAAAATCGTAGCCAAAAGGGTACAATCAAATGAAAACAGAGGTGGAAATTTGAATTTCCAACACTTTAACCTATAATATAAATAATTTTGTTTTATCTTCGTCGTTTAATCAGAGTCCGTTTCTTTCGGAGAAAAAACTCCAAACAGTACACACTCCAACAAGAAACGTAACAGTTACGGCAGTCACCTAAAAACAATCGGAAAGAGAAACAATTGTCAGCTTTTTATTTTCTTTTTTTCTCCAAACGCGACATCATCGAGCGGCATGAGGTGACCTGAACCCACCTGAGCTATTACTGTGTGATTTTTCCAAAACATCTTTAGTTGGATTCTCACAATCCCAAATGCACACGGTAAGAAAGATTCATTATTGTTTTCTGGAGCATCTCGGCATCTGAAATGTAAGCGAAATTTTACTACCAGGGAATTGAAGTAATTGCGCGTTATGTTCTACAACGTTTTATGGTGCACGCAGTAAGAACAGGTGCAAAGCGTGGACGTGAGGTGCGTTAGTGCGCAACACGGGCGCCAAGCGCAGGAAAACTCAGCAGAGCGCCACGTACAGGAAACAAAGCTCGAGCGCCAAGCGTGGGAAAACATAGCACGAGCGCCAAGCGCGAAAAACACAGCATGGGCGCCAAGCGAGAAAAACACAGCATGGGCGCCAAGCGAGAAAAACACAGCATGGGCGCCAAGCGAGAAAAACACAGCATGGGCGCCAAGCACGGGAAACACAGTCGAGCGCCGAGTGCGGGGAAACACAGCACGAGCCCCAAGCACGGAAAACTGAGCACGAGCGTCAAACGCAGAAAAACATAACACAAGTGCCAAGTGCGGAAAAACACAGTACAGTCTCCAAGCGCGAGGAAAGAGTGAGATTTAGTCATTACTTGCAGTTTTACGAACGATTGTTTGAGAAGGTAGCTAAAGTTTTTAAATACGCTGAACAGACAAACAGCCATAACGAAAAAAAGATTAAATTTGCTCTGACACGATTCCGTTAGTCAAGTTAAGTTAGTTTAGAGTTAAGAAACTCACTTTTCGTAAAGTGACGCAGCAAAGGTAAGGTTTCCCTGTAGGATATCCTCTTCATTGACACTATTCCAGTGGATTCCATTCAAAGAGTAGTTATATTCAACCATATAAGCTAAGTTGTAAACCGCCTATAATTTAAGACAAACAACGAAAATTCTTAATTAAAAATTGCTATATATTAACATACTTCGTTATCGTGCTCCTTTTTTCCTATCTACTATCGCACTACTACGCCACGTTCGGATCAGCACTTTCTTCCGTTTTTTTCCTTACCAGAAGCCATAGGAAGAATCGGGCTTACGTCGTGTATTAAAGCAGTGTATGGCACCATTCCGCGTCCAAAATATGAGTGGGGCGTAAAAATAAACTCAATAGAGATTTATTTATCGACAATATTTGTCAACTCAGCCGTGTAGCCAATCGATCCCAAACGACACATGTGTTACAAGAATACGAGACTGACAAACGTGACTCCTTACGTCATACACCACAATTACCAAAACCAATATCGCCGTTATTTTTGCGCTTTCAAGAGACCCAGAATGACGTCACAGGTTACAGTGCGCTGACGAAGATTGGTTAAAAAAATGAAAAGAGAGCGTCTTCGGGTGTAAACCGAGGACGAACGATAAAGAACGAGAGTGAACGATGAAAACCTTTAAAAGTCCTCGGTGCGAGGATGGATGAAGTTTACCTGTGGCAGATCGTTTTTCGACGCCGCCTCTGCATACATTTCAGCAGCAAATGTGATATTTTGAGGAACAGTTTTGCCATACCAATGATTATCTCCCACTTTAATCATAGCTTTAAGGGAACAATTTAAAAAAATTGCATTTAATTAAAGCTCATTGTATCATTGCTAAGTTTTACTTTGTCAATATAAAATATGGAGTGAGGAGAAAGTTCCAGCAAATGATCAAAAAATAATCGTTCCTCACCAAACACCCAGCCCATAGCCGCTGACCGGTTATAGTAATGCCATGTGCAGTCCACCGCGGTCGCATCGTTCAGCTCATCCTGATTTTCTTCACATAACATTGCAGCATTGTAGAGAGGTACTTCCATTCCAACCTCGGCGGCTAAAATAAAGTAAACGAGCGACTGGTACCTAGAACACCGAAATCAAGAGGCCAATATTTAATCAATAAACCATTTCTTTCATCTCGTACCTAGATCCTCCGCGTAACTGAGATCCCTTGCCACTGCTTAGCCTTGGCAGGTCTGGGTACGAGACAAACATTTGTTTAATCAACACTTTTATCAAAATTTCCCAAGAGTTTGATAGATCATCATACAACCAAAGTTTTCACAACAGCCAATCGTAACAAAGGAAAATGTCGAAAGGAGCCAATGAGGGATCGAATTAAATACGTGCCGAGGGCAGTAAGTTTTAAGTTTCCACCTTATCGGTTAGGAGATAAATGCGTAAAAATGCTGTAAAATTTTACTTTGGAAAAGAAAATTGTGCTTAGCTGCTCCAACAAACAAAGATCCACATCAAACATCACGTGAGTAAAAGCCCAACTAGCAGAACTTGTGGAACGGGACTCGAACCCAGGACCTCTGGATTACGCACTCACAATTCGTCCAAGCTGCCTTCCAGCTGGAGAGGGTTTTAAGACTAATCAAACGGCAAAGTTGAAAAAAAAATTTAAAAAATTTTATTATAACTCGCCGTACATGTTCCCCTGGTAATATGCTTCTAAGCCCCGCCTCATTAACCGTCCAAGCTCAGGATTCTGTTCGGCTACAAATCGAAGATAACTGCAAAAGGAGAAGCAGTGATAAACGGAATGAATATCAAAAAAAAAAATTGCGTTAACTGAAACATGTGCCACTCTACTAAGCTACTTACACAACTCCCATTGGACAGTTCCGTTCAACATACAGGCCACTACTGACCCCTTCCCCCACGGTAAGACACGACCCTGGGTGACCCTTAGTAGCGGCCTCAAACCAATACTTGAATGCCTCTTTCTGCCAAAGAAAATGAAAAAAGAAAAAAGAAACCAGAATGAGACTACATTACGTATCTCGACGTCTTTGTTGATACGCCAGCTTGAGATAAAGAGCGCTGGGGAGGCGCACCTCCCAGAAATAGGGGTGCAGGGATGTGCCACCAGATGGGCTGGCATTTTCACGGCTGGATTGACTATGATGGGGTTGCATTTCCAATCTACTTACTAGAATGGGGTCGCACATTTTCCAGATTTTTGGGCTTAAATGTGTCTGTTCATTTTAGGATGACCTACGTAAAAGGCTTTAGTAGATATACGCAAAACAGGATGTGATTAAGTTAGGATCGCGAACATTACGTTTAGCTAAAAGTGTTTAAGATGGTGTCTATAATTGGCCACAGAATACACTTTGATGGGGTAAAGGTTCTAAGAGGCCAGCGGCACGTATCAGAAAAAAAAATCAATCCAAGTATTCCCCCCCTGGAAAGAACGATATCAATACACTATCCGAAAAATACTTGACGGGAGAAGACAAACCCAGAGGTTGCCTCTTGGAAACAAAACCAAATTCTCTAAACTAATGAAGAAAAAGTAAAAGTTGGAGGGGGGGGAGGACTACGGATTGGATCTTGAGAGTGGATGAATCCTCGTGCCCAGCTCTCCCTTCCGTTCTCCATACCTTATCAGGAGGATGTCCTTCCACCCAGCCGTTGTCATATGACACAGCTAAGTTGGTTAGCCCATCTCTGTCTCCCTTTGCAGCTGCTCTTCTAAAGTAATCCGCTGCTCCGCTGTAGTTCTGACGCGTGTTCACCTCGTAAAAACCCAAGGCGTTTAAAGCAGGTGGAAAGTCCTACTCCAAACCAAATAAAAAATAATTTCGTTTTCCGACAAAATAATATATTTCCAGTAAGAATGTGGTTGAAAAAATATTATGGGCTGGTGAATTGGACTGAAACGATGTTGCACAGCATAACGTCATGTGAATCAGAAAGCTGTGACGTAAAACCTAACGAGGAGGTGTGGAAATTGGAAACATTTTTTTAACTGGACGACCGACTTAGCATGATTTCCTAGTGGTAACGCACCACTGTTAGCAGACACCACATGGGCTAGTAAACCAAGAGTCAAAAATGCGTTTGTACCTGTTCTGCAGACATTTGAAACAGCTTGATGGCTTCAGTTTCGTTCTGTTCCACACCATGGCCCTTTAAAAAGAAGTACAAAAATCAACTCACTGCGCTTTAACGCCTTAGATTTAAAGAAATACTCGGTTACAAAAGAGAAACTTACGATAACGTGTTGAAACAAACTCAACATTACATTGGTTTTCCTTCATGACATTGCGCAATCTCTTTGAGATTAAAACTGAGAATCTGGTCTTAGTTTGTTTATTTCTTACCCTTAATAGGGACACACCCAAGTTATAAAGTCCCTCTGGGTCTCCTTTATCGGCTCCCATCTGATAATACTTCACTGCTCGGTTCAAATCTCTCTGCAAACCACGTTTACCATAATAATACATCTCCGCAAGCACGTTCTAAAATGACAAGTGGATTTTTAACACCGTTGCAACGGTTTTTTTTGTCAGAGGTAATGTATCGAAACCTAAATGTATAATCGGGATTACTCGGAAATACTTGGGTCTTCCTCAAGACGATTTTCCACAAAAGGTATTGGCATAACCTTGGAGATGTTGGACGGACATGGCAAATTCGTCTTGAATAAACGAAGTGAAAGTGCTAGCAAGCGGACTCTCGGAAAGCAGAAACGAAAAGCGTCCGTTATTGAAGCTTGCCGCTCGCGTGAACGAATAAATGCAAACTTTCTGTGGGAGTTTTAAAAACAGGAGGTCCCGTAGAGCACTCTAGAACTTACATATACATTCGTCATTGACCAATCAAGAACGAGATATTTCGTCGAGTATATCGTTGAAGAAGATAATGTATTCACACCAAGTTCTAATGCACCAAACTAACATTAGTACCTCAGATTTTCAGGGAAAACAAACAAAGCTTTAAAGACAACGAGAGGAAAGGGGAGTTCTATTTCAGGGAATTAACCTTTATAAAGCTCTGCCAACATTCTCCAATGGACAAAAAATAACATGTTCATTTGTTTATTATTAAGAAACGCACCTGAGCATCTGTCAAACCATGCAAAGCCTGATGGGTAAGCCACTGGAACATGTCAGATTCATTGCCTTTGTGATTGGCTAATTCGTCATAATCATCCAGGCGGACTGCTTCCGAGTGGGTCTAGGAATAAAAACAAGTCAACAACATGACTTGTGAAGTCATCGTGCAATTCTAATCGTCACTAATTGATGAATTGGTCAAGTCTGGGTAAAACGAAGAAATATGGACGATGGTGTAATAACTTTATTTCGTCTGCGTGCACGCCATCTTCATTAGCGCTTTGGCATAAGCGTTTCTTCGCCCGTGGGAAAGTATGAAACCTTATGCGAGAGGTCTGCAAGGGGTCTGGGACAGATAATCACGTTAGTGCCAGACCCACAGCAAACCTCTCAACGACTCGTCTGAAATCTTGCCGCAGACGGAGAAACGCGCGTCTTGTAGGAGGGCCTCCTCGCGAGCTAAGCTTCGTTGCATTTAACTCACATTTATTTCCTGATGTTCCTGCAAGAGTTTATCTGTGGTCATAGCTGCTGCCTTGTAGTATCCTGAAAGGAAATCACACCTCAAATCAGGTCATGTCCAAGAAAGTAACAACTTGGTAGTTCTGAAAAAATTATCCATACTTATCGTGAACCAAAATGCTTGTCGAATATTATGGTTTTGACTTACTTCGCCTCGTGATTGGTCAAGAAACTTGCGCCATGTTCTTAACCGATCAGATGCAAAACAAAAACTAATGACTACTTCGACACTAACTCGCGTTTTCCTCGCTTAGAGCCATTTACATGTATTCAATCTGAGTTCTCATCTGCTTCCTGCCATCTTTTTATTATTTACAGCTCAAGTTACTTTTGTTCTGGATTAAAAAAACACGAAACTCGACCACAGTGCGCTCTAATTGGGAATGAACTAGTACGTTTAAAGGACATCTAAGAAGGCACAGACACCTTTCTTCCTTGATATACTTCTGTTTATTGAACAATGGTTTTGTTCCACATTGTCATACCTATAGCTATATCACAGTCTCGGTGTAATCCATCGGCTCCTATAAAGTGTCTGTAAGCTAAAGCCATTTGACTAAGGGCGTGGTCTTTAGCCGCTCCAAGCATCAAATACTTCCATCCCTGCAGTAATTGAAATAACGAACCAATCTTACTCCATGTGACATTTCGAGCATTAGCCCTTCATCAGAGCGAATGGCTAAGCTGTGCAAAATGACAAAAGATGGATGATAGTGTAATAGCTTCGTTGCAATTAACGATTCGCTCTGACGAAGGGCAAACGCTCGAAACGTCAGCTCAACAAACTCTTTACGGCGGCAAATTCATATTTTCAACTCAGTTGATAAAACCAATCATATTGTCATACTACCCCAGTGACGCAGCAACACAGTTTCTTTAGAAATTTACTCTCGTTACTCTTTGTGATGCGAGTATCTATAGAGGTAATTCCATACGACCCGTTTGATTCAAACCCTGGCGCTTTTCACCGCGCCATTCCTACTCCCCCTCATCAGGTTTGAAAACGCTTTGTTCTGTTTTCATCTCTTATTAATTTGTTGTTATTCCCAGGCCCTTTTCGCTCGGTCAATCCTGTGCCCTATCTCGAACTGTGACGTCGCAAAGCCACCATTTCCCAGGCCTCACAATGACAACGTGGTAAGAGAGAAAGCCTAACATGTGGGATATGCAATAGTTGAAAGAATGAAGAGGTACAGTGCAAAATGTTGTTACCAGACCCATTTCACTGAGATGACACCATAACATAGGCTAAGTATACACAAACAACGTTTAGTCTAAGTACATAGAAAAGTAACATGTGACAGGCCATGAAAACAACACCTTAATGTTATAATCCATTCTCTTGTGGTATTCATACCTCGATTTCATGTTGAGGTACACCTAGCCCAACCAAATTCATTATTCCCATCATGTACTGTGACTTGATGTGTCCCATACAGCTTGACACTCTGAAAATGGCCAATGCCTCTTTTGCTTTTGTTACATCATCAACCTGAAGATTGAAAGAAAGCATGTAGTCATCAACTATAACTGAATTTCAAAACAGAGGTTTACACCAAGCCAAATGTTAGTGGGTCAGGTCAGATCTTGTTAGAATTGCCAAATAGCATTTTTCACCAATTTTCCAAGGGAAGGCAAAGAGTTGAAAACAACCTACCAGTTTTTCATTTGCCAGCTGATATAGGAATTCTGCCATAGATATTAAGTCATTGTGATGGTGTCTCATGGCTTCCCGAATAATGGCATCCACCTCTGGGGTCTCCCCTGATAAAGGAACTTTGCTTTGGATGTTTCTGTTTGAGATTGGCATAAGATCCATCAGGGATCTATGTTTGGCTGCACAGTTTTCTGGACAAATACAAAAAAACTATTTTATTCATAGTGAGAGTACATAAAAAGTGGATCAGTGGTTGGTATCCTGATCTTGTTATTGAAAGACACAGGTTCAAGGCTGGTTTATTTAATAAATTCCTTAGCCAGATTTTTCTCTCACAGTAAACACTGAGGTTAAACATCTGCAAATGTGCACTGTTTTTGATGACTGGGTGACACTCTTTTGGCCCTTTTACAAATTTATGCAAACAGTTCAGTTTAAAAACAGAAGAACTTTTTTTAAGGTTAAAAAAGTGGTAAACCAACGTGAAATCTGCAACAATTAAATAAGCTTTGTGTACAAAACATCTTGATTTTTCCTTTCCCTATTCGTGTTGCCCTTTTACAAATTTATGTAAACAGTTCAGTTCTTCTTGGTTTATTTAGTGTGACAGCAGCTGTTTCAGCAGCTGGGAAAATTGATCCCATTGCATATGTCCTACATTTGATCTCTGTGTTGACTCAAAATAGGAGAGTAAATGGGTATCAGTAATCTTTAAAAATTGCTGGAAAGTAACATGTGACTTACATGTACACTGTCTGAGAGGCAAAGAATTACTTGTTGTTACTTGCTCCCACAGCCACATGTATCCTAATCTTTTTTACTCTGTTCTAATTGCTCTACAGTTTTCCACTCTTCATTACATGTTACATATACATAGGTAAGACCACTGGGTACTGTGGAGAATCTTGCATAATTATGTAAAAGTAAGATCAAGATTAACTGGGTCTAGCTTTATTCAAATCATCATTCCAACAATAGTACTAGCAAAAGTATATATTTAGAACATGGGGTCTCTAACCTCAAATTATCATCAAAGTCAACATCAGCTTACCATTTTCTACTGATTCTTTCTCAATGTCCTCTAATACAGATTCATGTAAGTTGACAATCCTTTCACCACATGCAACTGAGTGATCTGTAAGGGCTGAAATTTGAATCATAATTTAAATCAATTTTTTCTCTACTTCCTTTGTTGGTGTAAATGAGGAGTGCAAGTGACTAAAGGCAATGAAAATGATGAAAAGTTAAGATTCACAAAGTAATAATGGAAAATTCAGTTTACCCATGCGGAACATGATATGATCCTTAGGAGGAGAGAAGACCTGAAACAAGAAATTTAAACCAGGATAACTGTCATAAATTAATTACTAGCTAAGTTTATCAAATTCCTTCACTCCTCATCAGTTATACAAGATATTTGCATTGGCTGAATTTCAATATCTATAAAAAGTGATATGTTATTACCTGGTTTGGAAATAGGAGGTGACGCCTATATATACGTGTGTGTCCAATGATTCCTTGGAAGGTTTGGGATCCCTCAGTGCCACCAAGCACCCAAAATCCTTCAGTATCTTTGTAATTAAATGACCCATAAGGAAACCTAGGCAACAAGATGTTGCATTACATTATTGACCCTTTACACCATAACATCAGTATGCATATTCTCCACACTGCTCTTTATACATTTCCTAAGGTGATGACAAGGAGAATTTGTTTGTCAATCAAAAGTTTCCTTCTCTGGTGACCATTTCCTTTATTCTCATGACCTTAATATGTGATTCAGGAGTGATATTGTGGGGAGAAATTAGATGCTGATCACTCTCAGGGATTAAAGGGTCAAGGGATACAGAGTATCAATAAAATATTATAACATTTAATTTGATGGTGTTACAGCATCAAGTCAAGAGTGAAGTCAAGATTTCTATTTCAAGAAGGAAACCATTAATTAATTGTAAATAAAACTTTAATTTTCTCTCTATAACTCACTCTTTGTGGATAGCATTCTCCTCTTTTTCTAACACATGGCCATTGTGGTGTCTGGTTGAAACATATATAGTTTTATCATCAACTGACATCACAATCTGAATCCACTTCTTGAGAGGCAACCGACTGTTGATGACAAATGCATAACCAAGATCAGGTGTGTATTGTACCTGAATATGAAGAAGTCCTGTAAGGAAAAAGGAAAATGATTACCTCAGCTTACAGGCCAGATGGCCCATCCTGCAAGAGCTTTTAAAACACCATGACTTACAAGGGTGACTAAAATTGATATAAGACAACCTGAAAGCAAGCCACCTAGCCACTTTAATGTTTGCACATATGCAGATTTTTGACCACACTGTCCTCCTGGACAGGACACCAGTCCAATCCAAGGTCATCCTCATTTTTTCAGGTTATTTTCAATCAACAGGCTTGCGCCACCTGTTTATATATTTCTGAGTGGAAAGAGGCTCCATGGAAGTGAAGTGTCTTGCCAAAGAACACATAACAGCAACCACATCAGCTTTCAAGCACATAAACCACTAAGTCAGGGCATGCACCAGCATCTCCCCTCCCCCCCCCCTTCTAATATTCTTAGGATATAAAGACCCATAACTAACACAAACAGTAAAATCATCCTATATATGAGTCACTTACCACTTGACGTTATACTCAATAATGGAGTCAAAAGAGATGTACTTCTGTGATTTAAAATTCCACAAAGACCATCAAGACATGGCTCAAATATGAAAATCCATGTTGAAATGGTAAATCTATGAAGGAAATCAATGTCTTGTAAATCTGGATCACACATGACAAACTTTCAACAAGACAAATTAGTTATAGACTAAGTAAGAGGACCAGATGGGGAAATATTTGGCGCCTTGTCATACTACATGAAACAAGTGCAGTGGGGTCCCTTCCCAAGAGCCAAACATTTTCCCATCCAGCCTGACTAACTTTAAGTCAATAAGCATCTTATCAGGTAATTTAGTGTTAACAACTAGGTTGAAAACGTAAATTGGCCTCCATAAAGAGTAAAAAAGTATGACAAGGAGCTGACACTTGAAACATCAGCTTTTTTACTCTTTACGGTGGCCAATTTATGTTTTCAACCCAGTTGTTAACACTTAATTACTTGCTACACTCTCCCACCAATGCAGCACCACAGTTTATTTAGAAACTTACCCCCTTTATTCATCAAGCATCTTATCACATTGCCAGCATTCTCTCCCTTTCTACTTTTCCTCTTGCATTTGGAAGAATTCTCACAGGAAATGATGTTTTTTAATAAAAATGCGTGAAGCGGCACTAGTCATATGATAAAAATGATAATTAAATAACACACACTACTATCACCTTGGTTTTGTTCTGCTGTGTGCCTCAGCCAGTTCTTCCCTAGGCCATGCAAGTGGTGGAAGAATTCTAGGACAAAGCAAAGTTAGGCATGTAAGAAAAAAAAGTAAAGCCTTTATACAGGCCCAAGAGGCCCATGGGGCCAGCACTTAACTCTGGTTTCCTAAGCATGAAGTGGCTAGGAGTATTGCTACTCTCCCCTGGATGGGATGCTAGTCCATTGCAGGGTTACCCCCAGCACATTTGCTAGTACCCATTTGTACATCTGGGTGAAGAGAAGCACTGTGAGAGTAAAGTGTCTTGCCTAAGAACACACACAATGACCCCAGCCAGGGCTCGAACCCAGACCACTCGATCCAGAGTCGAGCGCACCATAAGGCCACCGTGCCTCCACAAAGGCATGGTAGGTATGATGATAATAATGATGATAATCATAAATTAAGTGACATTCTTTTCCCAATTTGCAAGTTGAAAATTAGCAAGGATATACCTTTTAACTCCTGTCTCTTTGCCAGTTAGTGCAACGGGAAAAGTTAACAAGTCAACAATATCTGTAAAACCATTATGAGATAAAAATAAACTTAAGTATATATTGCAATCAATGATGATATGGAAAGAGAAAAGGGGGGTTGAAATTTAAAGGCAATAGGACACGTACCTTTAAGATGCATACATTTCTCAATCTTCCACTGCTTGTGTCTCATCAAATGTTCCCAAGGCCATGAAAAACTGAAGCCTGGTTTTTGAGGTCTTCTCCACGGAGAGGTTAGAGGCAATACTAGAAAATCCCCAGCTAACACGGGCTTTGAATCTAATCCACCAGGTAGAAGATCAAGCAAAGTTATTGTCACATGAATCTGCTCAACGTAAAGATCTGGAAATATATTCAGAGCTCTGTTTTCAAAATACATCAATGAATCTCGGAGTGTAACCCGCACTCGTAATTTTTGCGTTTTTTCTGAACGATGCAGTACCATAAGAGTGTATTTAAACTCATTACGCTCTTCGCCCTCTATTCCGATTGATATGATTTCTACAGACAAAAGCCTTGCTTCTTTGGTCCTGTAAAGGAGAACAATGTCAAACTCTGCTTCTGCATGGGAAGGCGCGGCAATTATCTCCACAAAATCATAGTACACCTTCATTCGTTCATGAAAGTCTGAAGGAATATCCAGTGTAACTCCAGGCTGTGCTCGTTTAGCCTTGTTTGAGATAATGAGCTGAAATAAACAGGAAATAAACAGAAGAACGTCCACGCTTGCCATTTTCTGGCGATTGTCTGCCACAACATCTGACGTACGTTTTCGTTCCGGTGCTTGGAAACCAGACTTTGATAAGAAGAATTTAAGTAACGATCAGTTTTTCGGTGAGGATTTCACACCATTCCTGGTACCATAACGGCTGAAATGGGACCGTAGTTTTGATAACATTTAATAAGGATCACGGACAGACGAAATAATGCCAAATTGTGCAGTTAACAGTCAGGCGCTACTCCTGCAAGGACTCGGTGCAAGTTTAATGCACAAGACTCAAATCGCGTTTGAAAACCTTGATTGTATCTTACAGTGCTGGATATCCGAAAAGTTTTAAAGAAATAGAGTTCCGATTAAAAATAATATACGTATATAGATTTATTCATTGGCAAAATTATCTAATATCGAAGTTCATACCCGGTCTCAACATGTCACGGTTAGTGACTTGTAACGCGAGCCTAAAATAACGCAATCTTACCGTAACGTTACTAGGGTTTCAGAGAGTAATTCGTTTCCCATCGCAGAACTGCTAGGGGATAACTTGCGTGCATCTCGGAAAATATGACACATAAAAACTTCATTTTAAATTTATATTAATCTACGATCGGGTTCTCGATAGCTGGTCTAGAATAAATGATTTGTTTTGGTTGAAAAACAGAAACGAACAAAATTAGCCAATAAATCGGATTAACAGCACTCGTACAGTTTTGTTACTTTAAAATACTGTTTCTTGGATGAATCGATACTACAGAAATTTTTCACCTGCGTCCTTGAAAAATCATCAAGAAATTCTCGATCATTTTTCGAGAAGCTGTTTTTTTTTTCTTTTTGTATTAAGGTTAAATAACAATATTTTAACACCTCAGAAACATCCTCAATTTTATCTTTAAGCGCTATAACTAAAAAACGAGTATCATAAGCCTGTTTTTTGTAATTAAATTGGGTTCAGCAGGTAAATAGTCGTCTTTTTTCAATTTTCTCCTATTCTGTACTACAGGTTCAGAGCTATCTCACCCTTTCGAAAATTTAAGGTGGCTCTGAACTTGAAGTACAGGGGGTCTTTTTTAGAGATCTACAAAAGATGAATCTTGACATGTTGACGACAATTCAGCGGTAGAAACGGGGGACAACAAAGTTATTTTTTGCTACGAGACAGGCAATTAAAGCATAAATTAAGGCTGTTTCGACGAGGTTGTAATATTTCAATGTTACCCTTAAATGTCACAAAGAATGATTACAATTGTTGAGGAAATGTTTTGACTTTTTTCGATGCCATTTCAAAGAAACAAACTTAAAAATGAATCAGTCCATCAAATAATTGGTGTTCAAAAAGGACAAGATTACTAGGCGCCTTTTGTCGCAAAGCTTTAATATTGCAGTATCTTTTTTATCAGTCAAAATGTATTTTTGCAATAAACGAAGCAAATGAACGGAAATGGTGGTGATCCAAAAGTTAAGAGGATATTCATGATATGATCTGTTTATTTCAGTGATCACATCTCCAATAAGACTAAATATTGACAAAACTCTAGGAAACATGCCCTCACGTGAAAAATTTTAGGGTCCAATTTTCATAACAATCCTTGAATCATTCTCTTAGAGGAGAACGTTTTCGACAACTCTTAAGTCACGTAATAATGTATTTTTAAAATTCTTCTGAAAACAGGTCTATTTAACGAGTCGAATACACCGAAGAAAAATATCTGCCTGAGAAGACACTATGGCGTTAGAAACTGGATTTCATTTGAAAGAAAACGTTTTTATATTTTGGATTGAAATCACTTCTGATTCTTGGATACAGTACCGGATGTTTTCGAATCTTATTAATACACAGTCGCTTAAGTCCTCGAGTTTAAACTGTCGAAGTCAGATTTTTTTTCTAATCACAAAAGATCAACAGATCCTCAAGCGGCACGGAAGAACTTGAGTTGGAAAGCATGAAATGGAGAAAAAGGAATTATACACAATTACAATAAAAAACCCCTTGATATTGCACCGAAAAAGATTGGTAAATAGTCGGGGTCCAATTATAAATTAAAAAAGCTCTTTAACATTAAAAAATTACCGACAACACAATGAGAAAGTAACAGATGTTGATGGCTCATAAATGTTGAGACCTCACTCAAACCATTAAAGAGAGTATACAAACGTGTTGTATCTTTGTTGTTAGAAGGGGTAATTTGCACTATTTATCCCGCTGAACAAAATATCAAATTTTATTTCGGAAAATACTTATGCATCAGTAAGCTAACCAGTTCAAAATCTACTTTTTATTCCCTATAATCATTCCATATCTCGCCTGATGCTTAAGTGTTACCGTAATTTTCCTGTTTGTATTATCTGTTTCCAATTCGCCAATCAATAAAGCGACAAAATTCGGGCAGTATTAACCACTCAGAAGTCGGTTTTCACTTACTTCGTCTATTGTAATATATCGCGCAAGGAATGAATGAATTATGGGTCTAACAAAATACAGGTGCTTTGCTTAAGCAAATATTTCTCAGTTATTAACTACAAGCGCCAGTATTCGGTAACTCGGTCACTTTCAGTTTTTCCTCAATAATGCGCTGAAAACGCAAGGGGTGAGATCTGACACCAGTTTTTTTGAGGGGCTGAAGGATGTTAAAGAAAGGTAGGTAACCCATCTCATTAAAATGTGCTGAAATATTTCAGAAAATTTGTTTAAAATGACGAAATTACACTTTGAGGTGACAGAGAGCTTTTCTTCCAGTTACAGATCTTTAGCCTATATAGATTATAGCCTATAGCAGGCCGATACATCACAAAAATTGCAATAGGGCAAGAAAAGTGAAGGCAAGCGGAGAGACGTAGTCATGTTTATCAGTTACTACATTGATTTCGGGAACTCAGAGTCAACCGTTTATTGAAATTTTTATTTTAAAGAGTGTGAGATCGTTTCCTTTTCTTTTTTTTTTGATGAACATTTTGGTGAACAAGCTCTTTAGGTAAAATTAGAGAGGCCTGCTGACAAAAACCAAAGCATAGGAAAAGATATGAAAAAAATTCAGGAAAACTGCTTTCGCTGTGAAAAGGTTCTTCAGAAATAGTCGGAAACCTTTATTTTAATAAACCTGCTGAAGTCATCAGCCGACAGCGAATGCCACTCAAAGAGGAAAGTCAGTTGAAATGTTAAATAAAAATTTGTCATATTTCCAACTTTTAAAAATCAACAGAAATGCAGTTTCCGAATAAAGGTTGCCATTCTTTATGTTTCTGTTTTCTCCTTTTGTAAGAAAGAATAATTTAACGTGATTTTCGATCCGGTTTCTTTACGACAGCGGGAAACTAATGTTTTGAAGTTGCCACGGTACCAACCAAGGAATTTTTTTGCCTTTCCTAAAAAGCGACGTGGCTACACGGCTTGAAAAAGTACAGTCGATCAGAAATCGATCCTTTAAAGTCCACGTTTGAATGCTGTAGCATTAATCAGTCTACATCATGTCAGGCGAAAGGAAGTAATTCCATACGGGACATCTGGAGCAAATACTATTTCTGTTCAGTCTCGATTTTAATAACCAAACAAAAAGTTGCGCACGAAATTAAAAAAACTGCATGGGTGCTAACTGCCTAAGCGACCTCATATTTCACCTGTAATTACTCCATTGAGTGGAGTTGAAACACACTGTTTCCTTTTTTTGTCGTGAAAACATTTGATTCACACGGAAAAATTTTTAGTTCCTGTTTTTATCCAATCGACAAAATTTTGACTTTACAAACGTGAAATAATATCCTGCGTATTATGATTAAAAATGTGACAGTACATACAATCTATTGGGGGAAAATGACACGCAAATGATAAAGCTTAGCAGTGTAAGTTATCATTTAAGTTACCAAGGCAAACATTACGTGAGGGCAAACTAATCGTCACTTAGCAATTCGCACGATAAGGTACCCTTAATAATTTAGTATAAAGACAAGCGTGAAAATGTAAAATTTCATGAGAAAAACGGTATTCATCGGTGTTTTTTACTGCAAAGTCAATAATCAGTATTTTCAGGGTTGAGCTGGATACTTGCAATCTCACGTGATCAACAAGTACATTCAATCTATCAGGTACTTAAATGAGAGGGAATGAAATGATATGATCCTACATCGAAAATGTACCATGAAAATTTCGCATGCGAAAGAATTGTATCGGTGAAATAACCAGGATTACTCTACCAGTCTTCAGAATATGATATCGTCATTTTGTGTGGTGAGAATATCATATTTATCTCCACATGAGGAGATATCAATGTCACCATGGGGATAAGTGACTGTGTTTTTAGGGAGAGCTTTTTGATTTTATTAATATCACCCAAAATAAATTCGTTATTTTTGACAGAAAATATTTTTCTCTAAAGGGAATGTGCTTTGTCTGAATGTGCAGGGAATAACTTTTCGGAAACGCATCCTCTACCAAGGGTGAATGTATTTGGTTTACTTTAAATGAAGTGTTAAGTTCGCATATTTTATCGATAACTGTCTAATAAACTGGACATTGCATGACCGTTGGGAGATGCGAATTTTATCGTCAGTGATCGTTAACAAAAGTTACCGGCATGAAATAAAGATAAATTTTGTATCCCATTGCATATCATAAAGCACCTTGTAATAATATCTACCATTAATTTTCTTTGGATGTCGCCTTCACAGACAGCGTCAATCACCAAATTTCATTACCAAAGCAAAATGTCGAGAAATATGTCGTGGAATATTTTCCTTCTCTTGTGCGGTTTGCAAAACGATTCATGCATCGGGTCTTCCGGTCCATTGCCTCACATTATTTTTTAAAACCAATTTTTTCTTCATCAATCATCTTGTTTCTCTGATTAGTAAAAATATGTTTAATACATGACTTTAATTCTTATTCATTGGCTGAGTTTGTCCATACGGTGCTGTGGTCTCGTTTATTTATCACAACAATTTCATGGGCTCCCTTTTAACAACCTTGGATTCCAATTTGAAACCACAAACAAGAAAATCCCAACCATTTAGATTTAACGAAACTTTACCGTTGAAGACACAATAAAAGAGCTTTAATTTGAGACTTGATAATGAATTCAAAACTTATGCACTCTCTTTTATCAACAATTTTTTTTATCGCGTGGCAGTTGTGTTCTAATGATGAGTCAATGTCGATCCTGTTCAAACAAAGGTGACCTTTTCCTGAACGAGAAGAACAGTACCACACTTGTGTGTCCATTATGGGGGGCACTTTTTCTTTGCACTCTTTCCCCAAGTAAACAGTTTCTATCCTGTGTTTGTAATTTATTTACACCTCTATGGGGAGTGAAATATCTTGTCTTATGCTAATTGGAAACATTAACGCCAATTTTCCTTTTTTACAGAAGGCTGGCGTCACTGAACTGCTTATTCAGCCGTCAGCCCTATTTCTGTGATCCTCTGGTTTGACGGATCTTAGTTGTTCACAGTCGCCAGTTTAACAAGAGAGCACGCACCCCTGTGGACAGAAAAAGGATGAACGTGACTCATATAGGCCAGCTGAATGCAACTCCATCACCATCTCCAATGATGAGGAACGACGTTGAAGTTTACGTACAAGTCGTTGTGCTGGTCATTATTTGCATCGGCAGCGTGTTTGGGAACGTCTTCGTTATAGGAATTGTGATCTTCGATCACAAACTCCACAAGCCCACGTATTATTTCATCAGTAGTTTGGCGTCCGCAGATTTCCTTGTCGGGGCGATTTACATCCCATTTTACATCATGGCATCGCTCGCTCAGAATTGGTATATTTCCCTCACTTGGTGCAAATGGCATGCAACTTTCATTTCAGTGAGTATCAACGCCTCTTTGGTTACGTTGTCTTTTGTCAGCGTGGATCGCTATCTCGCCATAACCGATCCTTTAAGGTAAGAAACAACTGCAAAGATATATACAAAACCGGGAAAAAAAACCCTTAATTAACCTCGACCTCTCCCGTACTCTCTACTCAAAACTCGCAATCAAAATTTCAACAATGGTTTACAACACGGTTAGCACTTGACTAAGCAATGGCGTCTTGTTTATATTATCTTAGTTCAAGTTCCTGAGCACCTCGGTTTTATTTACAAAACCCATTCACCAAGTGTTATGTATAGTTGTTGATACTGGCAAAGAGCGGCCGACAATATCCAAATTATGTTTGAATAAAATTACATGTTGATGAATTCCAAAAGCAGGAAAACGAGTATTCAGTAAGTCAAAGCAGCTCATTTTAACCTCCGCATCAGACTAGAAGGCGCCATTGAGTTAAAATACGAACAAGAAAGAAGAGTTCATTTCCTGGACCTTTGTGCCTCTGGTACACCTTGAGATTTGATCAGTAAACTATCGTTAATTCAAGATGCGGACCAAAAAAAGCTAACATGTAATTATGAATGAAGAATCTTTGTAAATTATTTTGCTCTGCACAGGGTTTTTCATAAGCGATATTTTAAAAGCAAAATTTTATGGGTCTTCACCAGATTACGACTGAATCAATCTGGATACTAGTGTATGGGGTTTAGACACGAAAAAAACATTTGCAAGGCGGAAAAAGGCTTTGATAACAAAGATGGTGTATGTTTGATTAAGCCATAGTTGAAAATGGTTTACAAAAAACAATTAAAAAAGTTAATAGCAAGACTAGAAAAGTAACTAAAGAAAAGACTTAGAAAGACTAAATAAATAAACTCGCAAAAAAATTCTAAATGAAATTTTACAGTTCCGTATTAGATTCAATATCAAGGGTTTTTTTAAGAGATATATGAAAATGACGAACGTAAGCCTAAAATTGACAACCTTTTCATTAAAAACGGAAATGAATTTATCAGTCCTACCAAATTAAGAGATGTAGACTTCTTTGAATAATTAAAATCGCTTGAATTTTCAAAGCTTTCTTTCTGAAGATCGTTAATTTACATGTCGTAATGAACATTAAAAAAAGATACAATTAGCGATCCCTTGAGACAAAAGCAACTGTTTTGATGATTTACAGAGCAGGAGAAACTAAAAACTTCTAACTTAATTTAATTCGATACCGCAGAGTTTACCTTCGATTACATCTAATGATATTGAGTTTTGAAAGATTTTTCCCTCGTTATATAAGAGGTAGGCTAATGAAAACATCTGCGACAAAATGAATCTGCAGAATTGATGAAAAACCACATCCCGTTAACAACATTTCCAACCACTGCATAGAACGTATTTACATTCATTTATTGGCCTGGTTTCTAGGCTGATCACCAGGGTATATCACTATGAGTCTAATTATTTCATAATCCGCCAGATGGAATCTGTTCTCCTTTTTCCACAATGCAATGTTTAGGAAACACAATCAGGCAGCTACATACAGAGTTGCAATTGTTTTCAAATTCACATAATTTAAAGCAATATCTCAAAAGAAAACTATGCTCCATCAAAATGGTTCCTAAAAACAGATGGGGTTTTCCCACCCTACTGAACAGGCATCATGTTTTTTCGTTTAAAGGCAAGCGGACGCAAGCGCGAGGCGAACGTGAAGGGCGAGAGTCGCGTTCCTTTTCGCGCTCCCTCTCACGCGTGAATATGTTTTCGTGTTTGCCTTGCGTGTAGGTCCGTTTGACTAACTTGTATATTCCTAAGCCGGCTACCCAAATCAAATTCTGTTTCAAGAGCACTCCAACCTTTCAAAACGATATAATCAGTTTTAAAGCCCTTCGAAAACTTGAATATAAAATCGGCGTATTTTAAAACACGGTGTTTAAAACGAATTGCCATAGACAAATTCTGCGGCAAGGAAAATTAGTTTTCCTGATGGTAAAATTTAGAGTAAATTTGACTAATCAAATTTCATCTTGTAGAAATTCACATCATAATGTTTGCGTCATATTAGACCTCAAGTTCTCTTAATGGGCAAATTCGTATGACGCATTATTACATTCAGTATGCCGGAAACAGTTAATGAAAAGTTGTCTGTGTAAAAGAGTAATTGTCAGTCAGGGTAATGTAGTATTATCAACTGAGTTGATAACGTAAATTGGCCACCGTAAAGAGTTTAAAAGCTGACATTTCGAACGTTAGCCCTTTGTCATTAGCTCTGACGAAGGGCTAACGCTCGAAATGTCAGCTTTTAAACTCTTTTAAACTCGGTGGCCAATTTGCGTTGATAATACTATGTTACTCTGTTGTACTCCCTCACCGACGCAGCACAACATTTTCTTTAGAAACTTACCCTCCTCTAATTGTCACTTGGTCATGCTGACTGTGGAGATAACTCCATGTCTGCTTTGGGCTTCTTTCGTGTTTAGATCAACAGGGAAAGACGTTTTCTTTGACAGCTATCTTACATCTGCTTGTTAATTTGCATTGGTCAGTGTCTTATGATGAGCGAATTTAACAATGGTTGTATCGGAAGGAAATTGAAAGAAAGCTGAGAGGCTCATTGACTTATTGTATTACTTCAAGTGGACTAGAGTTGGCCCTAAAATCGATTGTTTTGCGGTTGTCAAATAAAATCATTCATATAGCCTGCAAATAGAAGGTGTTTTCAGCACGAAACTACGAGTTCAAAGAAGCCCTCATCTGATTAACTGTACAACAGCAGAAAATGAATCATTCGAACTCTCCGAGGATTGAAAATGCAATTGAATGCAAACACATTTTCTTTAAGTCATCTGTACAGCTATCTGTACCTTGTTCTTACAGAAGCTTCATTATCGCAGCAGTTGTTATCAATTTAGTGGCCAGTCCTTTGACCGTTCTGTTGAACGCCATAGTAATGGTGGCCGTGAAAACCAAGAAACGACTACAAACTCTCCCTAACATCTTGTTGGCAGGTATGGCGCTGACAGATCTTATTTCTGGTCTCATCACCCAACCCTTTTACATAACCGTGACTATTTACCTTGTGAAAGAAAAAACTTTTGGCGGAATTTGTGACATTAATTTGGCTTTTAGCATTTCCTATTTCCTTACATTCTGGACTTCGGTGGTACATTTGTTTTTAATCAGCGGAGAGCGTTACCTCGCCATGAAATACACTTTTTGTTATTACCGCTTCATCACCAAAGGTCGTCTATTGGTAGCGTGTGCTGTGCCGTGGATTACCTCAGCACTTCTCTTTTACACTTTCACACAATCAGCAAAGTGTTTTTACATTCTGGTAGCATCTATCATTTTCACGACGATTTTACTCCACAGACTTGTTTACAAAGAAGCCAAACGGCATGAGGAAAAAATTTCGTTGGAACAAGTTACGATAGAAGCCAGGACCAAATTTCAAGGGGAGAAGAAAGCCCTCAAAGTAACATCGATCATTTTCGTCGCAATATTTCTTTGTTGCGTTTTGCCAGTTGCTGTCAGGACCATAACATGGAACGTTTTGAGCAGGCATTTTTCGAGCGATACAAAAACATTCTTTCGTCAGGCTAGCATGTTGCTGTCGTTTACCAACTCGCTGGTCAACCCTGTTATTTATACAGTACGAAAGAGAGAGTTTCGATTTGCTTTTAGGGAGTTGCTTCTAGCAAAATGTTTTAAGGATACTGTGGACGTGAAAAGGAGCTTCAGTGTATTTCGTTTAAGAAAAAGTATCGTAAACCCAGAAGATCAACGGGGAGATGAAACAACCACCACAACCAAAGAACGAGGCTCGCACTGAAGAGTTAACAAAAAAAGGAAACATACGCTTAAAAGCCTTGAAATTATCACTCGAAGGCAGTTATGAACTGAAGTGGAAACAGTTTTTTTTAGGTTTTGGAAAATATTTTTCGGTTGGTGTCTTTTTTTAAGGTGATGGCAAGACAGACAAACCACAAAATGAACATCACATCTCCGCTGAGAAATAGGTACCTGATAGGTATACGTATGTGCTGCAACAGGAAGTTACTTTTTTGCGGTTCTATTCGTGATCAAGTAATATTGTTGATTGTCCTGATTTATTTCCTACAGCAACTGAACACTGTTCGCTAACTGATGTAGTGAACGGCAAGAATATTAATTACGATACTTTTAAGACTATTTTTAAAAGAACGTGTCGTGACACGAAAGAAGCGTGGTGGAAATGGTTGATGCATACAGAATTCCAAATAAAATATGGTCTCTGACGACAATGTTTAGTAGGAAATCAGGTGTTTCTCTGAAAGACTAGTTGTATCAAATTAATTATACTCTGAAACCCTCCTTTAAATTTGCAAGACAAAAGAAAACGATATCGCAGATCAACTTGTGATTACAGGGTAATATATTTAGTGTTTTTGCGGCACACTTCTCTCTACATATTTTTTCGTAAGTTTATAGCCTTGAAAAGCTGTAACTAGAAACCTTCTGGTTGGTTGCCGTTTGTAATTAAATTAACACGCGAGTGAAATGTTTACATTTTGGTGAATTAACCTGTGCCTGTGCCTGTGAATGTTAAACTTTTACTAACTATGGGCTTTCAGTAAAAAAAGAGTCACTTTTCAGAATACATATTATCCCTCTACGCCCTAACATCAGTAGGCATATTCTTCACTCTGTTTTCTGTTCATCTCCTGAGGTGCTGACATAGAGAAAGTGTGTAACAACCAAGGGCTTCTTTAATTCGTGACCACTTCCCTTATTCTCGTAACCTTAAGCATTCAGGGGTGATTTTCAGGGAGAAATAAGATACTAATAAATCTTGGGGGTTGAAGGGTTAAAGCATTGCCATAACTTGATTGCGATCATTTTACCTTCTAGGTACCAGACTATTCTAACCACGATCCGCTCAGTCGTGCTGCTTCTTTTGGGTTGGGTCCATTCCATTTTCTGGGCATTTGCACCGCAGTTCGGTTGGGGCGAGGTTGTTTATCAGCCCAAGACCTCCACCTGCCGTCCAAACTGGGGCGCAAAGGGTCTGGCGAATAGGGTGTATACTCTCGGCCTGGCATTGTTGCCATTTGGTGCTCCAGTGATCTGCATGATATACTGTTACTGTAGAATCTTCTTTGTGGCTAGGTACCACGTGAGAGAGATTAAAAAGAACTCAGTGAATACGCCAGGCTCCAACACGATTGGCCAAAGAGCCATGGAAACCAAGGCTATGAAGACGCTGCTAATTGTTCTTGGAGCCTTTGTCGTTTCCTGGCTTCCATACACAGTATTGTCGATGGCCAAGATGATTTCCAAAGGATCTTGGGAATTCTCGAGCAGTATTCTGAACGCAGTGCTCACCATTACGCTCCTAAATGGTTGTGTGAACCCAGTGATCTACGCTATTCGAGACAAGAGGTTTTGCAAAGGAATGAAACGTATGCTATGTCCGCTGGCGCGAAAAGACTCTCAAGACTTCAACAGCTATCTGTCCAGTAGGAGAGATACAACGAAAGAAACGAAAGCGGAGAATTTCGAAATGGGAAACATCAACTTTGCTCAAGAAAGTTGAAATGACAGACGAATAAGGAAATCCCATATATAGAGAGATAAACGAAAAAAGCATCCTATGAATCTTCGTCTTTGTTCCGCTATTAACAAGAACAAAAGCACAGTATTCTTGGAAATTCCTAAATTGTACTGGTTTTCCTTTTCCTATCTTCCTCAATGGCGGATAAGAAAACTCGCGCCGTCCGCTCAACCAGTCAAGATGCAAATCTGAAAGCAATAATGACTTGGACTCTCATTTTCCCGCGCTTTAGGACGTTTGCACGTGTTTACTTCGTGTTCACTTTGATCTGCACTTCAGACTTTGGTATTAACTCTACGACATAGAATCGAAAAGTGTTGCAAAATCATAGCATTTCCCACCATTATGAATACAACTGAGATGGACTTCAAAGCATATACTTTGACTTTACTTTAATTGTAAAATTAAGTGAGCTAAAATAAATTACAGTCTTCCTGATTACAACAAGGGAAACACACCTCTCCCCAATTGTTCGACGAACGCTTGATTTAAATTATTAACCTAAGTCAAAATATCAATTTTTCTGATTGAATTTAAATTGAATTTATTGTTATGTAAACTATATTATTTTATATGATAAGCTGAATCCTACAAGGTTCTTAACTGGTTCTAAATAATGATCTATTGGAGACAGACACATAGATCACTTCACCATTAACAAAATTTTGCTTTTTTATCAGATAACACAAATAGGCTCCATGTTGCCGTGGGTGTGTTCAGCAATAGATCACAAAGACGCCAAAATGTGGCATACTAACATCATAACATCAATGACATACTCGACTGCTCCTCCTTTACGTTGCCATGTTCTTACCACATTTTAACCCTTTCACTCCCAAGATCTCTCTAGTAATTCTCCTAAATAACTTCCATACAACTCCTATGATTTTGGTTCTGAGAATTTGTTATTGGATCAACTTTTAATCCCCAATTGATATTTCTCTCTATTCTCATCACTTGTCTGCTTGATATTGTATGGATACTGTGAGGAGAAATTCTGTCTTAGTCACTCGTGGGAGTTACAGGGTTAACGTCATCTGTGATCTGTTACTAAACAGACGCACGGCAATATGGAATCTATCTGTAAACCCTTTACACCCTAACATCAGTATGCATATTCTCCATACTATCTCTGTACATCTCTTTAGTTTCTGAAAAGGAGAATTTGTTGAACAATCAAGAGCTTCTTTAGTTATTGATCATTTCCCTTATTCTCATGACCTTAATGTTTTATTCAGGGGGGGATCTTGAAACGAGAAATTAGATACCAGTCCCCTTAGAGGTTAAAGGGTTAATTGGAATATAAGGCTGCGTCAGCCATCCAAGAGTAGTTAACCTTTTGTAGCATTCAACATTTGATTTTTTGTACCTTACCTCCATAAAATTTGTCACAAATGAAATGCCACTAATTCTAACAGAATGTCGACCAGACGTTACGTTTCGATATGTGTACATGCACAATGACAGTAAAAAAAAGTGACACCGAATAAAAAAAATGTTACTGACAAAAATAAACTTTGAAAATTTGGGAACAAAATAACTATACACGCATTCCGGATAGCGCTGAATATTAAGCATGGCCTTCTTGGAATTTCCGAGGCGGATTTTTTGAAGACAACACTTACGTCCAGAACACCATGCTTCCTAGCGAGCTTACGTTAGTGTTTTTGTTTGTTTGTTTGTTTGTTTGTTTTCTATGTTTCACAACACGGAACATTCAGGTAACTTGCTATGAGAAAATGACCAACGAAACACTTCTAACCACGAAAGATAAACTCTTATGGTTACCTCGTGAATTTTTTGAGGAAGGGTAAAAAAAACTTTTACAAAGTAAAAAGTATTTTCTGTTTTATGTGCACTATTTTGATAGTTAAAGGTCAAGAGGTAAAAAAGAAAAACATTCAAATGATGCGACAAGTGTCCGAACGTCTGACCATTTTTTTTCTCACACAGCCGCCCACTAAGTTTGCGCGATGAATTCGAAATAAAATCGAATGCTTTCCAAGGAAAAAATCTCATATTTGTGATTTGTTTTTGATCATAAGTTGGTATTCATATTTTCGTCAAATCGTCAAAATCACTTGCACCATCAGCATCCTCGCACGCCCAGGATGCAAAACGATTCCTTCTCCCAGGGAGCGCCATAATCTCAGGAGGAAGAGGTCGCACCCACTCATCATCCACTTGGCTCGGGCGAGGAGGTGGCGGAAGCCTATCCAGTTCATCATCGTCATCAGATGTAACCTCCAAATCAGGCTTGTTATTCACAGGTCTGTTTTCAAGACTTTCAGCGGAGTCCTTTGTAAAGGTAGCCTGGTCGTTAGGACTACTCACCGTGGGCTCATTCTTAGCCGACTCGTCTGGGCCCTGAACGGAATTTTCCGGATTAGTCTTTTTTGCACCATCAGCGTCCTCGCACGCCCAGGATGCAAAATGATTCCTTCTCCCAGGGAGCGCCATAATCTCAGGAGGAAGAGGTGGCACCCACTCATCGTCCACTTGGCTCGGGCGAGGAGGTGGCGGAAGCCTATCCAGTTCATCATCGTCATCAGATGTAACCTCCAAATCAGGCTTGTTATTCACAGGTCTGTTTTCAAGACTTTCAGCGGAGTCCTTTGTAAAGGTAGCCTGGTCGTTAGGACTACTCACCGTGGGCTCATTCTTAGCCGACTCGTCTGGGCCCTGAACGGAATTTTCCGGATTAGTCTTTTTTGCACCATCAGCGTCCTCGCACGCCCAGGATGCAAAATGATTCCTTCTCCCAGGGAGCGCCATAATCTCAGGAGGAAGAGGTGGCACCCACTCATCGTCCACTTGGCTCGGGCGAGGAGGTGGCGGAGGCCTATCCAGTTCATCATCGTCATCAGATGTAACCTCCGAATCAGACTTGTTATTCACAGGTCTGTTTTCAAGACTTTCAGCAGAGTCCTTTGTAAAGGTAGCCTGGTCGTTAGGACTACTCACCATGGGCTCATTCTTAGCCGACTCGTCTGGGCCCTGAACGGAATTTTCCGGATTAGTCTTTCGGCCTTTAATCACCTGCGCATAAACCGGCGACTGGTTTCTATCGATAGGCGGAGGTACAGGTCTCCAGTTAGGAGGAGCTTCATTTTCAACAAAGTCAGAGAGTGAGAAGGCACTATTATCTACCCCGGCAGAATCGACAAGGCCTTCACTTTTCGTCGTATTATTCGGTTTAAGGTATCTATCGTCTTTTCCTTTACTGTCACTTGGTATTACCTCGTCATATACCGAGTTTCCACGAGAGACAATGGGACTACGCCTCGGCTTGTATTCCTCGAGGCGTACAACGTCATCCACGTTTCTCTCTGAGTACGAGGTCGAAGTCGCTGAATCGAGGTATCGCAATCCAAGATCTTGACTAAAACTCGTAGAATTTCTATCACCTACGAACATGCCAACGTCGATTTCGTCATCTGCAGGCGCAAAGTTGTACTGACCTTCCACACTTCCCTCACTATCGCCACTTGAGGACACTTGTGAGGTGCTCCCCGTCCTCCGATTGCTAAGAAGAAAACCCAAAGAATGTGAGGAAGGGCGTGGCCGACGAAGGTCCAGGTACATGTGACAATAAATCAACCTGGCCTGCCAACGAATGCTACAAAGATTCTGCTGTTAGATTGTCCCCCCCCCCCTACTACTACGCTACCCTACTGAAAAAAAAAGAAAGCAAGGAAGACAGACGGAAAGAAAAAAAACGACAAAAAGAAAGAAAGAAAGAAAGAAAGAATGAAGGAAAGAAAAAAAGGAAAGAAAGGCAGAAATACAGAAAAACAGAAAGAAAGAAATACTGAAAGAAAACAGGGAAAAACTTTCAAATAAATTAAATATTTTGGGATGGGAAATGTATAGAAAAACAAACCGTTAGTAAACTCCCGACACTTACTGGAAAATGTACTTGAGAGAAGGGTCTTCACGATTACTGATATGAAAACTTTGCCCTGGAAAGAAAAGATCACCATCAATCATTCAGTGGAAACTACGCAAGCTCTTGTAGATACTTATTTACATAAAAACAGTATGCACAAGTCAAGTTGGACGCTGGGAACTTAGCATTAGTCTTCACTCGTCCACAACACTGGTCTCCAAGCTACCAAGAAGATTTGACCGCGACGATTACAGACTTGGGACAAATAACACGTGGGTTTTTAAAATTAAGAAGAACTTCCTGAGTGGTGTTACTTACGAGAGCGCTTGGCTTGTCTTCGCTTGAGACAAACAAAAGCGATGATGATGAGCAAAAGGAGAACACCGAGCACGAGACAGACGACTGCGACTTTTAATCCAGAGGACTGGGTCCCATCACTTTGCCCTGACGTCACAGCAAACTTATCTGAATAAAAATAACATAAATAATAGTAGTAATGATAATGATAACAACAGTGATAATGCTAATAACAATGACGAAATCTGAAAAAAAAATCGTCACCTAAACTATCGCACGATGAAAGGTGTCTTTAACTCACCAGTATCAGTCTTGACGACGAATAGTTCCGAGAAAGGACCATTCCCTGTGTTACTGTACATCCGGGCCTTCACTTCATATTTGGTGTCTGGTACCAGACCTGTTATAAGGTAAACAGTGTCCGACATCCGGGGAATAACTACTTTCCCATCAAACACCGCACCCTCTAACTCTTTGTACCATACACGGTAACCAGATATTGAATATGAAGGAAGCTGGAAATAAACAAAAAAACATGTGAGAAAAAGGTATAGGTTTACTTAGGAGACAATTGCAAAATAATGTACAATTTCTGACTCTACGTTTCTTTAATTCTATCAAGGATACTGCATTCATGCTTAACAAAAAGTTACTCACTCGTTCATAGTAAATTCTAAGTTTAAAAGTGTGAAAAAGCACGATAACTAAGGTCAAAGCCGATCAATTGATCAGCAGCCAGGAGCAATATGACTAACATTGCAAGTGATGGCACGAGATAGTATTGCAAGCTACAAAACACTGTGTAACCAGAAGCTAAAACAATTCTCTCCTGTACCTTCCATTTAACCATAAGCTGATAAGCTCCATTTGACTGTACAATTAAATCCACAGGGGGTGTAAGGGGAACTGAAAACGGAACAGAAAACATCTTGTTATCAAAAGAGTCTCTTGTTATTAAGGAGGCCCAGAATTCAAATATAAAAAATGCTCCTAAGAGTTAGCACTTCTCGTAATTCGGAAAATTATATGTATTAGATATAAAAATATCTAATGGGAATTCTTTCTTTAGAATTGCAACCATTTACTGTACAACTAAAGTTCTTACCTAGCTGCATGGTTGTTATTTGTTTTGAAACAGCTCTACTCCACCTTTCTATTCCATCTTTCCTTCTTCTTCCAGCGTATACCCTGACCATGTAAACGGTATCGGCAGCCAGCTCTCGTAACGTGAAATTTTGTGGGCTCCTTACAATATTGTGTTGGACGAAAACATCCTGAGAATTGTTCCCATTCTGAGGTCCGTAGCTGATTCTGTACAAAATGGTGCTAAGATATCCATTTAAATTTTCAGGTTTTACCCACGAAACATAAACAACAGTCGCGTTTTCTACAGTCATTTTCAAATCCTTCGGGGTTGATGGAGCTGAAAGCAAAACGAAAGTAATTTTTTTCAAGTAATTTAGTGTTAACAACTGGGTTGAAAACGTAAATTAGCCACCGTAAAGGGTAAAAAAGGTTGACGTTTCGAGCGTTAGCCCTTCGTCAGAGCGATTTACGGCTAATTTACGTTTTCAACCCAGTTGTTAACACTAAATTACCTGCTATACTCTCCCACCGACGCAGCACCACAGTTTCTTTAGAAACTTACCCCTTTATTAATTTTTTTCAAGTCAGAATGACCATTTTCCGCACAAGTCTCTGACCTATTGACCTTTTATAACTGCACATGGAGATTTTGGCTTTGTAAAAATCCTTCAGCTATTTCTCCGTTTCGTATTTTGCGGCAAAAAAGTTTGTATTATCACTAATTTATCCCAGTCATGGGTGATTGAAATCGGTAAAGTTGTTTGAAGAGAAAGAGAAGGTCCTGAAGCTGCCAAGAAAGGAAACCGAAGGGACTGGGAAAGACTTCAATCCAACGGTGCTATATCAAAACAGCCCTCTTCTCCCCCAAATCAAGAGCATACATATAACAACGGTTATAAACAACGAAAGTTCAAACGCTTGGTCCCTGAAGTGGAAATCAATGCAAATTATATCTAGTGTTACCCTTAACCCTTTAACTCCCAAGATCTCATTAGAAATTCTCCTTACTGTCTGCCATATACTTCTTGTGATGCTAGTTTGGAGAATTTGGTATTTGTTCAACTAATAATCCCCTAATTAATATTTTTCTTTATTCTCATCACTTGTCTGCTTGATATCGTATTGATATTGTAAGGAGGAATTCTGTCTTGATCACTCATGGGAGTTAAAGGGTTAAGAAGGTTTTTTAGAGAGATTTCTTGGTGTCGAATTCTCGCGTTTTCGACCCCTTATTTCTCAGTGTTTAATGAGGGACAAATTATGTCAGGTAAACTCCTCCTCATACCTCCCTCCAGAGTTGTCACATTTTGCGATGGCTGGCTGTATTGACTACTGCCCAGTCCATTCTTTGCCTTCACTCTAAAACTGTAAACTGTAAACGCTTGTAAGTTGTTCACACGAACCGAACTTCCTTTTATCGTGTCGTTTACTTGTTCCCAGTCTCCTACTACAGTCTTCATCTGCACCATATACTGAAGAACGAGATCCAAAGGGTCAGACTGGGTCCAAGTCATTTCTAAGGATGTCTCCATGATACTTGTGACTGAAGGTTGAAAAGGAGGTCTGGGGACTGAAACGAAAAGCACATCCAAATAAGGGCTCCGTCTAAATCATCGTATTCCCGTCGTTTCAGGAACTTTCGGTCTGCACCAAGCTCGAACAGCCGCTGTTCGGAGCACGAGCCTGCGCTTACTCTATGAAGTTCATTCTTGGGAGGATCGGAGACTGGACTCGAGAAAATGGTGGAAATCGCGCCTAGGTCTGCACTGATCCACATAAATTCTAAAATGAAACTTTCCCGAGAGAGTGCTATTCATTAATTCTAAATATGTTGAAAAGTTCGTGAAAGCTTACCTCTTGCAAACCTCGCCACTGTATCCAGAGGATTAGTGCAGTTACACAAAAAGGAGTTATTGACAAGAGATACACCAGGAGTGATCAACTCTTCATTAGCATTGACGGTGTAATCCGGGAACTTTTGAAAATCTGGTAACTTAGAACCCTGTAGGTACCAGGTCACCTGAGGACGAGGGCTTCCTTCCACTTCACACTTCATGATCGTTTTGCTGTTCTGTGATGGAGTCTTTTGGAAGTCTATAATCTCGGCTTTGGCTGTGAATTTTAAGGCAATTTCAATGAGCATCGAAAGTTAACTCTTTGGACACCATTGGATTTACTTGAAGTTCTGTGGTTGGTCAAGAAAACTCGTGCCAGCCCCTATTTAACCAATCAGGAGCAAAACTAGAATCAACCACGACATGGTCATGAGTGCATGCTCTTCTTGAGCAGAAGTCTGCTTTGTTACATTCACATCGATTTCTCATCGGCTCAAAGTGACTTTTTTCCTTGGTATGATTGGCCAAAGTCATTTTTCCCGGTTTAGTTTTACGAACCTCGATCTGAAAGCGCTCTTAAGCAATTTTCAAAGGAAACTCAATAGCAATCCGCGGCAGAATTGCTCATGTGATTGGATTGGTGTAAAGAAACCATCACGCCACTCTCTCGACCAATCAGATGCGACACTTTGCTGCGTTTCCCAACATTGCTTGCTAGTTCCATTTTGAACCACTGTTGGCTCCTTGTCACACGTCTGATTTCCTTTATTCTCACGACCGTTGTAATCACTGAGATCTACATGTAAGTTTTACGGCAGTCACAGATTGCGTGCATGTTATCACTATTCATTGGATAACTCTCTATCCGGGATAGCGCAGTACTTTTGATTGCCACTTGTCCGCTAGATAGCAATTTATCCGTTGTATAGCGCTATCCGCTCTTAGAACCACTAGGGCCTGATGAGTATATTTCAGTGATGAGGACTCAGAATGCCTTAATCGAGTTGCAATCAGTGTACATAATTCCCTTTTGGCCTTTTCATTCCCAAATATTCGAGTGTACAATAAATATCGAAACCTAGTTTACCTCCGATCTTCACGTCAACTACTTGCTGTGTTGAGCCTCTGCTGTTCCTCGCCTTGCAAGTGTATGACCCTTCATCCTCTGGCTCTACATTATTAACACGGTACTGGTTTCCAGTCCCAGCAAGGCTTTCGCCATTTCGAAGCCAGGTTATGGTCGCTGGGGGATTGGATTCCGGCTTGCATTCCAAAATGGCAGTTTGGCCTTTAAGAGCATACACGGTGTTGGGTGGGACAATGAATCGTGGGGCAACTAGATTTGTAAGAAAAATAAAATGGAAATTGGAGATATCAATGACAAGCCGGTGAAGGTTGCACCTACTTGTACTTCTAATGAAGAGGAACACGTCTCGTCCTAAACCAAACCACAAAGTCACTTCAGTCCGGGCCTGGAGTAACGACTACATGACCTAGTTCACCAGCGAGAACCCCCCCGGGAGAGGGGGTACTTGGGTCAATTTTTTGCTGAGTAGGGCTGCTGGCCTCTTAAAACCCCTACCCCAGTATAGTCGATTCTTTGGCCAATTACAGATCCCCATCTTGGTCATTTTTGCGGACACATTAACAACTTTTTAACTGCGAATCTTCCAATTTTATAAATCCCAACTTAACAGAATTTTCTTATCTTTAAAATCCCGAAAACGAACGACCCCATTCTGGTAATTCCACAGAAAATCCAAGTCCATTAAAGTCAATCCTGTGGTGAAAATGCGATCTCATCTAGCAGCACATCCCCATGAGCCTATTACCCAGAATTCCCCTCCCCCGCAAGTGGGGGAGTTGAGCACAGGACCGCATAACCCAAAGGTGAAGTTCCCGCGGGTAAAAATATCAATATCTTTCTACAAATAAACTACTTGAGTTGACTTACATAAGACATCTAAGTAGGCCTTGGCACTCGCACACCCAGCAGTGTTGCAAGCTTTGCAAATGTGCAGGCCTCCATTCTGCAATGTGACGCTGGAATATGTTAGATCTCCATTGGAATGAATCTGTACAGTGGCACTGGGAACAATATTTGTTATGGTTCCACCGGTTTTCTCAAGCATCCAGGTAACAACAGGCTCATCAGGGCCACGGGCGCGGCATGACATAGTTGCACTGCTCCGTTCATCGACCGTGACATTACTCGGAACGATGGTGAACACAGGAGAGTCTGAAACATGAAGGAGAGAAAATCACAATCTATCTTTGCTTTCTCTCGTCCGCCATTTAGAACAATATCAAGGCTGGTTTTAGATTTTTAGACTGAAATAGGGGTGATAAGTTGGGGAACAAAATGTGGTTACATGAAACATCACTTAAAAATATACACTATTGTGTTCTCTCTATCTATTGGCACCAGTGATTATTTGCCAAAACGAAAGTATGAAGCCTTGAGCAAGGCGATTCAGTGGGGAGCAAGGAGTCTAGCACTGAACCCTTCAACTCCTGTGAGTGACCAAGACAGAATTTCTCCTTACTATATCTATACAATATCGTGCAGACAAGTGATGAGAATGAAGAAAAATGTAAATTAAGGGATTACTAATTGATCTGATATCAAATTCTCCAAACTAACATAATGAGAACCGTTTAGCAGACAGTAAGGAGAATCACTAATGAGATCTTGGGAGTTAAAGGGTTAAAGTGTCAGACCCCCAGCAAAACTCTCTCCACCTTGTCTCAAATCTTCTTGCAGGCAGAGAAATATGCACCCTGCAGCGCTATTAGGGAGGCCTGCTGCCAAGCTATCTTGAAATACGTGCCAAATTTTGTCAACCCTTTAACTTCCATAACTTATGAAGAAATAATTTCTCCTTACAATTCCGATACAATATCAAGCAGACAAGTGATGATAATAAAGATAAATATCAATTAGGGGATTATCAGGTGATCTGATACCAAATTCTCCATATTTAAATCATAAGAATTATATGGCAGACAGTAATGAGAATTACTAATGAAATCTTGAGAGTGAATTTACAGGGAAATGTACAATGACTCCAACCTTACAGTTCATTGCTTGACTCTCATTGCATTTAAAAACACTATCAACTATTTAAACAATAATGTAACCACTACATGCAGTTTTTTAATACCAGCCACTAAAAAGTATACTCTTTTTTCACTTGTTCCTGCGTCATTTGTTGCACGGCAGGTGAACCAACCACTGTCTTGTTCAGATACACTTTTGACCACAAGTGTTCCATTTGATAAAACAGTGAAGCGCACATCATTGGTGATAAGGTTTTGTGACTTGTACCATTTTATGGAAGGAACAGGAATTCCTGTAGCCTGGCATGAAAATATGGCTGTTTTTCCTTTAGGAATGGTTTGATTTATTGGAGACATTACAAAGTTTGGTGGCACTGCAGATGAAGAACAGATGAAATGAGTTGCAGAATTGGCCCTTCTTAAAAAAATTGGTGTCTTAAAATTTAATTTCCTCAATAGGAAACTGAACATACACATACAATACAATATTCTTTATTTTACTAAGGTAACGTAATTAATCCAATGAGTTATCTAACTTACAGCCTTCACAGCAGTACAAATACATATAAAATAATGACTACCGTGTCATTTTATTTATAAAATAATGATCAAAAAAAACTAATCAAAGCGGTAATTTTTAGTAGAAAAGACTTGAAAAAAACTTATAACCAAATAACTATGGTAATCAGCAAAACAACTTACTGTGAGAAAAACTAAAACTAGAAATTGTATGGTTTAACATAGATATAATATGATAAAAACAATTACCCTCTAATATACAGTTACAATAAAGAGAAAAACAACAATCATAACACATTAATTCCTCAAGATGAAAAACATTACAAGCAGACTTGAGGAATAAGATAAGAAGTTTATACAAAGTAGTGTGTTATGAAAATTTTCCTTACTTATTGACATAAAAAAAAAGTCTAACACTGAATGATTTACCTTGAATTGCTAGGTAGAATTTACCAGAAACTGATCCAAATGAGTTGTTTGCAACACAAGTGTAGAACCCTTGATCACCAAGAGACAAAGAACTCAAATTCAGGTGGCGATTTGCTGTGATAATTGTGTCATTAAATATCCACTGATACTCAGGAGTGGGCATGGCATAAGCTCCGCATTCCACCACAAGTTGAGTGTTAATATTCTGTGTCCTGTTTGCCATGGGCACAAGAAATCTTGGAGGAGCTGACACATATAACAAAATGAGACAAATGAATAATGGAATTACTAACAGTACATTCAGTCTAGTGAGCCTACACCTCATGGTTCATTGTTGCTTAACTTTACCCCATTTTCTAAAATGCAAAAATACCAGGCGTATTGCTACACCTCCCCCTGGGGGATGTACTAACAGCTGGAGTTTTGCAGGTCCTGGACTGCCTAGGGAGTGCACCAGCCCTAGTGGGTTGTCCTACAGGCTCTTTGCTACACTGTTTAGATAGAAAAGGATCCATAGCCCAAAAACAAGAAAGGATACAGCTGCCTCTCCCCTCTAAAAAGTTGGGAAGAGGAAAGGGGCCACACAGGCTACGCAAGAATCTAATTAAATATCATTTGATAACTGCAACTGATTGACCTTTCAGTTACCATATCTTATTACAACTGATAATGATTGATTTCTTTTTAATTCTAACCTTACAAAAATAATTATAATTATAAGAAAGTATTAAATAACTTGAATGTTGTGCCGCGTAGCACTGGGAACACAAATTGACCTTTCAGTAACCTCATTAAAGGGAAACAGGGAACCACACGAGGCAAAGAAAAAATATTTTGACCTCGGTGGGAATCAAACCCACGACCTCCGGATTAGATCTACCGTTACTCTGCCGACGAAAGCTCAGTCGGCAGAGTTCTTTTTCGATTCCCACCGAGGTCAAAAAAATTAATAATAATTATATAACTTCAGAGTTAATTCTCTGTTTCACCATTTATTAAATAACTTGCTTGACTCACTCAAAACTTTTAAGGTTGCAGAGGCAGACCTTTCTCCAACATCATTCACAGCCTTGCAAGTATATGTTCCACCATCAGTTTCTGTTACCATGGAGATACTAAGAGAATTGTTTGAAAGGACTTTTATGGTGCCCAAGTGTGGAGACTGCAGAGTAAATATGGAGCCATTGGGTGTGGTCCATTCCACATGAGGGGTTGGGTTTCCCTCAATTAAACAGGTAAATTGGACAGGTGAGTGTTCTTCAACCACTTTGTTTGAAGGTGTCCTTGTTATACGAGGATAACCTTAGAAGAAGAAAAGTATGGGCGATGAGTTAAGTGAATGAAATGTTGCAGTTAGAACATGAAGAATAATTTTCAATGTAATCTCTCATATACATGCATTAAATAATTACCTCGGATACGTAGAAATGCCAAGGCTGTGACATTCCCTTCAGAATTCTTTGCTGTACAGACATAGACACCATCATCCACATGCTGAAGATTGACAATCCTTAAGGCACCAGGAGAGGGTTCTTGCCTCCGATCAGCTGTAATGTTCCCATATAATTTGCTCCATGTGATACTTGGAGGAGGAATACCATTGGCACTACAGTAAAATGTGACTCTGTCTCCTTCACTAGCAGTTTTGTTGCCTGGTCTTGTTGTAAATGATGGAGGGATGGGCAGGTCTTAAAAAACAAATTAAGTCCAAAAATATTCATGTGATGAGCTAAAGAGATGCTTAAACAAAACAGTTAGAAAATATCACAGAAGGTATTTAGCAGTCCAACCTTTATTGCTTTAGAGTGAAAGATTTTCTGGCCAATTATTGGTCAAGATGTTAGAACATCAGTAATTAAAAGGACTTGCAGACATCTGACTAATTACTTACGGAGGGAATTTCAAACTTTTTGTTTTCCAAAAGATATATATTTAAAAAAGACATTACCAGGAAGAAGCTGAACCATTTGGACATCATTTGACTGATATATCAACACAGAAATATTTTTATGTACATAACAGAGATATAGAATGTAATTTTGTACCCTGAAAGTAGGGAGATCATTGTGTGTTTCAGTTTGCTTAATTATGTAAAATTACATACCATTTACAATCAGGGTTGTACTTGCAGATGTTGAGCCAAACGAGTTGTGAGCTTTACAGCTGAACAAGCTACCATCATCACTCTTGACTAAATTATTAATCCTCAATGATCCATTGCTGAAAACCTCAAATCGTCCACCGCTAGAAATGATGGCATCACTACTATTTTTCCAATTTAAAACAGGTTTTGGATATCCAACAACTTCACAGTGAAACAAGGCAGATTGCCCAACATATGTTGCTGATGATGAAGGTGTTTTAGAAATACTTACTGATGGGACACCTAGAACAGTAATCAAGAATTAGTTGGTCACAATTTTTAGACAAGGTTTAGAGAACTTTATGATTATTGGTGTCAAAAGACCAAAACAGAAGTAATAATTAAACTAAATCTAATTCTCTTAATTGACCATTTAACTGCCAGAGGTGATTAAAATGCATCTTCTACTTGCAAAATCAGGACAATCTCCAGCAAACAAGTAATGAGAATAGACAAAACTATCAGGAAGAAAGTGTTATCTTGATAGAACACAATCTTCTCCTTTGCAAGTAGCAAAGAAATGTATAAAAGCTGGAAGGGAGAAGTACAATCTAGATATAAACTCTTTAACTCCCAGATCAAATTTGTCATTCTCCTTACTGTCGACCATACAATTCTTATTATGTTAGTTCAGAGAATTTAGTCTTAGATCAACTAATTATCCCCAAATTGATATTTTTCTTTATTCTCATCACTTATCTGGTTGATATTGTTTTGATATTCTGAGGAGAAATTCTGTCTTGGTCACTCATCGGAGTTAAAGGGTTTTAAGAGCTGAGGATTTCATAACAAAAATGTGCTATACCTTGCACAGTTAAGGTCGCTGATTTTGTTACTGTCTCTCCTGACTGTTTATCAGTAGCTACACAGGAATAATTCCCAGAATCAGAAAACTCTAGGTTATCAATCTTCAATAACGTTGCTAAGCCAGAAGGGAAGATGTTGCCTTTACTGATGTTACTGCCATCTTTCAGCCAGTTGTAAATGGGTTGTGCAACATTTATTTGGCATTCAAAATTGACTGCGCTCCCTTTGAGGACTGATTGGGAAGTAGGTTCCTTCAAGAAGTTGGGCACAGCATCTGTATTAATAAAGTTTAACAAAGTTACTTTCTTGAAAAAATTTTAAATAACTTAATTCTAGAAATAATTATGTTTTCAAAGAATAGCCTTTGAAATGACTTGTAGTAGATCTGGTGACCTTGGAGTACTGGTAAGCATGAGAAGCCACTTCACTATTCCTATTTTCAAAATGCCAGAGTACCTGTATTTAAAATAATTATCTTCCATATATTTCCTTTACTGATTATTATAAAGTACACTGAATACACAAAACCAATTTCTCTCCATAAATTGATATCTTGTGGCTCAGGGAAATGATAAACCTTTTCACTCCCAAGATCTCATTTAGTAATTCTCCTAATTGTTTTCCTCACAATTATTACGATGTCTTTGTGAGAATTTGGTTTCGGATCAGCTAACTTTCCCCTAATTTATATTTTTCTGTATTCCAGTAACTTGTCTGTTTGATATTGTAAGGATAAATTCTATCTTGGTCAATCATGGGGGTTAAAGACTGGGTTTATACTCAACAAATGTCCCAAACCTATCCACCTGCTGTTTTCATGGTCTTCTAAATGCAGGGGGTGGGAAGGGGGGGAAGGGGAGGAAGGGTGCAACATGGATGAGGTCCTTTTAAGAAGTCTAACCTAAGTTTCCCTCACCTGAATGAAGGAATTAAAGAATGAAATTTATTTACCAAGGAGATGCATAAATGGTACAGGAGAGAGAAAGAAAGAATTTTGCATTCATCAAGGCAAGTCTATTTTTTGTTTGATTATAATATCAAAGGGTACCATGCTCACTAGTGATACATGCTACGACTCACCTGCACATAATGGTATGTTCATTAAAATAAGGAAAACAACGACAGCTGGCCACATTTCCTTGTTGATAGCTATTGGGTACAGTATCAAAAAACAAAATAAAACATTACAAAGCAACGCCGTTTAAATACTTGAGAGTTATAGTTAACAGACATCTGATATTTCTCCAGAGAAGACATGAAAGTTTCTATGAGGAAGAGAGTAAGTAGTAAAAATAAAAAAAAATACTTCAAGCTCATGGTCGGAACTGGCCCTTGCAAGTTTGTTGTTCTCAGGTTCGTCAACTTTAAAAAGTTAAAAAGCTACTTTCACGTGTCTTCTTCTTGCGTTACTTCTCCACAGTACAGCTACCTCTCTTAGAATGCAAACAGTGAAAGAAAGTATAGGCAACTGAGTGTCCCAATGACAGCTGCACGATCTTATGATCATTAGTTCGAGAACTGTTTACACTTACTTCTTATTTTATTTGTTAGTCATTACTACTTGTCACAAATAAAATAAAACATCTTTCAAATTAAGAGCAGAACTGTATTTTTCTGAAACAAAACAATTCATATTAGAAGCGAAGCCTCCACAGATCACAGCAAGGGACGATGGTGCTAAAGATTAATGAACATGATCACATTGTAATGAATTCTACAGAGCTTACCCACGTCGCTACTCAGCTTCGAACCATGGGTGCTTGCTTTGCTTGATTTGCAACAAACTTACGAGACAAATTTTCTGATAAATTACAATAACCCTCTATTTGGAATTCATTCGTGAGCCTGGTTCGCAATTTAGGACAGACTACCTCCCGATCTAAGCCTCCAGGCAACAAGCGAAACAAGACGCGGTTCACAGGAATGCATCATTTACTTCGGCCATTTTGTAACTAAGACCGCACCAGTCCCTTTCGCCTGACCAGGTCACACAACAGATCAAACAAACAGTAACGCAACTCAAGGTAGGATTTGTACACTAAAATTTGGGAACATGAAAATTTACCCACATCATGCGATAAATTCACATCTAAGACTAAAATTGCTCACGAGAAAGTAACGACAGAGCCAAAAATCTGAGAAATAGCAACAAGGAAGAGAGCAATAAATATGTGAATGACGTCACTGAAGGGCGGGCCGTGTTTCTTGACAAATATTTACAGGACTGGGTACCAGCTGATGAAGCTGATTTAAGTATGGCGGTGTTTCATAAAGATCCTTGTGGACTTATTTGTCTTTTCATAACTTATTCCGCTGTGTTTTATGCAGACTATTGTATAGTTCAACATGTTGTTCGTCCCACTCTAACAGAAAGGTAAATTTCTTCTATTTTATTTCTCTACGTCTCAATAATTTTCTCGCTATTTTTTAAGAGGTAGTCGAATCGATCATCATAAATTGAATGTAGGAACGTATTTAATCATTTTAATTTGAATGTCAATCACTTTTCTTTTTCAGTATTAAGACTAAAAATGTAATTCTCTGATAGACTGAGAAAAATTTTAAGTTATTCTGCGGAATCAAATCTTTCAGCCACCTTTAGCCAAATTCGATCACAGTCATTTCAATGACTGTGATCGAATACTGACGCGTCTGTTTCAGTAATTAACAACTAGAGTTTATCGTGATTTCATAAGAGTTGTCTTGTGGTATTATATGGTATGTTACATTCAGCATGCAATATAACAATGTTCCGTCAATGTCTGTGACTATATGAAAATTATGTATATGGACTGAGGATTATGGTTAAGAAATGAAAATGAAATAGAACTTTGCAATGATGAACTCTACTTAAGCAGTAGTTGAAATAACACCTGTATGGGATTTGAACCCATGACCTCTGCAACTCCGATGCAGTGCTCTACCAACTGAGCTAACAAGCCAACTGATAGCTGGTTACTATGTTGGTTGTTAATAAACCCATGAAGTGATGAATCAGTGACTGTGAATATATGAAAATCATATTTGTGAACTATGAATTTAGAAATGAATATGAAATTGATCTTTACTGTAATGAACACAACTTAAGCAGGGGTTAAAATAAAGCCTAAAAGTAGTGTTCATTATTGTTAAGATCACTTTCATATTCAATATTCCATCAACTCTTAGGCCATGCTGAAAACAGAAGTGTTTTGAGGGTCTTGAATTATTAAAATAACTTATAAGAGGTATAGTTCAGGACCTCTTCAGTCTTTGGTCTCAACTTGTCAATGACATGAGTCTTGTCTTCTGTCCATGGGGGCAAATTTCCATCTGGTTTGTTGGGCTGAGATTTCAGCCTGGCTACCCTTCATGATGAGTCTTAAAGCTTGGTTACCAAAATAATAAGGGGAAATATTTTAGTAACCAAGCTCAAGTGTTTATTTTATTAGGAAAAGTTACTAAGACCAATTGTGGAGATATTGGTTCCATGGCCAGCATCCCTCCACAAATCCCAATGTTTTTTTCTGAAGGTTAGACTGGAGAAATTGCAGAAACCAAAGCAACCATTAATCAATGTTGGTTATTCTAGAACAATGTTGGTTATTCTAGAACAAAAATATTGTGAAGTGATGAATTTAACAGTCTTGAAAGTTATAATGAATAGACATCTGAATTTTCTTTCCCAAAACTTATTAATCTCCATTTGGCTTTTATTTGTTTTTAGCATCTGGGGCAGCTTACATGTTTGTATATTTAATATCATTGTTCTACTGTTGACAATATCCCATGTCAGAGCATCATTTTCTGATCCAGGTAAGATGGGCTCTTCTGTAAGGCACTCAGCATCTTTCTTCATTTTTTTCTTTTTGTTTTGTATTTTTGTTTTTTGTCTTCAGTTTATCTTGATGGCTATTAGCTAAGAGGAAGTACATATTTGCTTTTGTAAGCCCTGATAAAGTAAAAACTAATCCTTAAGGAAAGAGAAAGCTGGCTTCAATTTTCAAGCTCTGAAGGAGAAAGTTATGAAATGGGGCAATTAAAAGCAAAATTATGTAATAAATATCCCCATATCTTGCAGAGTATTAACTTCAGAGGTTTGCCCAGAGCAGAACAGTATCGAGATCAGTAACATTTTGAAGAGAACCATTTGCGTAGGCAGTCCATGCTTTTTGGAAGGGATGCCTGCATGAATGTACTTGTTAGCTAAATGTACAGAAACCACTGCATGTTTTCTCTTTGTAAATGGTTGTAAAGTATAGTTTTTGCTTTCATGTTTAATTCTGTTTACATCTCTTTTTAGGGGTGGTAGCTAGACCCTCATCAAGTCTTGATTTCTCAGAAATAAATAAAGCAAAAACTAAGCAAACAGAGGTGAGTAAACAGAGAAGTAAAAACTTAGAGAACTTAGAAAAAGACCTCACCTGTTAAAATATTTCAATTTTTCCTTGAAAGAATTTAATAAAATTGCATTTAATGTTTCCAACTAAGAGGATTACTTGACATGGTCAGGCATTTCTTTTCTTGGATTTCTGCACATGTTGAACATTGATTCATAAACCTTACAAGTACATGCTATAACTTAAACCTTTTGAGAAGACAGCAAAATACCAAGAAAAAGAGATGATTAACTCAACCCTTTAACTCCCAAGATCTGATTGTTAATTCTCCCCTCTGGCTGCTGTCTATTCCCTTGTAAATCAGTTATGAGAATTCAGTGTAAGATCAAGATAACAACTCTTACCTGATAAGTTGGAGTTTTCTCAATACCTGGTTGCAGGATAATGTATGGATATTATAGGGAGACTTTCCATGTTAATCACCTCTGGTAGTTAAAAGGTTAATAAATATCTGCTGATGGTTTCAGAGTGAAAATGAATGGACTGTCTGTGCAAAATGCGAAGCTTATCGTCCACCGAGGGCACATCATTGCAGGTACATATACCAGATGTTACACAAGGGAAATTCCATAGCCATAAAACCAGCCTAAATTAACCCTTTCAAACCCAAGATCCAAATATTAATTCTGCACACTGTTCTTGTTACATTTCTTGTCATTTCAAATCTGAGAATTTATTGTTGCATCAGCAAATATATTCCCTAGTTGATATTATTCTTATCTCTCATCATCTTTCTGCGCAACAAATGTATTGATATTTTAGGGAGAATTAAATTTTTTTAATCGCTGGTGGGAGCTAAATGGGTAAAACAAGTTTAATTTACAGTGCAATGAAATCAAAAGGTATTAACAACAGAGTTTGTTATCTCTGTTTCAGGACATGTGGAAGGTGTATAAGAAAAATGGATCATCACTGTCCCTGGTAAGTAAACCGTACTTGACACATTAACCCTTTCATTTGTAATTCCCCTTACAGTCAACGATACAATTATCATAATGTTAGTTCAGAGGATTCAGTATTGGATCAACTAATTATCTTCAAATTGCTATTTTTCTCTATTCTCATCACTTATCTGGTTGATATTGTATTGGTATTTTAAGGAGAAATTCTGTCTTGGTCACCCATGAGAGTTTAAGGGTAAAATAAATTTCACTTCAAACCTAATGTGATAAGGGTACTTTTCTTTAGAAAATTATCACTATTTTGCCTCCAATTTTTGTAACCTTCTATAGGAAACCATGTTTTATTTTACACCTGGAAGCTAAAAATAAATCTGAATCCCACTGTACATTCAAGTTACCAAAAAGGAAAATGGGATAAAAATGTATTTTTATGGCATGAAAGCATTGAGCAATTTTCTCTTATAGGATCAATAATTGTGTTGGAGAAGCTAACCAGAAGTATTTTATTTTATTCTTGTTTTACACAGGTAAGATATTTTTGAATTGTAAGCACATTAATCAGGTCTTTTGCCATTTAAGTCTTTCTTTCTCTGAAAATTCAATATAGATTACTTTATTAAAGAAAATGGTGATAGTGCTTGCACTCTATGTAGTTTATGGCTGTGTTTTGATGAGTGTTTGTTTTGTCCAAACCCTCTAGAGTTTCTCAGCCATGCACAACTCTCCTAAATGTTCAGATGATGCTATGTAAACACAGAAAAAGTCTTCTATTTTCTAAGAAACATTAATTACAGATATTGATATCAAATGGAAGACTTAAAGACAAAATGACGAGGATGCTTAGTGTCAGGGAAATAATCCTTTTTTACTTTAATTTGGACTCACCAGTGCCAGCATAAGCTTACTAGAGGCAGTTGGAAGATATGACTCACCATTGTATGTCCAATTGTCTTTGTTGTCAACATTTCTTTGCTAAGTGCTTCATATTACCTTTTAGGTCTAGCATCACTGTACAGTATAATTCTCACAGCTGTGTCATGGACAATGGAATGCAATGGCTGCACCAAAGACTATGAGAAAAGAACAAGATTGTGAGTCTGTCTTGCAAAGAAGAGTTAGCTATAGTCAATTAAAGCATTAGAATTTCATCTAACCATTAACCCTTTAACTCCCATGAGTGACCAAGACAGAATTTCTCCTTACTATATCCATACAATATCATACTGACAAATGATGAGAATAAAGAAAAATATCATTAGATCCAATACCAAATTCTCCAAACTTCATTTCTAACCATTAACCCTTTGCACCATCACACCAGTGGTCATTTTCTCCACACTGTTCTCTTTACTTTTCCCATGGAACTGACAAAGAGAATTTGTTTAACAATCAGGAGATTCTTAAATTGGTGATTATTTTCTTTTATTCTCATGACCTTTACATTTCATTCAAGGGTGGTACTGTGAGGAGAAATTAGAAGTCAGTTTCCTCTTAGTCCCTCGAAGGTGTTAAAGGATTTAACAATAATTATTATCTCCATGACAACAGGAAATATATGACCTCCACCTAACATGAATTTAAAAAATGGTTCAGTCAAATTGAATTTTTCAAATTCATAAATTGTAACTCTCCTTCTCGTTACTCTTCTGTGAGATTTCATTCCAAAAAAATTGTTGTTTTTCCTTTCCATATTCATTATAACTACATATTTTCTGTCTCATGAGAGTATTAATTGAGATTCTCTTTAATATAAAGGTTAAGTTTTGAATGTCACAGGAAGATCCACTGAAAAAAATACATAACCCAATGTAACACTGTTTGTTTCTTTTTCAGAATTTACACTGTAATTTTGATGATCGAAGGTGTTCTGTTTGGTTTATTTGTCCTAGCCATGTTATGTGACCAGGTATGTACGTGTACACTACCATATTATGAACAGTTATTGCTACAAACATTGTTGTTGAATAAACTTTGCTGGTTCCCAAGCCCTTTGCTTTAGAGAGGAGTATAGTCCAATGCAGTGTCATAAAATAATGCAACAGGCTGACATCCAAAGGAATTTTATTGTGCAATGAATCTTTAAGATTAGATCTCTGTGGCACATTTGTTATAACATTTGACTATTGTGATAGGAGGGATGACTGGTTAGGGAACTAGACATACATCCTTGTTATGTTTTTATAGGTTTCCTTGATCTGACCATGCACAAAGTAATTTTTTTACTGTTATTTCTGCCAGGTACTGCATTAGTTGAGATTTTTCTTACTTTCTGTCTTTGCTCTTCAGTTCTCAGCCATTACAGGTGACCTCACAGCTGTGGAACATGTACAGCGGCAAATCAGAACAAACCGCAAACCAAGGAGTGCTCTCTTAGCTGAAGTGTTTGGAAGAGGTGCTTGTCTATTTTAATATATATATACACATAGATACTTATGTTTCTTCTTATTATTATTGTTATTATCAGTACTATTATTATTACTATTACTATTATTATCATTATTATAAAATTATGATTATTACAGTTCTTGTTAGTGATACCACAACCACTGAAACCTGAGCGAAGTAATTTGTTAGTAGGATCTTTTTTACCACATAATACCTCAAAGTCTATTTTAATTTATACCACAGGTGGATTTTTCATTTGGTTCTGTCCATGTTCTACTCCTCCCAGCCCACAACGGTCAACAGCATCAGAACGCTATAATGTCTAACTGGCATGGTTTCAGAAAGAACAAAGCAATGAAGGAGAATCTATGATCCTTTCAGAAGTCATTAAGTTAGAGCGTTTTTCTTGCTTCATTTGTGGAGTGTAAAAACATGCCCTCTCATTTGAATATGGCAGCCCATATTAACTCCCTGGAAGTGACTTGCCATTTTTTCTTCTCCAATCTGCAGTACATTTCATGTAAATTAGTCTAAAAAATTTTTTGTGTTACATCAACATAACACCCTTAAGCTTATGATTTTGTATATATTTATTACATTTTTCCAGGATAATGTATTGATATGGAAGTTAAAGAAAAATACCAATTATGATCTTGCATAGAGCTGAAGTTTGCAAGGGGAATGCTTTTCCTGGTATTTCACCCCATGGACACAGTCTTTAAAGTTGAGTGAAGTTTGACCAGCCACATATACCTTCATTATCATTATCACTGCAAGGTCATCCTCATCATTATTGTCATTGTCATGATTAGCCATTCTTGAAATGTGATTGGTTACACAGCATGCAAATTAAGCACCAGTGAGAACTTCCTAGTCATTGGCTAATGGGGATGTGGCACAGGATATGGTCGCATTATCAAAGCATTTTTTTGCCCATTTTGAAATAACCCCATTCTTGTATCAACACAAACTGTGCAACAGGGTTGAATATCAATTTTTGCCAGTGTTAGTAATTTCAATGGAAATTTATTTTTCTTATGAAGATCAGTTGACAAATCACTATCACTCCAGAAAATACATATTCAGGCAATATGCATGTACCTCTAATCACTGTAAAATAGTTATCTGATTCAGCTTTAAAATTGGAAAATACTGTTTTGTAAAATTTATTTTTGAAAAGGTGAATATTTTAACTGTGCATATTTATTTATTAAGATAAATAAGAAACCCATCTTAACTCTTTCACACAACAATACATTGCATAAATCCCATTCTCTTTTAGTAACAGTACATTATTAACACATGCATGCAAGTGCAAATTCCAAGATGGTGGGATGTCACTGTGTGTCTTCCTGTTTTGGGATTTCTTTGATGTGCAAGGAAATCAACTTATTAATTTCCACGTCAGTGTTAGAGCACTTTTCAATTGAGAATTGCAAAACCTAAACAGAAGTAATCACAACGGCAAATTAGAAGAAAGGAAATTACATTTAACCCTTGAACTCCCATGAGTGACCAAGACAGAATTTCTCCTTACAATATCAATACAATATCAACCAGATAAGTGATGAGAATTAAAAATATATCAATTTGGTAATAATTAGTTGATCCAATATTAAATTCTCTGAACTAACATGATAAGAATTGTATGGCTGACAGTAAGGAGAATTACAATTTGATCTGGGAGTTGAAGGGTTAAGAGCCGATGAGAACTTAAGTGTGGGAAGATGTGTGCAACCAGTTCATGTTTGGTTTTAGTTTTGCATGTGATTGGTTGTGAAAGTGATGCAAGTTTTCTGGACCAATTGCATAATGAGGCACAGCAAAACCAATGTGATTCCGGATTACTTTTGACACCTTTAAAATTGAAAATTGCTCTTAAAGAAGCTTTGTATCAACTTTAATTCTCTCTCTCGTGGTATGAAAAAGATAGCTGAAGAATAACCTGTTTACATCCATTCTCGTGATAAATATTTCTCCATGCATAATTTATGTCCAATGTGTTGACAAAGTAGTACCAACAATATTATTTTCAAGTATTTAGGTTGGTTTAGGTTGCAAGTGTTTCCTCTCTCAAAAACGCTAAGATGTACACATTATTCAAATATTTATTATTATACAATTATTGTGAGTAAGCTGAATATTAAAAATTGTGATATGAAGAACAATGTTTGATACAAAAAGAAGCGTTATGTGTTCCAGAACTTGATAGAGAAATAATATCTATCCGATGAAAATCCTTACTAGTGAAGTCCTGTCAGACATGTTTCTTTCATTAACCCTTACCACCCTTAAGAGTGACCAGCATCCAATTTCTCCTCACAGTAGTGCTTCTGAATCATTCGTAAAGTTTGTGGGAATAAAGAAAATGATAGCCTACGTGTAGCCGCACCCCTCCCTACCCCCCAAGGTGAAACGGTTATCTCGCCTCCGTTTCACCTTGGCGGGGGGAGGGTACGGCTACACGTAGGCTAAGGAAATGGTCGCCGACCCCAGAAGCTTTGTTAATTAAACGAGTTCTTCTCGACAGTACCAAAGTAATTGTAGAAGAGAGCCCTTGGTTGGATAACTATCGAGTGAAAAATTTACAATTCAAAAACCATGCGTTTTCTTCTGCATAATTATGTAAATGATTCATTCGTCGCGTCACACATGAAAAAATTTAAAAATTTTTTTAACACTCACGTTCTATCTTTAAACATGGAGCGGAAATAAACTTGTTTCAAAGCCTTAATTATGTTCGGAAACGAGAGGTTTGAATAGTGAATAGATTTAATAAAACAACCGAAGTCCGTGAAAATGTAGCGAGCGGATATTATGGATGAGAGGTAAAAAAACAGGTAATATTTTAATTGACAAGGGGAGCGGCGTGAAAATTTTCGCGAATTGGTGTCTTTGTTGACAGATCTACTTACTTCCTTATATTGATTAGACAGAGCTCATATCCAACCAAAACCTAAATTCGACTTTTCTCTTCTTTGATGTGCTGAGTTTACAACTTTTTATTACGATGTCTTCGCTTGTTAGAGTTTGTGCAACTGTGTTCTTGTTTTACGCTTGCGGTTTGTATGGTAGTCATATGACTACCAAAGCGGCAGACGCCTGTGCTCAAGCTCTTCGTGCCTTAGAGAGGAAGATGCTTAAAAGGTTTGATAAGCTTGAGGACGGAGTATCCAAGTGTTGTAGACCGCCTCCAAAAGGTAAATGATCACACTTCAGTCGATGGTGAGAAGTTTTCAAAACCGACCTGGATGAAATTATTTCAATTTTATCTCATTTTTCTCACAGAAACGTATGCCTCCTGTCGGGAAATTTACTTGAGTCACAATTTTCACAAGTAAGTCAAATCGATCTTCGAAGTCCTTGCTGCCTTCTTGTCAACTTGTGGTTGGCGCCCGAAATCCATCAGAAACCAGAAGACACTCTTTGATTGCAGACTTTTCAAACCTCGAAAAAGTAACTGATAATAGTTTCCACACATTGATTGATCAGTGATTTGCAATTTTCCCTGAAAAAAAGAATCGTATCGTATCTGAATTGAAGTATGATCTTTGAGAAGCACGGGTTTTTTAACGAATTATTACTTCAAGAATTCGTTTATGAAGAATGGAGGTTTTTGTTATCTTCAGTTTTGGGTGAGAACGCTTCTGTATGAGAACGTTTTAGTTCATTCCAAGACAAGGGCCCTTAAAAATCTCGGAGAACAGCAGCAATTCGGTGTCAGTTTCGTTGCATGCAGTGGCATTTCCTCTTCAACAAGATTTTAAATGGAATCCAATACCCAAAAACTGACATAAAATTCCATGAAAAACTTTGAGTTTCCAGCATCATTATTCTTTGAAAAGATTCCTAAATGACGTGGATGAAAAGACATTTTCTATTTTTTTTTTTTACATTTTACTGACTTGCTGTCTGTACACGTCAGGTCCGCAGGAAATAAAGCTTATTCGCTCAAAACTCGCGGTGGAAAAATCCCTGTTTATTGTCACATGACCAGAAATGGAATTGGAAAATGTGGAGGTGGGGGATGGACTCTAGTCATGAAAATTGATGGCCATAAGGTAAAGTGGAACGCTTTTTAAAAAATAAAAAGTCGGCGAGGGTTTGAGAACCACACATTTCGGTTCCTCTTCACCACATATATTCTTAGTTTGTTTTTTCAGTCAGTTCTACTTTTATTTTGTTGTTACAGTTCGCGCTGATTTGCTTGCCGCTAATTCCTTTTCCGATTTCACCCTTCAAACATATGCCTAATTTTAGAGAAACACCTCTGGCGGGAGAATCGCTGAATTAGACTTATCTTTTCAACGGATATTTGCAAACAGGTAATATGAAGAGCAGATTAAATATTGACAATAACTTTCCCCATTCTTTTTTAGCGAACATTCCATTACGATTCCAGCTATTGGACCGACAAGGCCTCCTTCAATCCTCAGGGAGGAGCGACTGGGTTCGATCATCGCCAGACCAAGCTACCTACCTACTGGAGTACACCATTCTCCAAGATCTGCCTCGCTATGAAACTCGGTACAGAGATGAGATCGTTTGTCGTCCACATGCGAGCCAACTCTCTCCACTCGCTGATCGCTGATGGGAAATATCGAAAGATATCCAAGGGTCGAGACACGTGGAAGTCGTTGATTGGTCGGAGAGCATCGTTACAGGAGCACTGCAACAGAGAAGGGTTCAACGTAATGAGTGACTCGGGACCAGGCTCGAGTAAGGCCAGGATCGGAATCCTTAGTAACAATGAAAACAACTGCTGGAGCTGTGACTCGAGGATAGGTTTTGGCACAGGGAGCCCAAAATGGAGATTCCTTAACTCCAACACGTGCGGCAACTCGCACGGCTATGACGCTAAGGTTCAGATCAAAACCATGGGGTACATTCTGGTGCAGTGAAGTATAAAGATATAAGTCATCTACATCCGCTGTTTGATTGATACACAAGTTCAGCACTAACTCGTTTTGATTGTGTAGAATTGGAAGCAACAAATAAAATGAGGAATGGTATAAAAAGGCATAATTCTCTCAATTTTACTCTCGAGTTTCATCTATTCTCCAAATATATCGGTACAGCATCCCTTCTCAAGTTTTTTCGGGGCGAAGTACAAGAAAATAAATTGACTTGCCAAGCTGAAGGGAAAACAAAGTTTTTTTCGCTCAGCCTTTTTTTTTTTTTTTTTTCATGTCGCAAGTTGCAAATTAAAAGTTTGACAAACGAGGAGGGTAAACAGTAAAGGAGTATAGGTACAGTAAAAAATGACTTGCACATTCAATGAGTGAACTTTAATGAGATCTCCTTTCATGAACATCAACCAACTTTCTTGCATCAATCCGCTAAATATTGAATCTACATCTAAACATTTCTTGTTATTTTTCACAAGCCCCGACAACTGTTAATCGCGTTCACATCATAAATTACAAGTGCCACGTAGAAGCTATAATAATGATTTGAATCAATAAGTTAAGCGTGAAGACAAAATCTACTGTTGCTGTGGATAAAAGTAGTAGAAACCGCCGGGGTAAAATACTTGCGGGGCCTGTGTGTACGGCATGTGGTTCACAAACTGCCCCTGTTGCGGGACGTAACCTCCCGGCAACGCCTGATCCCCGTGGGAAACAACCGGTGCATAGCCCTGACTGGTGGTCATACTTCCGGAGGCCGAGTGTGGGCGCGGAGGGAGATTACTTGCGTGACTACCAGCATGAGTGTGACCACTCGCGTGGTTATGACTTCCCATCCCAATGTGCTGCGCGGGGTTAAGCCCTCGACCAGGTGACGTCATGAGCGACAGCAGATGTTGGTTTCCATGGTTACTCGCTGTCTGAAGTACCGAGGGGTGGAGGGTTTGTTTCAAGGATTGCTGTTGTTTTTTGTGTCCGAGTGGCGAGAGATGAGTATCACTGTGATGAGGAAGGATGTGGTTATGATTGTTAAACATCGGCTGTGGTTCCATTTTGCTGGGCTTCTTATTCGAAGTTATTATGGCCGGTGGAGGATCAGTCTTCACAAATCCATTTCCTGGGGTTTGAAAGTTGTTTCCGCTGCACCACCTCGCACCTGAATATCATGCATAAATACTGTCAATTCAGCATTCATTGCTCAACCCAACAGCGCGTCAATTAAGTTTTCCCGGCCTTTGGAACAACAATTTACATCTATACAATAATCTAAAACTCGGTCAATAACTACCATTCTGACATAATTATAGACAAATGCACCCTTGCTACACCAGTCCGGTAAGAGAACAAATTAATTCGTTCTCGAAGAGACTGCTGTGTAACGCTGGCGACAAATAGTCACAGTTTGTTCGTTAACTGAAGTTAAAATTTCTTCAGCATAGAATAAAAGCTTGAAACATCAGGTCTTCTCGATTTTCTGGGGTATTAAACTTAGCCTTATAAGTGTAATGAACCCTTTAACTCCTGAGATCTGTTTGAAAATTCTCTTTACTGTCTGAAATATAATTCTTATGATGTCAGTTTGGAGAATTTGGTATTGGATCAACTAATAATCCCCTAGTTGATATTTTATTCTATTCTAATCACTTCCATGCTTGATATTGTATTGATATTGTAAGGAGAAATTCTTCTTTGGTCACTAATGAGAGGTAAAGGGTTAAAAAAAAAAAGAAAAATAAATTCCCCAGTAAAAATCAAACAGTCCCTTACCATGAAGTAACTTCAGACGTGGACCCTGGAAAGAGAAAAAACAAACAAATATCAGAGCTTAACATGGAACTACTCAGAGGTCACCTTCGCTCACCCTTCATGCAAAGGATTCACAAAACTGAGTCTCACAAATGACATTCATATAGCTTTGTTGTTGCAAACCTTTGGTATTCCGAGATTTTCCAAATCCTCCTCTACCATCTGAGATAGCCGTGTTGCATCGATGCCATGTTCCTGTCGATAATAACGATAAAAAAACGGAAAAATTGGTATCATTAAATTAATAAAAAAATTAAACAAAATGTAACAAGGAAAAGAAAAGTAAATAAGCCATACTTCAAACAAGGGTACATATTTTTCCAGACTTAGCCGCTGCAGTAGTTGATTGATCTCTGAATTGCCCACAGGGCCTTGCTGTTCCCGCCAGTTTTCCCTCATCGTCAAGCCAGGAGGGTATCCCTGTGGTAGACGCGAATACTGTTGCCAGGGATGAGCAGGAATACTATTCTCACCACCACCCGGCTGCGAAAGATCCACGCTTGAGCGTCTCGGTTGAGCAGGAAGGTTCTCATTCCAGGCAGTGGATGGCTCGCTACTGCTTAAAGACCGTGGACTCCTCCGCTTGGAATTCCACGACCGCACAGCGAAGTCGTCAACCGAGGGGCGTCCTCCCATAGAAGGGGGTGCAGACTCGGGGAGATTGTGTGCACGTGGAAGGGAGGGTGACGAAGGGGCACTGTAAGCTCCTCTGCCTGGGACCCACTGTGAGCCAGTCGGTACACCCTGATCTGACAGCGCCGTATTGATTCCTCCTTGAGCCTCCTGGGGGGTGGGTGTCATGTCCTCGAGTAACGCGGACGAATTCCATACGTTGTTACTCGGGGGTAAGTCACTGTCCATGATAGAGGAAAGCTCCTGCCGGCTACTACTTCTACTGCTACTTGTGCTGTCCGAGTTGTTCCAAGCCTGTTTATCAGGAGTACTGTCATCGCACACAACTGACAGGGATGTGGCATGCGGAGGCTGTGACGACACAGGTCCCCAAATGCCCGAGGACAGTGATTTGAAGGTTCCAGAGTCACCACGAAGGTCAGACGCCCTCAGGTTGACTGTTGCCGCATCTGATCCTGACTTCTGAGATGAAGGAGAAAACTTTTCTTTCACAGGTGAAATGAATTGATGTTCTCCTTGATAATCATGCTGCTGAAGATCAAAAGCAAAATTCAGTCTTTTCTTTGTTTAACGCTCTACACAAATGTTAACAATCGTTCTTTCAACAACAACCAATACATCAGTATCTTTCCTGATGTGTCATCACACAAGGCACGGCGCCTTCGATATTGCTAATCCTAGAGTTATACAGGACGCACATCACTTAGAAAATAGGGATCATTCCATGGAAAGTGCGCGCGAACGATTTTTATTCACAAGTTGCAAGGCATAAAAACAAAAAAAACAAAAAAACCAACGAGTGAGTGCAGCGAACGAACGAGTTTTTTCTAATACATTGCAACGAGTGAATAAAAATCGTTCAAGCACTTTCAGTAGTATGACGTTTTTATTTCATATATGCCGAGATGTTTTCTTACTGACCGACACATTTCAAAGACGAGGAAAATACATCGTTCGTCAAATCAGAGACACGAGCTATAGTATTTCACAGTGTAAATCTTAGGATTTTTAAAATAAATAGCCTTTCTCGCCGATGCAAATAAATACCAGAAGCGATCAACGAGTGTGAACTCAAGTTCAAGAAAAAGACAAATTTATCAGCTGGAGAGCGTTGATTCGATAAATCACTAAACTTTTCATAGCTTCTTTAGTTTTGTTATCATCTCCTTTGTTCTCATGGCTTCAATGTGTGATTCTGGGGTGATATTGAAAGGAGAAATTAGATACCAGTCACTCTAAGGGGAGTAAAGAATTAATAACTTCTCTCGACCAGACGATCATACTGCATGATCGAAGGTGATATTGTAATTCTACCTGTCCAGACCAGCTGATACTGCGAGCTCGCTCTTCGTGTTCACGGCTATCTTCACCGGTAGACCAAGGATATGACGACAGAGACCTACAAACGACGAAAGAGGCCAATCAAAACAGACAAACAAAATAGGAACCAATCAGAACTCAGAGCAAAGTACACGCTATCAATGAAAAGGGCGGGAAAACGGAGGCCATGGGTAAAACAGGATTTTCTGTATTGGTTGATTAGGTAGCGTCAATAAATTCACGAGGAAATTTAGCAACTTTATAACAATACGAGTAATAAAAAAAACACAAACAAAGAAAACAACCTACCCAGTGCTGAAAAGGCTGCTAGTAAAAATATTCATTCCAGGAAGCGGACCCTGTGGAGGCAAGATACAATAATCAGGTATAAAAGTACACAACTTGATTAATCTCAGAACTGAGTTTAAAATAGTCACTTCTGAAAAGGGTTATAAGAAAAAAATGCAAAAAATTACCTCTAATTTTCTACCAGAGGTGATACTGTCTGAACTTATGTCGGAGAAACCTATAAAAAAAAATAGCGAGAGCTTCTAAAACTAAGAAACCATAGTGGAGGAAAACAGAGACGAATCACATCGACAAATCGCAGGGGATAAGAAAGAGATCTTTACCTGACGATTGTGAAGCCCAAGAACTAAAGTAACTGGGCAACTTTGACTTGTTTCTCTCCCTGGGAGACTGTAATAAACCGGAAGTTGTCGCATCCCCAGACGAAGAAGAGACCCTGTTCTGTAGTAAGCTTTCCTGCTGAGAATTGAAGTCGGGAACAGCAGCTTCAGCTGAAATTGAGAAGAAAAATTTTAACAATACGACAAAAAATCCATAGACCACAGTTCATTCTTCACTCAATCATATCATCGCACATAACTTAACCGAGGTTTCAATGACAGTCTTAAACGTTAGAAACGCCTTCTACAGCAAGAAAAATCTTCTCTCGTAAAAGCAGTACCGAAAAGCTCTCAATTCAGTAATCATGCACTCGGGTTATACAGAACAACTTCAAAAGTTAGAACCACCTTGTGTAACAAAACAGATAGGAATACAAATACACGAAATGACTGATTGATAGTGTCCTTTGAATGGTGAACACTAGGCATTCAACAACAAGTTAGAACCCACTTGCGCAGACCCCCGTGGAGGTAACACTCAATAGCAATCATTTGAACGGTCACACACTAGGATTTCACCAGCAGACTTGACGTTAGAATAACAGCATAGGAAAAAACTCCAAAATACACAAAATTTAATGGTTTGATTCGCAGTCTTCGTGTTTGAAAGATATTAACTGTTTTACACCACAAAGGGATGGCTCAGAAGATGACAAAAAAATTATAATATTACCATTAATATCAATAATACTAATACTACTACAAACACTAATAGCGGAGCTCACAGAGCGTAGCCCCATAATTATACAAAATAGTAGTAACCCATCAAGCCGAAAAAATTTGGATGTACAAGCGTACGACCGTGCAAAGTGCTACTGTTAACATGCGTGGTCAACTGTACCGCGGGCACGCCAACGCCACAGCTTTGTCCAGTAGTCCGGTGGTCAGTGCACTGGGCTCCGAGTCGGACGACCCGGGTTCTAGTCCTGGCCGGGGCAAGGCGTTGTGCCCTTGAGACGTGCAGGAAAAAAATGCGAGCTCCGCTTTTAGGCTTGGCTAAATCTATATATTAATAGAAATGATGATAATAGTAATTATAATTACTCTGATAAGCTGAGGTGGCCACAGAGACTTCCCCGATGACTCCAAATGGGTTTTCGGGTGTAATGTGATGATCTCGATGATTTGCAGTCGTGACAGCACTCGTGCTGATTGACACTGTTGCCACTGACGTCGATGTTGATGACGAAGAGACCTTAATGAGGGACAAACAACCGACACAAAAGCTGTTAGAGCGCTTTTGATTAAGTATGGTAGAACCAAACTAAAGCAAGGAACTTCTCACTTCTGGAGAGGAGCGCGACCTCATCACCCGTACAGCGGCTAGGTTACCCGAACTTCACGACCAAGTCGCGTTTGCTTTAGTTTTGCCTCGGATTGGTTGAGAGAGAGGCGCGAATTTTCTTGACCAATCGAAGAGCGAACTCACACAAAACCAAAGCAATCCCGGATTTCATTCGAAACTTAATTAAAAATTGCGGGTAAACAACTATGAAATCTTAGACGTAAAGTTAGTCTCTTTTTCCCGAACCCTCTTAATAGTTTGTAAAAGCCACGACAGGGACTGTGCATCTTCAAAAAATTGAGCCATAAAAATTTCAAGTTCGTCATTAGTAGTCCTGTGATATTCTACTCAGATCTAACTCGTCTTTCTAATTTCCTCTTCTTATCTTTTGGCATTTTAATATCATATAAAACCCAAAGGTACAATTTTAAAGCAATTAACCAGCAGATACACTAAGCCTCTGCTTGAAAATGCCGATAAGAGCAAAGATTACAGATAAAATGGCCATTGATTCAGAAAACGCGCGCCACCTTCTCAACCAAAGAAGCACAAGCTTGAGATAATCATACAGGAACCAGGTTTCAAAGAAAGAATACCTTTTGTTCCCAGCTTTCGTGTAACGTGACGGGGTCCAGTCCCTGCATGTCACTTAAGCGGTTATTTCTGGGTTGAGCTTGAGCTTGCACACAGGACGTGCCCTGCAAATGGAAAGGTCTGTGCGGCGCTGGCATATCACCATTGTGTTTTTCTATCATCAGCCTGCCAATTGACTCCTGCGAACTAGCCACCGTCATACTGCTACTGCCGCTCGTTGTAACCGCACTGGTACAAGCGCCCATGCTTTGAGGCGACGATTGTCTGTACGGTTTCCAAGCGGATGAAGTGGTTTGTGTAGAGTCTGCAACAACAGGCGTCGAAGTTGCAAAGATACTGGATGTTTCTGTGCCGCTCACAACCACATCTGCTGAAGCTACAACTGCATCTTCAAACACTTCTTGACTGCCGTCGCTTAGCTCTGGTGAACTTTTCGTTCCTTCGCTGGGTTTGTCGTTCCTGTTAGGAGCGGTCGGCTTCGCTGCTGGTGCCTGTACAGCCATATTGTTAGCCTGTTCAATGGTAGGCCATTCAGATGAAGATGATGATGAAGGAATCGCAGCATAGTTGCCTCGAACAGGAGCTGGAGAAGTGCTGGTTTGTGTCCTGTCTGAGGATGACATTGCGTTAGATGTGGTCGCCGTAGACACAGAGGATGTCGTTTGTCCAATTGTACTGGGCGTGTTTAACGCTTGTGTGACAAGGAACTTCGCTCTTTGGACAGCTTTATTGGACCCCTGCAAAACAACAGATAACTTTAATCCTTAACCCTTAAACTCGTAAGATCTGAATTGTAATTCTCCCTTCTAGTTGCTTTACTGGAAGATAATTGGTTGAGGGAATTTTGTGTTCGATCAACATTACAGCTTCAAGCAGATACTTTTTTAGATTCCTACAACCAGTTTGCTAGGTAACGTATTGAAATTGCAAGGAGAAGCTGCATGTCAATCCCTTCTATACCTTGATGGTGATAACTCTGTCCGTTGGATTCTTTGGTTCTGGTTTTCCAATCGTTATTTGTGCACCCGATTCTTCCTAAAATGGTACAAAGTAAACAAACATAAGTACATCAAGGCACAAATCAATAAATAAATGACTAAAAAATCTCAAAACGACTGGCTTCTAGTTGGTTCAGAGCGTTAAATAATTTTGTTTTTAACTGATTAATTGGAGTAATTCGCGAGGAAAAGCATTAATAAGATAATAAGCAATAAAAAGAATAGTTCTCTGTTGCTTTCTAATGCATAACGGATGACGATCCAAATCGGACAGATCAGGATACGTACTGTTATGGAGTTGATTTTGCTCCCTCCACGACCAATGACACGCCCACATATTGCATTGGGAGCTGTCAGTTGATACATTACTGTCCTGTAATTGAAAAGAAAAAACCACATTGAAGCAACAAAAAAACAAAAATTTCAGTGAAAACTTTCTCCTCCTTTTGGTTTCAAAAGAGAAAACGATTGTCAAATTTTCGGAAGCCGTAGATGAGAGGCTGAGAGGTTCAAAGATTACCTAAGAGGGAATGATATACAATGTTGGACCTCAAATAGTTGAGGAGAACTTGTGAAATCTAAGTAAAGTCTTTAAGGATACACCGACATGACCTACAACACGAACACAATAACTGATGGTTTGTTTTACCGACACAGCTAAATTCGCAATGTCCTCAACAAATATTAAAAACTTACTTCGAGTTTGTACTCCTTGTGACTTCTTTCCAATTATCCTCACCTCTCCCTAGCTGGGAGTGCTGTTGTTTTGACCTTGGTGAATGTACTGAGAGTGAGAAGAAAAAACAAAAACTTGTCAATTGTGCACTTGTTAAGAAGAAAAGGAAAAAGAAATCGAGGAAGTAAAATTAACTTCTGCTTAGAAAACATTAAGAGGCAAAAGTCTTGGCTCGCTTCAATCTTTTCCAACCTGGTTGTATCGTAGCTTGTCCCCCTCACCCTCACCCTTCCCACCCTAGTACAATTTTTCTCATCGTGCCCAGCACTTTGGCGACCAAGTGTGGGGAATTTGACTCTTGGTAGGAGAAGAAAAACAAGAACCGACCTGAATTGAAGTGACTCACCTGGTTTATGTTCCCGTTCTCCTTCAGAAGGTGTTGTTTTGTTGCTACCACTTGATGAATGTCCTGCAGCGAGTGTACCCTTTGTAGAAGTCCTACTGTCAGTGACTGGGGAGGTCGTTGGTGTATTATTGTCAACAGCATTTGTGGTGTCTTTCCCTCTTCGAACAAATGTCTGAGTTGCATCGGAAGACTTTTTAGCCGTTGCCGCTCCACTGACGCTAGAATCCTTTGAATTGGACGATTTGTCACCCACAGAAGATGTATTTCCGACATTTTGCTGCTTGCTGTACGAGTTCTTTTTAGGACTGCTCGCAGAGCTATTCGCCTTTTCGGATGATTCTTTCTTCGACGACGGCTTTTCAGCCTTGGTTTGCTGTTTCACGTCTGGTTTCACACAATTCACCGTCACTGACTGTGTTACCTCGCTGGTTGTTTTAGTCTTCAACTCAATTTTCTGCGTCTTTACAGAGTCCGCTTTGTCGCTGTTCGAAGGAATGATTTTCTTTTTAGTGATCTTGGCAGGTTCATCGCTTTTCTTTCTAGAATTTTTATCTGGCAAAGTGTTATTCTTCAACTCTGTTTCTTTCCCTGCACTCTGACTTCGAGCACGGCCCTTTTGATGAGGGCAAAGAGAGTTCTGCGGCGTCGACACATCCCCTGTGCTGCTGAGAGGTCTTTTAGGCTTTGCATGCCCGCTATCAAGAGTAGATCTCTTATTACTGGGACAAATCTTGAGTTTATTTCTATCATCATCAGCAATCTGTCTATTTTTCAAAGCGTCTTGTGCGAGGAGGTATTCTTTCTCATCTGTTTTCATTTCCTGGTGGTTATTTTCAGTAAGTAGTTCTTCAGAGCACGGCTCTCGTGTGGTATCCACAACATCACCCACGTTATCCTCTTGATCGTGGTCGAAGTCATCCGCCATCTCTTGCGGTCTGTTCTCAAGCGGTAAGTCCTCGCCCACTTGTACTCCACACAATGTTTCGCTGTCTTTGGCTGCTTTCTTTCTTTTCCTCTTGTCTCTTCGTTTTGCTGCTGCCTTCTTCTTCCTGATGTCTTCTTTCTCTTTCTCGTGTTCGAGTTCCTTAAAAAAAAATACAAGACTCCATCTATAAACATTGGGCTGCAGCTAAAAATCTCGGCACAAGACCTACAAATGGTCGATATAAGAGCTCTGTACAGATATGTTGGGTTGTTTGAGCTGAGGAAAATTACCTCTAAGTAAACAACAAAGTATAAAGTTCTATGGTAAGTAGTAAACACGATGAGAAAAAAAAACAGCACTAACCCTCAAAAAGATCTCTGTATTCCTCTGTACTTTCTGTTCCCTTGCCTTCTTTGCCTAAACGAGAATTATACAAAGAACTTAACCAAACAATATCAAAGACCCTGCATCCAGTGACTATATTGGTAACACAACGCCTCATGTCGTAGTGTCGTAAAAAGTAAACAGTTAATCAAAATAACCAAAGATTAAAAAAAAAAGGTTAAACAAAAGTAACGAACGAGAAGTCAAAGAAAGAGTAAAATCAAGCATACCGCCAGGAGCCTGGGAGGGAGCAATTTTCGATTGAGTGTCGAAAGTACTCCGGGATTGCTTTGTTGCTACGCTCTGTGATTGGTTCAGAAAACTCTCATCAATCTCAACCAATAAGATGCTAGACTAAGACCAATCACGCCGTGGTCGCTCGCGTTTTCGCGCGCTTTAGACAGTTTGGTTTTTACTTCGAGTTCTCATTGGCTCCTAATAGGTATCTTCCTTTCTTCTAATTGGCTGTTGTGATAAGCTTGGTTTTGGTTTTACGATACTCAGTGGACAAGCGCTCCAAGGATCAACGACAAGTCGCGATTAGTTGCGATTTCGCATCTGATTTGTTGAGAAGTTGGAGCGAGTCTTCCTGCCCGACCCAAAAGCGGTGAAGGAAAAACCACTGTAATCTAAGATTATTTTTGACATTTAATTAACGTGGACTCTAAAGGAGTTACTGCACTCTCTTTGCAACTGACCTTGGTGACCAAGTCGTAGCACTTTGTTCTTCCAAGCATCATGTCGTCATGTTTTTCTTTATCGTCCACAGGTGCGACGAGACACTTTTGGCACTGATCTTCAGACGGAAGATGATTGACAACATTCAGTAACCACTCCACAACCTATAGGTGAAAAGTCGAAAGGTACTTTAGGTTTATATTAAACTTGGTCCTTTCGGGATCCAAAACCAAGTGATAACCGCCCTTCATAGGGCTAACAGATTCTTGTGTACGCACGCAAAGGGTAATTTTCATTCAATGCAATTGTTTTCTTTTCCCAGACTCACACTGAACAAAATGTCGACTTCCAAAAGCACAAAGCTTCAACAGAAATTCAAAAAGGTTCGTGTTACCGAGAGTTGAGAACATTTGACCGAAAACTTGAGAAAAACGGTGTTAAATGTATTTCTATTTAAGAAGTGAACGGAGAAGTTCAGTGAAAACCGAGACATGTTTTAAAGGAGCGTGCAATTTCATCGATAGAAGTGAACAAAAGTTCTCAGAATTCTGCGATACACTTTAACGCAAACAGAAAGCTTGTATGAAATTTAAATTGCTTGTAACTATTTCACCCCTCTATCAAATGCTTGTTGCTTGTGGGAAAATGCGAGACTTCTTTCCGTTTTTCCACATTTACGGTGTACCTTCTGTTTGCTCAAGCTCTTGAGGCGAATGAGATTATACTCCTCTACACAGAAAGAAGGTCCTACTTAACTTGGTGAGTATTAAAGGAATCACAGCGACGAAAAAACATGTGATAGAAATTTGAACAAATTGTGCACGCTGGCACCATAAAAAAATATAAATAAATAATAAAAATAATAATAATAATAATAACAAACCTCCACATGTCCATTCTTCATGGACGCAACAAGAGGAGTGTTGTTTCGGGAGTCAGTAGCCTGAAATCAAGGAAGCACAAGATTAATATTGCAATTTCAGATAAACCGTTGATTTGTAACTGTAACATTATTGGACAATTTTGTAAAATAATCCCTCTCCTGCTCGAGATATCCAGAACGGTATTTAAACAAGATGAACATTTACAAATCCCACAATGGCTCTCAGACTTTTCGATTTTGAGTGCAGTTTGTTAACCCCAAAGCTGCTGTGTCTTTCTTCATTTAAACATTGACTTAACCCTTAAACTCCCAAGTTCTCATTAGTAATTCTCCTTACTTTCTGCCATACAGTTCTCATGATGTTAGTTAGGAGAATTCGGTATTGGATCAACTAATAATCCCCTAACTGATATTTTCTTTATTCTCATCACTTGCCTGCTTGATATTGTATTGACACTGTAAGAAGAAATTCTCTCTTGGTCAATCATGACAGTTAAAGGGTTAAACATTGACTTAACATGCTTCTATTCAAGTTTTAATTTGTCACCTCTGTATCTGCTCCTTTCTCAAGAAGCTGTACACCGATTTCTAAATGACCTTCTTTACAAGCCAGATGGAATGGAGTACAGCCTTTCTTGGTGTGACACTCAACATTTGCATTCCTAAAGGGATGGAAAGAAGACAAGAAAATAAGCTGAGATTTCTGGGAGAAACCTCTCAAAACTACTTGTATGATAGTCACCTGCATTTCAACTTCAGTGCAAAATGTGTACAATGAACAAAAAATCCCTTACAAGTGAAGTATTTTATTTTGAATCCAGTGTCAGATACTATCTAGTGCAACAGGTTCATTGAGTTTGACCTCTTGTGCAACCCAGGATTTTACATCATTCACTGGATTTCAAAATGATTGAAATTATTTCACCAAACATGGCCTAATTTGTTGGACACAAAATTGACCACTGATACACATTTTACAAGGGCATATGTATAGGTGCTAAAAAAATATATAATACAATGGACAGAAACACTGAAGTGTGTTTGTGGAAAATTTTCAATTTTCTTCCAGCACCTTTCAAGGAATTTGAAGATATCATGTTTAATTTTAACAATGACAATATTTAAAGAACTTCAAGACTACACATACACCTTAAAGTTTGCAACAAATCTTTTTAATGCTTCACAAAGCACAAGAAAGGTGAGGAAGTATTCTCTACACATGTTTTACAAATAGGGCAGAGAATTGTGATTCTTTGGAAGTCCACATCATATTATTGGAATAACAGATCAGTTGCCTGCATATAATCCAGCTCACTCCCTTCAGATTCCTCCTAAATTTTCATATCTTTGACCCAGCTTTCACAAAAAGGAGAGGCTGTTTTCCAATAGCTCTGAAAATTTTTCAGCAGGAATAATCAATGTGATTAAAAACAACTGCAACCTTAACTAACCTGCTTAGTAACAGGGAGACAAGCTCAACGTGACCTTTCTCCCCTGCTAGAGTCAGTGGGTTTTCCCTGCGGGTAAATAAATAACAATTAAAAATTGCAATGTAAATTAAGAAAAATTGAATTTCAGCTGTGGAAAATCTAGGAAGTGGCTTCACTCCATTAGAGGGCTTAAAGATAGCATTCACGGTAAATAAAAATTGAAATTCTTGCTATCTACTTCAATTATTTAGAAACTGAAGTTTGAGTGAAGTAATATGACAGTAGTCATTTTGAACTGGAAGGGACAGTAAGTCCTCACCTGACTATGAGTAGTCCCTCTTTAAAGACAAGGTCTGTCACATGAGTCAAAAAAATCATTTAAAAAACATCTTGATCCCAGCACAAATATAGTTTTTTTTTTTACTCTTGCAATGCACTTTGCCAAAAAGCAGGGACCACTCATAGTCTAGTCCTTACAGCCTACTCAGCTGAGATTTCTCATTCCACCTTTTAACCAACTAAAAATATCCATGCATGAGGGTAATGTGAGAGTAGTGTCTTGTCTACAGAACAGACAGATTCCACATCCTGCAAATCAGCTTCTGCATCTTTAAAACCTACACTGTACCTGCTGTTTGGGAATGGTGCATTCACACTGGCTCCATAATCCAACAACAGTTCTACCACATCTACATGATTTTCACGACATGCCTAGAAAGAAAAAGAGAGAATGTTGTTAGGTTAACCTTTTTCTTTTCAATAGCATGCATTGTGAACTGTTTGTCTCAAACATTCTGCCTTACCTGGAACAGTGGGGTGATACCAGTTTTTGTTCGGCAGTCTCTATTTGCAACATTTTCAAGAAGAAGTTCTGCAACATCTCTGTGACCTAAGGAAAATGAGAAGCAAAACAAAAACCATTTATAAAAATGATCCCTTAAGTGCAAATGATAGAATGCAAATAGTCTGTCTTTAGTGCATGTGAGCAGTGATACCTTGGGCTAAATTACAAGCCCCTCACAGAGAATGAATTGAAAGCACAAAACCTTGCTTGATACAGGTAAGCATTGCAACAATTGTACACTGATAGCATTTATCTGTTCCTGTGCAGACAGGGGTCAATGAAATTCCCAAGTAGGATGGAGTCACTTGGGCCATAATTTTAAAGAAATATAAATAAATATCAACTAGGATTTCCACGGGCGTGGTGGAAATTAAAATTGAAACATCTCAGCAGAAGAGGTGGGGAACTAATTCAAATTTTATTGCTCACTGCTTCTGCCACTGAGATAATTGTAGCATTTCCACTTAAATCCAGTGTCAGATACTATCTAGTGCAACAGGTTCATTGAGTTTGAACTCTCGTGCAACCCAGAATTTTACATCATTCACTGGATTACAAGATTACAGTTACAGTACATGTAAGTCTTGTTGTCAATCACACAATCTATGCTCTTCACAAGCAAAAGTTTTCACCATGTTGAACAACCAGAAGCTCTCAGTACAGTTTTTCAAGGAATTCATGTATTATCAAAAATTTTCTGTACCCATAATCCCTAAAAAATGCAATCAATTCTGCAAACTCATAGTAATAAAAAATCTTTGGTGCTACAAAAATGACAGTTTGAATTAACAAGCTACATGTAAATGCACAAACCTTTCCAGCAGGCCATAAATAGAGGACTTTGACCATAGTTGTCAGGAAGTTCTACATCAGCACCATGAGCAAGAAGCTGTTCTGCCACAGCCACGTGCCCCTCCCTGAGAATTTAACCCCAATATCAGTACTGAATATGAGATTTGCTTTTTAGCAATGGAAATAAAACAAATCTTGATTTTCAAGGCAAGGAAAGATAGAGTAGCTAAAAAGGAGAATCACTTATTGGACATTGGGAATGAAAGGTTTAAGCATGAGCAAACCTTGTAGCCTCCATAAGAGGTGTACAGCCAGTTTTAGTTTGATGATCAACCTTGGAGTTGTGTTTGAGAAGTAGATTGACAACATCGACATGACCTGCAAGGCGAACAAAGGCATAAGCATTTCCAAAATTTGAAAGGATTCCTTGCAGGGGTAAATTATGTATCACAAACTTGTGATATTTTAGTCCCTATTTTTGTTGTTGTTTGCTTGGCTCTGAATTTTTATCACACTGTCTACTTTACTTTGCAGGAACTTTTGCATCAATGTCAGTATTTGAGCAACTGCACACTTACCCCTCTCCTCACCCTAACTACAGTCAACTGATAAAAAGTTAGGGTTAATGTTGGGTTAGAGGAGAAATTGACCTGAGGTTCTCATTGGGCCGGCCAAGGATAAGTTTTGTTCTCTGTTGATAAGAGACATTTTAGCGTGGCTTCCCACATTACATTTCAACCCAGTGCAAATTGCTGACTAAAACTACAAGGTGACTAAAGTACAAGGTGTGACCCTTGAGTCCAAATTGAAATTTTTGTAATTGTCAGACACATTATAGCATAGAGGTCATCTTGATCCCAAAATGATCAGGATTCAATGTCCCTTCTCCCTTCCCTTTTTCAATAGTCCTGATTGTCCAAAAAAAATTGGAAGGCCATGGTTGTTCAATTGTACTCAAATCTCTCAGATCTCACATGATTTGCTGGCTGGGAACTTACCATAAACACACACAAGAAACACTATAACAAGCTTCTTCTGACATGAATACCTTTCCAGCAGGCCAGAGTGAGAGGTGTATCATCATTGCTCCCTGAAGGTGTGTTTATTTCCGCTCCTTTGTTCAGCAAAAGACGAGTGGTTTCTACATGGCCCTCCCTGGAAAAGGGAATTTTATTACATTAAGGTTGCGAATGAAAAAAAAGTTTTTATTTGTTCAACTTGGAGTCTTAATTGAACTTATTTCATACATTCAAAGATGTATCCTTTACAACAGTGTTTATAACAATACCTTGAGGCTAGCATCAAAGGGGTACAACCCGCCTTATTGCGATGCTCAATGTTTGACTTATGTTCCAAAAGAAGTTCCACCACATTAGTATGACCTATGAATATGAGAGCAAATAATTCAAGATGTTTCCCTCAGACTAAGACACTCAAAGCTTACATCAGTTCCTATACAAGCCATGTTTACCCTCAGCCTCCAGAATTTTACTATGATTTTCATAGCATGGAGTGATTTAAAGTGTACCCACCATATGCTGGAGACTACTTCGAGTGGACACACATCCCTTCTCCATTGTAAGATAAAGTAATAATACTCTTACACCAGAAATGCAATAAGTGATTTTATGTGCCTGTACAATTTATCATCATCATCATCCTCCATGGAAGACTTGGTAGCCTAGTGGTCCATGCACTAGACTCCAGGTTGAGAGGTCCAGGTTCGAGACCTGGCCTGGTCAATGTGTTGTGTTCTTGTGCAAACACTCCATTTTTACAGTGAGTCTCTCTGCCCAGGAGTATAAATGGGTATCAGTAAATAGTCAGGGAAGCCTGATGAAATGCTGAGGGGTAAACCTTGCGATGGACTGGCATCCATCCAGGAGGGGAGTAGTAATCCTTCTTGTCACTTCATGCTATGGAAACTGGGACAAGCTCTGGCTGAATGGGCCACTTGGCTCAAGTACAGACTTAACCATCATCATCACTTTTATCATTTAGGGAACTCCCAGCATTCCATTAACATTACCTTTCCAGCAAGCCAATGTAAGTGGGATATTATTTTCACTTCCAGAGGGGACATTAACTTCAGCATTGCTATCAAGAATCAACTTGGCCACTGAATAGTGACCCTCCCTGTAGAAAAATGCAGAATGCATATTCAAATGTTTAGTTCTCACTGATGACGACCTATTGAATTTTGCTAAAGCTCACTGTTGCTATTACTGAGATATTTAACAGATTTTATTTAAATGGCACTTCATATCATAGAAAGTGTTAATTAAGCTGATGACTGGACAAAAGTTTTTGTTTTAAATCTACATGCTTGTTTCTATATATTATTCATTGAATGTAAATGTCAAAGAGTGTGGAATTGAATTCTTCATCTTGTTCTTCGATGCCATTAAATTAACAAGTAACTGACCCAGAAAAAAATTTGTCTATTATTACGTTAATTAAGTTGTGCTTGAGTGGAACAGCATTCATGATCTTATGGATTTTAGAGTAGGATCTTTGATTTATGATGACTTAATTTTGTAGTGAGCTTCAGAGATAAAAAAAATGGGAGAAACTCAAATGCTTAGACTACCTTGACCAAATACAGTAGTTTGACATCTAACTTGAAACAACTTTCTTTAACAAATAAACACATTCTACCACATTTGTCTGAGAGCATTTTTCTAGCAAAAGCACTTGTCTACATGTAGTAGTGGCTGGTCTGCTCTCAAACATTTTCACTGATTTAAAAATTTTTGTCAAAATGGCCATACCAGGCTACCTTTATACCACAACTTTTATCAAGAAACAGTCCTTCAAGCTTTTTTTGCCTCAATGATTAAAATGATTAAAAAACCTTTTAGCTTCTAAATTTGCGGCAAAACTCTTCAATATAAACACACAAGTCACAGTCAGATCTTTCCAAGTTCACTTTAAAAGATGTCCAATACTCTGAAGAAAGATGATTTTAATTCAGAGGCTTTGAAATGATTCTAACTTGACTAAAAAGAATCTGACTGAGAAAGAAGCTTAAGAGTATCATTAGTTGTAATAAAACAAATGTTAATGCATGGAAAGCTCATGCAAATTTCAATGATATTGCATGTCTTAAGGGTAAACATATATAAACAAATCATTATACCTTAGTGACGCAAGAAACAATGATTGTTTACAGAAATAAAATAATGCTGAAAACCACCAATAAGGAAATTTAATCAAAGATCAAATGGTCAGAAGTATAGGGATTGGAAAATTCACCAATTCCAAATCATTAAGTAAAAAATTTCAACCACAGAAAACTCAAGTACTAACAATGTCAAGTACCAATAGGAAATGCAAAGTTGTAAGACTGGATTCACTTATTATTTTTCTTAGAAGGATTAAAATAGTACTGTTGCTATGGTAGATAATAAGAGTACATTACTAATTCATAAACACAAAAGTCCAATAAGTAAAACTGCATAATCTTTACTATGTTTACTTTTGATCCAAAGAGGATTCAAAGAATCATTACAAACAAAATTTTTTTCCACTGCTATGAAACATTTCCTAGTATATTCACAGAACTTTGTTATGTTTCCACATTCAACTGCACAGGACATGTACAGTATACTTAACAGTTATTGGGCCAATTCTATCAAAAAAATTGGCAAGAAATCCTTGAGATTTTTAAAGCACTCTCAACTGAATCAACTTAAATTATGTCTTAAACATAGCTATGTTGTAAAACTTGAGCAAGTCATTTGCAGTTTTTGTCTATTGAGAAAGAGGGAGTGAATCTGTAACAAGCCAAAACACAAAGCAAACTGGTCTGAAACCAGATACGAATAAAGTGGGTAAGTTTTGAAGGAAACTGTAGTGCAGCATCAGTGAGGGAAATAACAAGATAATTCAGTTTTATCAGCTAAGTTGATAATATAAACTGGCCACCTTAAAGAGGTTGTAAAACTGACATTTCCAACATTAGCCCTTCAAATTTGTTTAGAATTAGTTAAATCATATGTGGCAATACTCTATCTGTCACTGCTCAAAAATTTACAATTTTTTTTTTCAATTCTGACCTTAAATTATGGTAAGCAACAACACATACAAGTTTACAAAAATGGCACAACTAATAGTAATTATTTCTGTTAAATAAAGGTTCTCCTGTAATTTTAAGGGAATCAAATTGATTGTGAAGCTCATGAGTAAAGATTTTCACTCAGAATACCAGTATGATGAGGAAACTATCTAAAGTTTTGATTTAGCATAAAATTGCAAAATTTGAACAAACAATGCATGGTAAGCAAACCGACTATTGGTTGACTTTAAAATACAAGATTGATTTCTTTAATAAAAAATCACATCCTTTAAATTCAATCTTGAAATTTAAAAAGGAATTCATCAGAATGATCATTTTAAATAATCACAAAAAAAACTGCTTATGAGCTGCACCAATGCTTTAAATACGGGAGATATTCACATAAAAAAATATTGACTTAATAATATAAAACCTTCCATTGTTTGAATTTACAAGAGAGAATTGATGGTTTTAGTTATTAAATAGATGGTTAAACCTTAGAGAGCCAATCTTGTCCAGTTCACTAATAAATGACAAAAAAAAAATCATAAAAGATGTTCACGAACAATACTATGTATCCTTGTCAGTGAATTTGAAAAAATAAGAAAAAAATTATTCTAGTGAACCTTACCCAAAATGATCAATTTAGTATAAGATTTTCTATGTGATATATCATGAATTTCTGTAAAACAAAAATTCTTCACACCAGACACTAAATACTGCAAAATTCATGTAATGGTATAAATTTCCAGCGACATATGAGATTTAATGATGTCAGTTTGTGCTTTCTATTTTGGGAAAGTGTCTATTTAACACATCAAAAACAAACAAGATATTACCGAGTTGTGAGATGCACAAAAAGCAATGCGAAACAAGCATTACTATAAACAAGTGTAAAACAGACTGCTTTCTGACAGATTCACCGTCTGAATGACAGAATAAAGACATACAGCCAAAAGTAACCAGTATAATTCAACATCAAAGAAAACAGGTGCTGACAGAATCCTACACTTCCTGCCAACCCAAAAATAAGGAGACTAAGAGAAAAAACACCAATAATGGAATATTGAAATTAAAAACAGCTGAACTATAGAAAAAGCCAAACATTAGTGTTACAAAACAATGAGTAAAATTACTGGGAATTATTTTTTCATTCAAAGAAATGCACACCTTCCCAACAAAAATTTTGTCACTCTCATCATTGATAAAAGCTTCACAAATTATAACAGGAAAACCATTTCAGAAATTGATCTCTGGATCAGATGTTGATTAAGTAAAAAAACGGTGAAGGTTTTTCCTTGAACTTAGTTGAGTACAAAATCATTCTAGAACTATAACTGTAGACAAAATGTATCTCTGAAGAAAGGATTCCTCAATAAAGCTTCATCTCATATATCCACATCATTTTCCAACTGAAAAATTATTTGAATGCTCTGATCATAACAGAATCAAGGAAGTAGAGCCTGGCTGTCAAAATTGAAAAAGAACATTTATCAAGCGATCACTTCTCTTTTCCATAATCTTTTCTTTTTTCACGTTTTGTGCATCTCCATCCTTTGTAATATAGCTTTCCACATTATTGACATAGAGTGCAGAGAAATATTCAAAATTCATGTATCAGTTTTGGACATAAGCTATTGTGCCCTGTCTACTAGAAACTTAGCAAAACTTACGAACGCTTTTTGCTGACTGAATGGAACACAAGGAGCAAACAGACGTGAATTATCAAGGTTGACAATACAATGCTAAAAGATCCTCAATCAGGAATATGGACTTGCTTGCCACTGGCAAGAGGTAAGGGGTTTGAATTTAGTCTTGAAGATGTTTGACGTCATCATGTTGGATTAGACTATAGACAATGGGGAAATGTGGCCAACATGTTAAATTGAAGATGATATCAATGATTCTGTTTTGAAAATATAAGAGGAAATTTAAAACTTATACATGTGGGGACATATTTACTCACAAAAACTCTCCTCACTCTACCTTGCCTTTAACCGTAACCTCACTTTAACTTTACCATAGACCACTCATTTTCCACTGAACATTATGAAGGCATTGTACACTAATTTTCTTATGTTATAGAGGCAAATATCAAGGGTTGCATACCGTGCCGCCAGCATAAGTGGGGTACAGCCATCCTTAGTGCGATGCTCGATATTGGAATTAAACTCCAGCAGAAGTTTAACTACATCATGGTGACCCTTCCAACAAGCACTTGTCAGTGGAATATCATTATTACTTCCACTTGGTACATTGACCTTTGCCTTCCTTTCGAGTAACTTGCGCGCAACATCAGTATGTCCCCCAAGAGCAGCAAACATAAGAGGAGTGAACCCTTCCTTGGTACGGTGCTCAATGTTGGCATTTCTCTCCAGAAGCAGCTCAACAACATCACAGTGCCCCTTCCAACATGCAAAGGTAAGGGGGCTATCCTTATTGCTATCTGACTCAACATTGATCTTGGCTCCATGATCAAGCAACATGGCAGCTACTTTCACATGACCAGCCAAAGCTGCAAACATCAGAGCTGTACAACCATCTTTAGTTCGGTGTTCAACATCAGACGTCCTTTCCAGCAGCAACTCCACGATGGCCTCGTTGCCAAGGGTGCAAGCCCAAGTGAGGGCACTGTCAGAAGTGGTCTCCGTGGGGGCATCAATGTTGGCGTTGTGGTCCAACAAATAACGTGCCACATCGACGTGTCCCTGACTGCACGCCTCCAACAAAGGTGTATTCCCCGCCTTGTTTCGATAGTCAACATGGGCTCCGCTTTCCAACAACAACTCCACGATGTCGAGTTTGCCTTGCCGACATGCCAAACTCATCATTTCATCCAAGCTCACGTCCGCCTCGGCGACAGAACGGAACACGGGGTCCGTTTCGTCAATAAGCCCAGGTTCAATACCTTCATCGTTCTCTTCGTCGCCAGAACTCATCGTCCACATGAAACGTTATGCGAGATTTCGACAAAACGTAATAACTTGCCTTGAGAAAGTGAGCACCAATGGAGATTTAGTTTCGACTCGGTAATTTCATTGTGGCCCTGAGAAGTTTATGGAAAAAAACACATGTCAGGGAAACAATGAGCCTCTAACTGAAGATGAAGACTGAAAATCGAGATTAGGAAGTAAAGCTCCCTTCTCCTTTTTTTCTACGTGTACTTTTCAATTCCCCTTCTCCTAAGTACAGTTGTGTTTAAATTATGAACAGAGCCTCGACTACCATACAACTTAATAATTCAAGAATAAAATTGAAACTCCCCTACCTTGTTAAAATCTAGCGGCCAAACGCTGCCAATTATAAGGCCGTTTGATGTGGTGATTCACAGTTAAATGAAGGCTCCCTCATCCAAGGAAGTGTGGAGGTCTTTTTCCCGTCAAAACCACTTTCTACCTTTCACAAATTGTTCGTTCTCTCTGACCGGTGCAGCGCGCAGGATCGGGGAACAACACATGCACATGCTTAGTGACCGCGCCATCTGCCTCAGTGCAGTGTCAGAATTACTTTCTCCAAGAAGTCTAGAAAATCGACTGCTTTTCGTAGAAAACAAGAGGGCGTAAAACATATGTCAAAAATAGATTTACTCATCCAGGGTTTGACTAAAATTCTCCTTTTTAAAAGGATCCAGTGTCACGAACTCTAGTTTTGTTCAAACGACCTTTTCTAGGATTCTCTAGAATCTCTACGCTGTTTATTCCGTGTTGATTAGACGACCAAGGCTGAAATATTTCAATTGTATTTACTGTTTATTTTAAAATAGGGGTCATCTTTTCACAAATAGCTCTCATTCGTGAGATGGAAACAATATTACAAGGACAATATATTCAGTCGGTCTCATATAACCCTCAAATTCCTAAAAGTGACAAACATAAAAGTTCCTCTTACAATTTTACTACGTCACCTGGCAGACAGGTAACAAGAATCAAAAATTCAATATTGTCAGCCAGTGGGCCTCGCTTGTCATATCAAAATATTCTCTTCGATTCTGTCTGCCATATAATTCTTATGATGTTAATTAAGAGCTCGAGTTTGGTAATATTATCCTAACTGATATTATTCTATATTCTCATCACTTGTCTGCTTGATATTTTTATGATATTGTAAGGAGAAATTTTTCCTTGGTCACTCATGGGAGTTAATTAAAGGGTTTACACGGAAATTTTTAGAAAACAGAAGCGAGAGTTATAATTAAGACATTAGAATTTTGGTTCAGGGACTAACAAAAACGTATTGAGTTATATGACAACTACTATCTTAAATTCGAGAAAAAAGCCAAAATCACAATAGCAAGGCCGCATCTAATATCGAGGAAGAAGAGAGAATAAACCATTAGAGAGTAAAAATTAATAATGACAAGTGTTATTTAAAATATTTGACTCTCTGGCTATTCTTCCGTCGCCAGGGGTGGACGATGTCATCTCTCACGGAATGGAGGGGGGTCCTAATTTCGTACAATATTAAAAACCTTAGAGTCAAAAGTGCCAGATCATCTTCCCCCTAAGTAGCTCACTTCTTATTATAAAGCTATCCTTAAATTTATTAAGTAAATTCTGTAAGCCTCGTGGTAACTACTGGGATGAGGTGTGTTCGGCTGGTTGAGGGTAATCTGGTAAAGAACATTTGTCGATGACAGCAAACTAAAGTGGAAGTCAGCAAGGGAGTCGCTCTTATGATGACTTCCGCTCATGTCGTCGAAACGTCAGTCAATGTCTCCGACAGTAATCTTTTGCAAACTGTCCTCACCAGGGCAATCGCAAGTTTGAATAACGGTCGTTGGTCGTGGGTACAAGTCGTGGGCAGTGGGTGTGGGTGTGGGTACAAGCTGTGTCGGTAATAGTTAACAATTAATTAGTTAATAGTTCGTATCCAGTTCATATCAGGGGAGGCGCGGTGGCGGATCGGGTGGTCCGGGTTCGAGCCCTGGCCGGGGTCATTGTGTTGTGTTCTTAGGCAAGACACTTTACTCTCACAGTGCTTCTCTTCACCCAGGTGTTCAAATGCAAATGCAAATATGCTGGGGGTAACCCTGCGATGGACTAACATCCCATCCAGGGGGGAGTAGCAATATTCCCAGCCGCTTCATGCTAAGAAAACCGGAGTTAAGCACCGGCCCCATGTATCACTTGGGTCTGTATAAAGGCTTTACTAGTTCGTATCCAATAATAATAATATCAACAGTACCTCTACTAATAATTAATTAATGTCATTATTATAGAGGGGAACGGTTTTTTTTTTCGTTAAACGTGATTTGGTTACATAGCCGTGAACGGTGAATTGCCTTTTTTATGGAAATTGCGAAACGACTGTTTTGTTTTGTTTTGTTTTTTTTTTTTCGCGAAACGTGACTTGAACCGTTATTTTTTCTCTTCCTTTAAAAAAACTGTCCAGTAAGCGTCTCAAAACAAGACTACGTGTAGAAACATGACTATGATTAGCTAATCATCATTCTGGGCCCCAGGCCTCTTTATTCCAACTGGTAATTTAACACCTTTTATCTTCGTTTCGTGAAATGGCCATTTCATATTGCGTGAAACGTGAATGGCCGTTTTATTTTTCGCGAAAAGTGATCTAAGACCCCCCCTCTTTATCACCCTCAACTACAATGTAAACATGACATAATGTTTACAAATTAAACAACCCTTCTCCAACTGTCAGGAGCCAGTTACAGGCTCCTGTCAACCGTAAAATATTATTGTTTATTCCAATATCATCGCATCAGCTCGGTGAGACTACTATTTCATTGATTCACTTACATGTAAGTAAAACATAATTCCTTCAACTAATTTTATATAAAAAAAATCTATACTTGAAAATAATTAATTATCACTGGTAGTACTATTAATATTGTTTTTATTAAATATGAACTATTAACCATTAATTATTAACTATTACCGACACGACTTGTACCCACACCCACGACCCACGACCCACGACTTATATCCACGACCCACGACCATTAGTCAAACTCGGCAATCGCGCAGCACGATCAACAGGTTTTCTTCTCGAAAAGACGAGTGTTAAGAGATGAATCCAAGCCATATGAGCCCTCTATTTGCGCTGGAACCTTTTATTCATGTTCTCCACACTCGTTACTCTTAGCATTTCCTTCGGTACTAACAAGGAAAATTCCTGGAGTTCCTTGATTAATGATCACTTTTGCCCTCACGGTTTTTTTACATTTGATTCCTCCGAGGGTTAATGAGATGCAGGCGAATCGATGATAACAGGTTACATTTTTTCGATAACAAAGAAGTATGATCGCTAATAAAAAACGAATGACCATTCGGCCTTAATAAGAAATATCTGACTATAGAAAAGAGTTCGCTTGCCGGCTCGTCTCTCACGTGTCTTCACTTCTCGTGCTTTATAATTAATTGGCCCTTGGGACGGCCTCCACATAATTTCAGTCGAGAACAATGAGAATAAAGAGAGAATCGATTGTTATTAAAGTGAATAGAACGTCGGAAGGACCAATTTGAAATCTCGCTTTAGCCATTTCTTTCCTCCGCTGATCTACTTGAGCAAAAATCAAATCCGAGATCACTGCCTGAGGAAAAAATTAAAAAAGAAACGAATTGTCAGCGACAAGTATATCAACTTGTTTTTTTCAAAATGCTTATAAATTTTAGGTGGCAGGTCTAGAAGAGGCTGATGCGGGGAAGCGAGAGGCTGGGGAAGAGATAAACGCTCCAGCAAAAAGCAAGCCATCTTTACCCATGTTACCTAGTCCTCTTTGATTTCATTCTCATGTTCACTGTAAGTAGCTTCATCTTAATTTTCAAGGCCACGCAAGTCAATTCAGTACTGGCTCATTGCTTTAAATTCAATATAACCAGTGTAACTGATAATACTCTTGTCACCTTTCAACCAAACTATTAAACAACTAAACACTGCGATAATAAGGAACAGTGATAGATAATCTAGTTGCATCATGCAAGCTGGATATTACAGATGCAGTTTTATCTCTTGCATCACATCATCCCAACTTCTGGTTTACTAGGATTGTACCTTTATGCGGCAGTTCGAAGAATTACCGCGAATTAACGTTTTTACGGCAAAATGTCGAATTATCGACCATAGCCAACGACCACGCCTTCATTATAAGCGCTTTGGCACCGGTGCTACCTCGTTCGTGGGAGCCGGTGAGAAGACTGAAAGGGGTCTCGCACTGAATGTTAGTGCCAGACCCCCGACAAACTTCTCCTCGACTCGTCTCAAATATCCTGGCGGGCAGAGAGACGCGCGTCCTGCAACGTTATTAATAAGGGCTTGGTCGCATGCTGTATCGACCATTTTGTGAATAGGGGACCGCATCAGCCTGTTAGAGAGGGATTGTTGAGATAGGCAACAAAGAGTCACTGTGGACCGCACGAGAACAAAATTATTCCATTGCGCAACTCAATTTTTTTTAGAGCTTCAACTCGTAAGCTGATTATTTATGGTACTTCCCATCAGAGCAGAAACTGCCGCCGTTATTCGCGGGGATTGGAAACCGGAAACCTGTACATTTTCAACCATGATTGTATTGAAAAAATGGTCATAAATGTCTCTTTAACATCGACTCAAACACTGAAACCACTTCACTTCGTGACATTGAGGTCGACAGAGATTCTAACGAGCAAGATCATAAGTAGTAACTATTTAATTTACGTCAAAAAACGGTTCTATTTTGTTTCCCTAAGACTCAAATGATTAATGGAGGTTACCACGATCGCCTTATAAATGTTATATATACTTCGCACGTCAGATTGAACTAAGCTGTCAATTTTGACTTATAAATGCAATTTCAAAATAAGAGGATTTTAATGGGTGGTCTTATCCCGATCATTCTAAGTAGTAGGAAGATTTGGTTACCCATGCCCTCTCGCTTGCAAAAATTGTTTTCCACTTCCAAACGTTTTCGTCATGATCAACGTTAACAGGCTAAATCGATTAAGTCTTCATCACTCGCTGCTAAATGGAATCGAGGATGATATTTACATAGATTAAAAATATATATGTCTCTTTTTCGAAAGCTTTCCTTTCGTTAGGGTCGGCCGCTTGGGCAAAAAAATTAAGAATTGGTTATTCAATGAGTTAGGAGAAAGAAAAGCTAGAAAATTAACCGGGGAAGCATGGGTCAAGAAAGAACCTGGATGCTAAGTGGTACTCACGCCTGGCCCCTTGCTAGTTGTGTTCCTTATCAAAACTTTTCCGTATCATGGGTACACAGGCTAAAAAGATTAAGGCGTGGTCAATTGCTGCTAAATAGAATCGAGGATATGAACGTAGTTAGATGTTCAAACTTTGCTTATTAGATAGCGTGTCTAGAATTTTTTCATTTACTTTCCCAAGGAAATGTATAGGCCGGGGGGGAAGTGAAACATTTTATGGGGATCAAATTTGAGTGCACTTGAAATATTTTTAAATATGTGA